AACTTTTCGAGCTTCGCATTTTGCCCATCGTTACTTGGAATGGACCACCGAAATCAACCCCACATTTGGTGAAGCATTTTATTTCATTTACTCGCACTGCAGGTAAGTTACCCATTACCGGAGGAGAAGAACAGGGGTTACTTTTAAAACAACGAACGCCAGAAGAGATGACCTTTCGTATCACTGTTTTAGAGGACGGGATCCAATATCTTTGGCTAAGTAAATATTGGGTAGTTTGTAGCCCAACGTGTAAGTACTTAACATGTGTATGCTCCACAATCAAACGAGTCAGCCTATGATCACTTGGAAGTAAACACTGGTGTTTATTACTATATGGAATAGAAGAGTGATGTAAACGTCCGCCCACCCTGAGAATACCATCTTGGTCAAGAAAGGGAGTGAGCTTGCGAAAATATTTCGGGAAGGACTTCAAATTATACGAGTCTTTTTTAGAGAGTGCAGTTATTTCCTTGTTATAATAAAATCTTTGAATTTGCTTGATTAAAATTAAGAGGGCTTGGTCGAGTTCAGATAGAGAAAAACATTCATTTAGCAACAGCGTTGGATTTTTAGTCTTTGAGATGAAGCGCATTATGTAAGCGAAAATGCGATTCAATTTTGATAAAGAGGAGAACCGGTCTATTAGGTTATCCCAGCAACATCTCTCTGTAGTCGAAATAGTAAGAGTCGCCTTTCGTCTTTCTAATGTCACTTTGTTGATCTTTAGAGACTCGTTTGACCAAGGGTCACAATGGGAAGTTAGGAATGACGGTCCCGCCCACCATTTTTCTAAGTGGAGTAATTCGCAGGGTACAATGCCGCGGGTAGCACAGTCAGCAGGATTTTCTTGTGTAGACACATGAGACCATTGACTAGGAGATACCTTTTCCTGAATATGGGTAACCCTGTTGCTAACAAATGTTGCCCACTTATGGGGTGAAGATTGAATCCACGAAAGCGTAACAGTTGAATCAGACCATGCGAAGACTGAGCTGATGGGTAACATATTTCGATACGACCGCATCACAATTTCGATCAAATCTGCTAAAAGTACAGCCGAGCATAGCTCTAAACGAGGAATTGAAATTTTCTTGAGTGGGGCTATTCTTGATTTGGCACACAAGAAGAAAGTTTTTGCTTGGTTACCTAGCACCGCTCGTATATAAATTACAGCGGCGTAGGCACTTCCAGAACTATCACAGAATCCATGTAATTCGCAGAATTTCACGTTATCGAAGGTAAGCTTTCGAAGAATAGATAAAGAGGACAAGAATGGCAGATTCTCCTTGTATAAGGCCCAAGCGGACGACACCGACTCTGGAGCCAGTTCGTCCCATTCTATTCCAGAAGACCATAGTTTTTGAATTAGTAATTTGATAAAGACAGTAACGGGAGCTAAGAACCCGAGAGGATCGAATATTCGTGCCAAATCCGACAGTAAGTTACGTTTAGTACATGCATGCTGTCTGGGATCAATTTTATAAGTAAATGTATCTGAGGTGGGACACCATTGCAGACCCAAAATTTTAATAGTTTGATCACTTTCTTTGTCTAGCGAAACCGGAACTTGGGAGAGCGATTTATCTAAATTGGAAATAAGAAGGGGATTATTACTACCCCATTTCCGGAGTTGAAAACCCCCTAAGGCAAGGAGATCGATCAATTCCTTTTGAAGGCTCAAAGCTGCTTCGACAGAATCAGCACCTGATAATATGTCATCAACATAAACGTTGGTTTTTATAACCTTTGAAGCTCGAGGAAATTAATCTTCGTGGTCCTGAGCCAATTGGATTAAAGTTCTAATGGCATGAAAGGGGGAGGAAGAGATTCCGTAAGTGACAGTATTAAGCCTATAATCTTGAATAGGATCGTCTTTGGAGAATCTGAAGACAATCCGCTGATAATCTCTGTGAGGTTCCGACATCAGTATCTGCCTAAACATCTGCTTTATATCGGCCGTAATAACGACAGAGTGAGTGCGAAATTGGAGGAGTAGAGAGAATATATCTTGTTGAAGTTTGGGTCCAACTAGCAAACAGTCGTTAAGAGATAAGTTATTAGCCGCCTTTGCCGAAGCGTCAAAGACAACGCGAAGTTTAGTAGTTACACTTTCAGGTCTAAGTATACAATGGTGAGGTATATAGTATTGATGATTAGTATGTGGCAAAGGTTTAACAAGTTCCATATGACCGGAATACAAATAATCATGCATGAATAGGTTATATTCTTTGCGGAGTTCTGGATTATGCAAGAGTCGTCGTTCAAGTGAATAAAACCTACGTAAGGCAATGTCTCTTGAATGATCGAATACCGGTAGAGAAGAGAATTTAAACGGGAGATGAAGAATGTATCGACCAGTATTATCTCGAGAGTAAGTTGCAACGAAGATTTTTTCTGCAGCCAGATCTTCAGGGGAGTGGGCGTTTATTTGAGGAATCTGTTCGAGATGCCAGAATTTATTAACAACCTCTTCGAGTGAAAGTGTAGAGGTGCAACAAAGGGTATTGTTTGAGAGAGTTGGTGGTGATTTTGGTACTCGACCTGTAATAATCCAACCCAGATGTGTATTAATAGCCACAGGTTCATTGATAGAGTGAGAAATAGAGCCTTCCTTAAAGAGAAATCCAAATGCATCGCAACCAAGAAGCATGTCAATGGGACTTGAAATATTAAATTTATCATCGGCAAGGTCTAAGTGGGAAAATTTACTAAAGCTAACATCCGGTAAATCAGAGCTGGGCATGTTATCACAAATTTGGGGTATAACTGCAAAATCAAGGGTTATTCGGGTTTCACTGGACATTCGAGGGATAAACGTGCAAGTAACCTCTAGAGAAACGTTCGAGGTGGTATTTCCTAAGCCTTTTACAAAAAGTGAGAGAGGCTTTCGAGTAAGTCCAAGCCTATTAGAACATTTAGATGTTATAAAGTTCACTTGACTGCCACTATCAAGTAAAGCTCGAACAGGTCTGTAGTAACCAAGCGAGTCTAAAACTTTGATTTGAGCGGTAGCTAGAAGAACTGAAGAATCTCTACCATCAGGGCTAGAATCAATGTTCGTTAAAGCAACTGACTGTGTTCCTCCATCACATTTGTTAATAAAATTATTTGAACTGGTAGAAGGATTATGATCAGGGCTGCGCTGTTTATCATGATGTAATAAAGTATGATGTGGCTTTGAGCATTTTCTACAACGTACACGAGATGAGCATTTGAATGCTGTATGTTTTAAACCTAGGCAATTAGTGCACCAGTTTTTGATCTTTACCAACTTATATCTGTTAGTAGAATCCTTTTCTAAAAACTCTGGGCAACTTTAAATTAAATGGCCTCGTTTATGACAAACTGGACAAATGGAGGAGTCAGAATTTAAAAGAAAGGTTCTTTTCTGCGATTTAGAGGGTTTTTCCTTTTCCGTTATCTTGGAATCAGAAGAGCAGGCGACAGTATCTAGAGCAACGCATTGCTTTTTGAGAAAGTTTAACAAAACTTCAAAATGTTTGTTTTTGTAGTTAATATCATCTAAAGAGTTACCGCATTCCAGCTCAAATCGAGTTGCAGTGCTTGAATCTAAACGATCGAATAGCATGTAAAAGAGAACAAAGTCCCACTGTTTAGTAGGATGACCTAAGTAGTCGAGGGCTGATAAATGTTCGGAAAATTTATCTAATAATGACTGCAGGGCCTTCACGTCCGTTTCACTCTCGAGGGGTTTTATTTTTTCTATTTCACGCCAATGACTGACAGAAATCAAGCGAGAGTTCTCATAGCGCTCAGTCAATGTCTTATAAGCAATGATATAGTTACCTTCAGTTAAAAGATTGCACTGTACAATGCTCAATGGGGGCCCTTCTAAGGAATTTATGAGGTATGTAAACTTTTCAACATTTGAAAGAGTTAAGTTATTGTGAATCATAGAATTAAATAGGTCGATGAATGTCTTCCAATTGCGCAATGAACCATCAAATATTTTCAATTCTAATTTAGGCAGCTTGATGTGACTTGGAGTACTGGGGTTAATTTTAGTACCATCAAACAATTGGGAATAAGTAGCGGCAATCTTGTAATATGTGTCATCAAAAACTTTCCTAATATGTCTCTGTTCGTCCAGGTCATTATCATCAACCGTTGCCAAAATATTTAAAATAGCTGCATGTTGGGTTTCAAAGTCCGTAAGGATAGCTGGTAAATGCATATAACGAACCTTGAACTCCATGTGAATTGCATTATCTGTTAAAGCTCGAGTAGCCACTGCGAACATTTCGTTCAAACGACTAGAAGCATTATCTCTTTGAGCTATCAAACCTTTTTTATCGCTCATTTTTTGTTTTTAAGCAAAGCAATAAATGTGAAGGAAAAATTGATTATATCAATTACGGTCAGCTAATTGAGCCAAAATACAACAAGCTGAACTCAACAATTTCCTATAATGATCACAATAATAATAATCAATAAATAAATAAATTTAAAATATTTTAGTTAGTAGTGGACGATAGGCACTCCTATATAAATGCTTGCAAACACCGGTGAGACGGGGGTGACGGGGGGAGAGAGCGAGAGTAGAGTGGCGTGTAAATTTTTTGATTAACGAGCTAATATTTAAATTAGAGTATTTGAGAGAATATTTAAAGAATGCGATAATTAAATGCTAAACAAAAAATATACAACACCGAAATAATAATCTTCCTTATGCGACAAAAATATTTTGAAAATACCAATATATTTTTTGCGAGTATGCAGTGCCGAAAATAGCGCGATCGATCGTTAGATGCGACGGCGACGCACAGTGGAACGAAAGATACGATTTTCCGGACATGAGTCAACCGTTCGCTTAAAAAAATATTTCTGATTATTTTGAACATTTTTATTCATAAATTTATTTAATTTTCACAAATATATATAAATGTTTATACGGGATGATAAATTCGCTATGGCAAAATCCAAAAATTATATTTGAAAATAGGGTAAGTTAAATATATTTAAAAAATTTTAAACTAACTAGAATTTTAATAAATATTTAAAAGTTAATAAAAATTAACGGAAAATAAGTAACTAACTAAATATAATATTACTTTAATAATTCATTTAACATATGCCAATATGAAACACTATTTTATTTGAGAAGGCTTTTGACCTCTAGCGGCAAGCACGATTTTCTTTCGTAGCCATTGTTAGATAAATGTGATATATATGGATCAGACCAAAGTAATAAATTGTGTAATATATCTTCATTTGTAGCCCTCCTATTGGTCTTTCTTGCATGAAACTCCCTGACGTTTCTGAATTCTTTATGTCTAGCTTCGGAGGCTTCTTCTGAGAGCTTTCCAATTGGTACCACAAAATTTCTTATAATATCTGCTCCGTGAACTAGAATTTTATGGACTGAAGGGGGCATGTAATACCAGTCGTAAAGAGAAACATATAACTTAGCTGTCTGGGCTGTATAGAGATCAAATTTTAAAGGGCATATTTCTTCGGTACATGAAAGGGTTTGCAGGATTATTTTAATCCTTTCAAGCAATGTAAAATCGATGCCTATTATTTTAGAAGTTGTGGAACAGTCGGAAAAAAACTTTCTTGCCGCGTTTCCATCATTCGTGGTACCAACCCCTTGTTTTACCACATCAACTAAAATACCTAATTCATTTCTTAAGTGTTCCTGTATTCTGGCCTTCCTTGTAGCTTTTAAATTTTTATGCTCTGTAGTAGTACACGACCATCTCTTAAAATCTGAATTGTACGAAATATGCAACATCCATTCCATGCATCTAATCCAAGCATGCAAGCTCGAAATACCAAAAGAATAACATGTTTCGTCCGGTTGTTTTTGATAAATTTTGTTTAAGATATTAGTCTCTTTTGGTTTAGCTCCACAAATATAACAACACATAGAAGATGTATTTGTAAGGGTATTACATATTTTACCATCTATCATAGCAAAAAGTAATTTGTGCCCTATTAGCCCGAATTTTGTTTGGGTGGCTTGAAGATTCTCAATTTCTTTGTCAATTAATTTTTTTTCTTTTCTTATTACCTCTGGGGTTTCATGAACAAATGTAAATCTTAGTGGACGGCAATAACGAGTCGAAGATGGTCCTTTATTTTCCCAAATAATAGTGTCGTTTTTTACATTGTACAGTTTTATGGGTACCAAACTGGAAATAAAAATGCTCGAATCTTCACCTGAAGTTAGCTTTTGCTTATAAGTACTTTGCCCGGATGCGCCATCAAAACCCCATTTACTAACTAAAATAATATCATTGCTAGACGTAACACATTCCACAGTTTTCAATATCCTTAAAAGGGTATGGTCTAAAAGAGCCTGAAGTTTAACAGATGCTGATACCTCTGTTATAGTGATATATTCTTTGGGTGGATAAGATTCTAATTTAGTCTGTTGTATGGCATAGTATGAAGGAAAATGGTTCATATTTTCGAGGATTAAGGATTGTCGTAGAGTATTGTATTGGTGTTTTGACATCTTTGAATTAACACGCTTTTTCTCCCGAAATATTTTTAACACTGTGCCTGCTAGTCTGGCAAAATTCTCTTACTTCTTTGGCTTGGCTTGGGTTTTCCATGAGATATTCTATGACCTATAAATAAGAAATACACCTTTGTAGGGACCTAAGAGTTTGACAGTTGGCATTATTATTATTTTTGACTAAGAAAAGGAATTATTACAATTTTATTAAAAAGACGTGCTTATTATAGTTTGCAGATACATTTAAACATTTCGCTAAAATATTTTTAATATTTAACGATAGCATTTTGCTATAGTAAAGTGCTTATTTTTGGGCCCTAAGATCCAAATAGGTATGTAATAAAATATTAAGGTGTCCTATTTAAAAACGCCCTGTATATAGGAAAGTAACAATTTTTAAAATATCAAATAATTAAAGGAAATAAGATGGAAAATTAGGCCTGTATTTTTAATAGGCCTTTTTGATATTTATGAGGGTCTGTAAAAGCTGAACGGTTCGACTTAGCGCAAAACCGCTTGCACTTTGCTATCTTAACTTTTTATGAGCTATCGTTTGTAATCAAAAACAAAAACTTGTAAAAAAATAAAAAAATTTAAGGAAAATCTGAAAAAAAAAATTTCGCCTATTCCTTTCCAGAAATTTTCATAGGACACTCACCGTAAATAACCCTATATAATAATATTATTATCGTTGGTTATAGTTACCTTTGCAAAATCCGTATATCCTTCAGAACGTAGGTTTGTTTTGGCTGCAAAAAGTAACCCGTAGGATGAATATTGATCGCTAATGTCTTTCGTTTTCCTCCTTTTATGTCTTGCACTTAAGTCCTGCAAATCAGAGAACGATTTTCTCTTTTCTAATTGGATTTCCTTTTCTTCAATATCAGGTTCATTAAGCGAATTTAACATTTCTTCTCTTACAATTTCTGGGATATCGAAATTTTTTTTCAACCAGTTGGAATTTTTTGAAAAAAAGCGATTATTATTGTAACTGCTTTTAATATATCTTTCCTTCAATTTAAAACAAAACTTTCGTAAAGTCTCTTTTAACTCCAATTTAGCACCACTCGATAAAGCCTTGTTGATATTATCTAGCACTATTTCATAAAGGTAATTATAATCGCTAAAGTCTGTTTTATTTTGTAGGAGAAAATTGCAAAAATCTTTGTTAGTAAATTCCATTTTTAAAACTAAATTACATCAATAATAACATAAACGTCAAAATATTGTTGCAACTCGAGGCGTCATGCGTCACTTATTTTGTGCATGGCATGCTTAAATTCGATGTAGATAGGACGGTCGGATCCCGTCGGATCAGTCGGACTCGAATTTGTTTTGTATAAAATATTCAAAATGATAATATTTTAATATAAACGCGGGCATGTCTGGGCATTTTACTTACGGTTACTCTAAACTGGAAAGTTAAAAAAAAAAAAAATACTGTCAGTTCGGGAACAATAAAAAAAACTTTATATCATTCAAATGTTTAGGTTCTTAGTCTTAGATTATTTTATATGTAATAGAGTTCCGATTATCGCATCTTAGTGGTCTTTCTTCTATAAGCTATAAAAAACATAAGTATATTTAACTATTCCGCTTTCTTTATAGGCTTATTTAGGATAATTAAGTAACGAAGTTTAAAAGCAAATATTTGTTGTAAATTTTTGATTTGAAAAAATAATTTCTTTGATTTAAATCAGAAAAGTGCTGTAGATTAAAATACGTAATATGTCTTTGTAATATTTGATCGTTCAGTTTTAACCAGTACGTCCGAAGTTTGTACAGGCTCGTTCCACTGTGCGACGTCTAGGTTAAATCGGTGCGAGTTCGGTACCTGTCCGAATGGAACCACAAAAAATCTCAAATTTTTAAATTCTGTTCCTTTTGAAACGAGCAAACTGAAATTTGGCTACGTTATTTTCGCGATTAATTAAATATCCGTGATCGATTGGACCAAAAAATGGACGAGAAAGAGCAATGGACTGTAATTGTTTGTTTAATTGAAGCTAGAAATAACGGGGCAATTGAAAAAATAATATATCGATGTAACGAGACGAAAAATGACAATCTCTTTTCTTCTTGGCCTACCTTGATGTAGCTCTGGCTGTTGACCGGCACAATTTCGCAATACTTGACGGCACTCGAGATATTAATTCTGGCACGCGGAAAATGCTCTCACGTTGGTCTCTACCTGAGTCGTACTAGTCCCGATCACAGCGAAGTACGAAACCCAAGCGACATACGAGTTTTTCTGGCCATATACCCAGTGAGATTGTCACCAAAATACGCGGAGAATATAACCGCAGCAATTAATTAAAAGAAAACCAATTTCAATTTGCTCGATATAAAAATTCCCCAATTACAAAAATTAAAGAGGAAAAATAAAACAAAACAATTCCGACTGGACGGAACAACATTCTTCTCATAATTAATAACAAAACCCAACCTAATCAGTGTATTGCAAGTTACTTGAACATTTTTTAAGGCTAGCTAACCAAATAGTAAAGTTAACTAAATAAACTATTGAGGGAAAAGTCTTGGCAGGGAGATAAGAAACCACAGATTTCATTAATTCTGTAAAGACCCACGGGGCGGTGCATAAACCAAAGGGTAACACGTTAAACTGATAACAGAGAGCATCAAAATAAAATCTTAGAAAATTCTTTTGATTTTCAATTATTGGGACTAGAAAGTAAGCTTCTTTCAAGTCCAGAGTGGTCATAAAGGATTTCCTTGTGAAGAGTGTTTCTACAAATTTTCTGTCTTCAAGTTAAAAATGACAAGTGTCAATAAAAGCATTCAGTTTCTTTAAATTTAAAACTAATCAAACCATCCCATTTTGAAACCAAAAAGATCTGTGAAATAAATTGATTCTTACAAGGTTCGCAACCTGCAATTGCACTATCTCTACCAGGTGTTTGACCACATTACAAATTGAATCTTTTTCTTGTTGGGACCAAACAGGATCTGTCGTAATGAAGTCCTGTATAACTGGCCTCGCAAATGGAATTATATATCCATCTAACTGTGCATCTTGAGTTATAGAGTTCCAAATGTCCCGAAACTCGTGCAATCTTTCAACAAAAGTACTTACTATTTTTTCCTGGGGACACAACTCCTCCCCCTTTCCTCTCGAACCTTCCTGTATTCCGTCTCTTGAGGGTACAATGACTTTCACCCACTTCAGCCTTGGAACTTCCGGGAACGAAGTGGGACGGTCGAGTTTAAATTCGTATGCTATAAAAGCCTTGTTCTGTAATCTGCAGCTAATCTGATTGATTTGAGCCTATCGGCCAATCCTCTCCAAATAAACAAGAGTGCAAAGAAGCATCAACAAGCACTTCCTTCATACAAGGCTGCATTTCATTTGAGACCAGCGAAAGGCTTAACGCGGCTGAACTTCTATATACTGAACCTAAATGGTGTATTTTGCTTAAAACAAATATTGCATTACTCAACGTTTCGATGAGAAGTAAGTACTACTCATCCTTAACAGGTTTCAAAAGCAAGGTCGAGAGCGCCCTAGCAACCACCATCAAAGCAGCCCTTGTTGCAGTCAGTCTCTCATCCCTTTTCTTTCCACCTTTGTTGATGGCAGATTTCATCTGCACATTCAATTTAGGAGAGTTATTGAGCCGGCAATTCTTCGGCACAGGATATTAACGCAAAAGGTCACTGAGACAATCTTCGTCGGACACACCGGATTTCAAAAAGGTATTAATCTGCCTTGCCAAAATGTCATGACACGTGAAACTTTGTGTTGGGACTATCGACCCCATAGCTTAAAGGCCATTTTGCTCTAAATCCGTCTCAAGGGGCTCAACAATGACATCAGAATTAATCGAAGGGCCTGAAAAATATACTTACGTTGGAGTAAGTGCATTCCAACAGCCATAAAAAATTGTTCATTATGTCCCAGTATCCCAGGCGCCTCATCCATAGCCGGACGAGCCAGAAAACTCTATTTTTTCGATGTCGAAAAAATATAAAACCATATGTATGGCCAACCCCCTCACAAAAGGATTGCTTCCAATTGTGAAACACTTACATACGACTGCTGTCGTATAAGTGGGAAAGATGGGGGTCTTTCGAGTTCTGGGGATTCCGATCGGAACTCGGACGATGAAGAAATCGTCTCCCAATTGTGAGAAAATCTCGTTGATGGGAACCACGCCACTAGCGATTATGTAATCGCGGACGGAAAGATTTAATCTTTCGTCATAGGTAGGCTCTTTCTTCATCCGATAAGGAATAACGTAAATCTAACTTGTACTTCTCCATTTAACTTCCAAAAACGCTGAAAAAAGCTGAAAACACCGACGCCGAATAAAAATGACCATGTGCCATCATGGTAACTTATTCCACAGTTTTTTGGCTCTGCTTTAAAGCTGTGGTGCCACCTAGCGACTAGAAGGGGCACTACGTATATTGATTTCATAGAAGAGGTGTAACATAATTGGCTATGACTGACTCATATCTTTTGAAAAATAGCATCCAACGCTCCTAAGAGACCGAGAAAAATGGAACATTCCTTGTTGGTAAATTAGGAAGTACATTATTAGAATTGCTTGTTTGTTGAATTCGACTTTCGGTTTGTCTGTTTGCCATCGCAAGCTTTTCTAGTAACTCTTATAAGCTGTATAAGCTTTAGCAACTACCCTGAAATAGTTTTTTTCAAATTCACATGTTTCTTCTATCTCTTTTACGCGTAATTTTAATTCGGACAAAGATGTTTCTTGTTGCTCAAATTGGGAAATTCGCGACTCGAATTTTGTTAGAATACTTCTTTTATTTATGAGAGATTTCGCATTTACCGATTCGTTAGCTTCCGTCATTGTTCTCGAAGTTTAATACTGCGCACGTACAAATACGAATGACAAACTAATAAATTGAAAATATTCGAGAGTAAAATGGAATTTTTGGAAAATGGCGCTTGCTCTTGTCGACACCTGCCGTCTGCTGGTTGCCAACCGCTGTACTTGCTTCATTCCTATTCCATGTGCTTTCGCAGGGACTTTTAATGGTTGTCTTCTCCACTCGCTGGGACTAGAAAACTTCTAAACGATATTCTATCCGGTTTCGTAGGACCAAAATGGTGGGTTTTGACGTAGGTCCACGTTATTTGCTGCACTGATTCTTGTTCGATTGAGTGGACTGTATTTTTCGATAACTTTATTTTTAACTTTTACAACTTAATTAACTTTTACAACAAAAAAAAGGAAAAAACATATGAAAATGAATAATGAAGCTTCTTCAATTCTTTGCAGACGACCTTTTTTACGGTGCTCGCGGTGTTGTCACTGATGGTTTATCGGGTTTACCTTCTTCTTAACCAAGTAGAATTCCGCACTTCATTTATTCCTCTAACTTAATAAATAAAATACCTCTGAATGCAGATACAAAAAAAGCTACGAACAATAAAATAATTTATTTCATTAGGATGGCCGAGCGAAGTACATGATGATAAATTCAAGCAATATTTTAAATGAATTATCTATAGATAATAACAGCATCTTGATTGGCAATAGGGTAGAGATACCTCCCGCATTCAGACAAGACACTCTTAAACTCTTTCATGGACAACATACTGCATCGTCCGCACCAAACTGTTAATTAGGTCCTACTAGTGGTGGTCAAATAGTAATAATGACACCATAAAATTTGTCCTGTCAAAATTATCAAAATTTAACAGGCACAAAACCTCTTTTGCCCTGGTCACAAGCATATCATAATTTCTACTGAATTTTTATGAATTTTCTGCACACATTTAATCATACACTTTTGCCCATTTTTGATAAAAAATCTAAATGGTTAGAAATTAAATTGGTGTCTAAATTAAGAGAAACCTTTGCAGCAGTTAATTTACCAGTAGAGTTAGTGGCAGGTAGAGGTCTACAGAGTTTATATCTTTTTTTCAAGGTCATGGTATTACTTCGATTAAGTCACCACCAGGTCATCCACCTAGCAACATCTATGCTGAAAGAAACGGAGAATGTCACAACAGAACAGTTACTTGAGTGACAAGGCAAGGTATATTTCTTTCTTTCAAATATATTTCTGTGAGTTGACCATTTGTGGCAGTGTTGAATAATCGTTTATACTGTGTGTCTCGAGAATATAACTATATCGCGTCGAATTCATTTGTCGTTTTAAGCAAAACCGGTTGTGAAAATGTGTATGAAACTTTAAAAGAAATCTGCCTAACGCCAATATCGTCGATAAAGGATATAATTAATAGTTGAGAATTGAACAAAAAGATAAACTCAGACAATAGTAATTAGGACTTAATAAGAAGAAAAATATATTGTCTTTATCAAAGCGAAGTTGTTCTTACCTTTGATAAACTGAAAAAGAAGGTAGAAGAAGATGAAATAAATATAAATATAAGCCGTGCCACCCTCCATAGAGTTGTTTGTCAAATGGAATTTAAGTACCTCAAAATAGAAAAAAAGTAAGTAGTAAAGAAATCACACAGATTACACAAATGGGGATTTAATTACCTTGATGAAATTAAAGGATATAGATTAGACAACATATCCATAATTTACCTTAATAAAACATGTTTCGATACGCACAACACTGAATCCAAAGGATGGATTGAATCCACTCAAAACAGTCAGACGAAAGCACCTTCAAATAAAGGACAACGCATCACCATACTACACACTAGTCCAGAAGACGGAATTGTCCCAAATTGCTTGCTGTTGTCTGCAAAAAATATTAAGGATTGTAGCATTGATTATCATCAGGATACAAGTGCCGACCTTATTGTCACAGCTAGCGCAAACTACCACAGTCGTTTGCTACGCAAAACACCAGCCTCATCAAGCAACTTGTCCTAAAATTATATGCAATTAAAAAACAGTATGCGTTAATTTGGCTGAACGAGCTGGCCATACTGTTTTACGTCTTCCTCCATATCATTTCATGTTTAACTCCATAAAGAATTTGTGGAAACAAAGGTGAGAGCTGAAAATGTTGCACCTACAAAGTAAGAATTTATTACGTTCAATTTCATTAAATTTCTACAAAGTATCATTATTAATATAGAAAATATTAAACATAATAATAATAAAATATCAGTCACTTATAAAGTTGATAAAAAATGTAATTAATAACATACCAACTGAGCGCTGCAAAAATTCAGTACAGCACTTTAAAAAAATTGAGGACTCTTACATTTTTATATAAAACAACATAAATCCTATTATAATTAATCTCAATGACGACTCTGAGAGTAAAACGGAATTAGATTTTGACATTTAGAATAAAAATGTAATTATGTTTATATATTCCTAGGCATAAATTTATTGTATATATCTATTCTCATTGTTTTTTCTTAGTACAATTGAATAAGATTATACCCATCTAAACAAACAAAAAAAGTATCATTACAAAACCTTCGAGAGTATGTCCCTAATTATTACCTACAGCACCCGAGTTGTGTTGCCGTCGGCAGGAAACTTCCATAATTGCGGTCAAAAGTCAGCACGATGAAGATTGAGACAGACTATACTATACGAAATAACACGAACCCGCAAACTAATATTACTTTAACAGACAGTAGTCTAGACGAACTAATGAGGTTCCTGTATCACCCGTAGAACCGGAATCTTCTCAAAGTATAGTTTCGCTTACTGAGTTCAAAGCATTTCGGAAGAATTATCAAGCCATTTAAGAGATTAAATCTTTAAAACTTCAAATGAAGAGGAATTTTAGGAACCGTAGCTTACGATTACAGAACTTAACCAGATAGAACTATGCTATGTATTGTATATTTTCTCGAATTTATTGCAGAATACCCAAAAAACATGTATGACATCTTCATATATTCAGCTAGACATGAATTTTTCGAATCAATGTTACGTAAGGTCGTATATTTTTTATTTGCGCATCCTATATTGCCCGGATACCTAATATCGCTTTCGTATTAAAAGATGATTCGCATCCTTGAACGGTGTCGTGCATCATTTTTCTCTTTCTTCCGCGCGATCGGTCATTTTAAATACTGAAGGTTGCCGACGATCAAACACATCTCGAGCTCGTTCGACGTCGACGACGTGAATTTTGGCGTAACGCGCGAACTTTCACTTTCCGTCCAGATATTTTACCGAAATCTTACGCGAGACGACCAATCAGTTCCTATCGAATCGTATACGAGGGGCTTATCGCGCAAGTTACACGTGAAAATAGAACATTTGAAGATTTTGTGGTCTTCGTCAACATTCCATCGACAACCGTAACACAATGCTGAAAACAGTTAAGTATAAGACGAGTTGATTTGGAAAAGTAGGTCGCTACCGATTTGAATCGAAAACAGTTCTTTATCGAGTTGTTGCTTTCATGGTTAGTTTAAATACGATATTAATTTTCTATAGGGAGGCCTCTTCTTTTTTTGTTGATCTAAAGCGAAGCTTTACAAATTGGCTTTACGAAGAGTCTGGACTTCGAAAAGCAGTTTTCACATACAGTATTTTTCGAAAAATCTGCATTTTTGATATACCTCACATACTATCTACAAATCTACTGGATTCCTCCGGCTTTGGTTGTTGTTAAATCGAACTTGCTGACGTTTCGCTAATCATCCTGTTGACTTCTCCAAGGCTTAACTGAAGCAGTTTCAGGTTCAGAAGATTTGTAGATAGTATTATAATAGTCTGTTTAAATTTCTTTCGAAAATTAATACCCGCCATGTCATTTCCTGGCACCTGATTACTTAATTTTGACAAGTCCAATTTAGGGAGTGCCATATTTGAATAATAACATGTGGGTTGCTTAGCTTTAAACAGTCAAATTTCTTTCTTTCGCTGTGAAAAAGCAATCCTGCAACCATCAGTCATGTTGTCTGTAATACAAAACTAAATATTTTTTTACTTAAATCTATAGTTATATAAATGTTAGGTCTATGGCTTCATTATATCCGTGGAACACAGACACCTCCGTATATATTCCGATATACCCATCGGGTTCAAGTACTTTAGTCAGAACGCAAGGACCCCTATACTTTGGGAGCAGGTTTTTGCTTGACTGTCGTTGGCAATCGCATTCCTTCGTAGAAGCACCTGCCTGCCTACTTCGACTAGTTTTTTAGCAGCGTTATATATCTTCTGCTTCGACTGCGCAGGCGTTACTTTCCGTTGAGCTTCTTTTTGAATCCCACTTCACTTCTTGATAGTCATTTTGATTCTGACTTATTTCGAGAGTTAGGAATATATCGTCCATTCTCTTTGGCCTAAATCCGAAAACAAGGGTTCTTACCCATAACGCTAACCAAAACGTAATGTATCTAAACATTTATATCACTTCTCTCGTCATCAGTGGTTGCTGAGAGAGAAGTCCAGATTGTACGGTTATAGCTTTCAATCTGCCCGTTGGGTCGTGGTGTTGCCCTTTCGTTTAGCACCACCTTTTGATGCCAGAAATTAAGGTATCACTTTATCTCACTTCCTCTCGTCGTCAGCAGTTGCTGACAGGGAAGCCAAGATCGTATGCTTGTAGCATTGAACCTGCCTGTTGGCTCGAGATGTTGCCGTTTCGTTTAGCATCACCTTTTGATACCAGAAAGTAAGGTGTCTAAACACTTATCTCACTTCCTCTCTTATATGGTTGTAGCACTCAACCTGCCCGTTGGCTTGCGATGTTGTTGTTTTGTTTAGCATCATTTTTGATACCAGAAATTGTCGGCTTAACCCATGTTCAATTTACAAAACTACAAAAAACATTAATACACAATAACCATCGTAGCGACTTTCGCCTTAACATTTTCAAAATTATGGTGACTTTCGTTGATTCAAAACTATAGCGCATTTCACTTAAGTTATAACGTCTTTAAAAAATACATAGCGATTTCGCTTAACACTTTTAAAACTTTCGTACTACATCGGAACATAGGAACTTTTGCTTTGAAAATTATCAAATAACTGTTACCTTACCTTTAACTCTACCATGCCACGTTTTTTTTTACTTTACAGCAGCTTTTTCTATATTTTGTAGGGATTACTATCCGAGACTCCTCATTCATTCCTACTTTAGGAAGGGTAGTTACTCTTCGAACAACTAATTTTTCCTCGTTGAAACAGATTGTTTCTACGGCATTCAGTTTTTGTATGTCATAATCTTTTACATATGGAACACTCTTGTCTTGGCTTGGGTCCATTTGGTCTGTTTTTGGGTTAGTTGCTCCTCCGGCTTAAGTATATAGAAAGTCTCTTTATAAGTCTTTGGGTGTAGTGTACCTTCCAGCTTTAGCACCTGATTCAATTGTTGAGTCTTTTATTTTTTTTCGAAAAAATATTGAGTCCAATCTTCATGTTGACTTTTTTGCCGATTAATCATAGTTTTTATTGCACTCGGAAAATCTTCATGATCGGGAAAAACATTTGTTAAAAGATTCTCTCTGCCCAAGACTGGTTATAGACATCCAAATTGTGATACCATTTAAGTTTGCATACGATAAATCATAGTGGCCTCGCTCCAGTGATTAATATATGCTTAGTTACATACGTTTCAGCAGCAACGTTTCTTGTAACGTCCACGCGTACAGCCTGTTCAACAGCAGACAAATTTTGTGGAAAAGACGTGCTACTGTCACTAGTATACCGACATTTATGTCGCCATTGTTGACCAGTGTTGCTTACTTGTGTATATTGTCTTGAGTTTTTTTATTATCCTTCAGGACCGAAATGTCACTTAACTATTTGCACTATATAACTATTTAACTAGTTATATAATTCAGTCTCTTCCGATTACCGTGAGTACCGTAAAAAATTAATAGGCGAAGTCTCGTTAAAACATTTATTTATTCTGAAACACTGTAATACAAAAAATGGTATGGCCAGGTCAACCTATTAAAACAGATTGAAAGGCAGAAATATGCTTCGAGTAAGCTCCACACCTGTGTAAACAAATCTCTCGTTGTCCGTTCCCTTAGATGACGTCACCGTCGTATTGTACAGTAGTAAACCTTCTAACCCTGTCATCGATATATTTATCCAGTTACGTTTTATTACTTTGAAGAATAACTTTTTCAGTTTAATCCTGTCTGTTTTTCTTAGAACAAAATTTTTTTTTGGGACACCCCATATAACAAAAATATGTTATTTTTATGTAGCATCAGAAGTTTTGCCAGAAACACAAATTGAACTACTGAAGGTTATTGTCGTTTCAGATCGTGACGCTTGGCTTAACGCTGATGCCGACGCTGATTTCGTGCGACGTCGCAGAAGATGAGCCTCCCAGGCCGTACGCGTTTGGGTACGCAGCCGGTCGATTCCCGGGCCACATCGACAGGACGCATTCGGAGGTGTCCGACGGTTCCGGAATCGTCCAAGGTACTTTACTACGGCGTAATTAACCCATTTTCACGTAGCAAAAAGTCAACTTTCCTAAAACGTACTCTAAAACGAGATCGAACGGTTAAATCTATTCACACTGAAGAAAAGTAGTATATTATGCAACAAATGCGGTAAACGGAATTTGACTCTCGAGTTTATTTGACACGAGCGGAGCGGAGTGAGTGTTTAAGAAACTTTTTCTACGACCGTTAGTTTTTGGGTAGATTTTCGCAAAACAACACGAATTGACAAACGTCCAAATTCAAGGCGGGGGAAATATCTCCGAAAACAGCCGATTGCTCCCAAAGCCGTGCGGTAATATCCCGGGAATGTCTGAAGTGGCTCGGATCCGTGGGAAACGGAACTGACGTGGTAAAGTGACGCTTCCCGCATGCTGGATCGGTGTGTAATTAGGCATTTTACAGACGAGAGTAGAAAAACGTACGTTCTGTTAATAAAAGTACATCAATTCAATGAACAGCTATATTAATTTTGAGTCAACGACAGGTATCATTAATACGATAATAGTTCATAAAGTTCGCTAACTATTTACCATTTTTAGAACCTTTTATCGTTTTGACTTCGGAACGAGTTTAAGATCCGCTAGTTGTAAAGCGGAAGGTGCCATTTTTTTCGGCTAGTGCACCACGAGCCGTATTTAAGATGTTAGCCGAGAAACACTGTGTCGTGTGGACTTTAACAATTAAACAATTAAAGTAAATTGATTTCGCCAGAAACTTCCGCAATTTTAATATTTAATTTAATTATTTAATATTTAATTTATTGTCGAGTGATATGCTTTTTTGTATTCAGTTCGTTTAAAATTAATGCTGTATCAGGATTACCTTTACTATACAAACTAGCCAAAGGGCCTTTATTTATCGGCGTTTTGTTTTTTCGTTTGACTCGGAGGTGGTTCAAAAAAGCGTGACGAATAAAGTATACTTTACTTTAAAAAACCTATTTTTAATTTTTCTTTTGAATTGTTTTTAAAAGTCTTCAACTTTTTTATTATTAATAATATATACGGGGTAGTCCAACTAACATGCATCTCTTTGCGAATTTTCGTTTTTGGATATCTTGTTAAAATAAGACGCGTTTAGAAATGCTATTGCGAAAATTGAAACCATATAAACTACTTGTATTAATAAAGATGAAGGTTTTATAGAAAATGTTTTTTAATTAGTAATATTTACATGATTTTATATTGGAAAGGAGTTATTAATGATAGTTTGAATATTATATTATATAGGTTTAGTTATATCTAAAACGAATTGTTGCAGAAAATTGGTCATAACTTCTCAACCACCAATTTTTGTAATTAAACCTGTATATTTTAAATGATACAGAACTAAATCCCAAAGCCAATAAAAGTTCTAAATACAGTGTGCCCCAGTAAAAATGAGTTTTTTTTAACTAGAAAAAACATTGTTTTATGGTTATTTGTGATCACCCTGTATAATATTATTTGACCATATATAGGTCAAAATATTAAATATTAACCACTTATTCAATACTATATACCTGAAATACTATAAATAATATGTATATATATATATATATATATATATATATATATATATATATATATATATATATATATATATATATATATATATATATATATATATATATATATATATATATATATATATATATATATATATGATGACACTATATTCCGGGATATCATCCGTTCGCTCGTTGAACTCCGACTGGAATCCTGCAAATCCTGCATCCGACTGGAATCCGGCAGACGTTTCGCCAAAATCTCACTTGGCATCTTCAATGCTCGCGCTCCGAAAACACTGTCCAGCGTTCTCACCAATCTGCCGTTTTTCCAATCATATCAATTGAAACACCTTTACAACGCATGTCGAATGTTGTGAGCAGTAAAAATAGAAGCGTAGACACCACTATTCTCTAAACCTATCTTTATTCATCTGCTTATGTTGGGTCTACCTGCTGCCCTACAAGGCTTTTTAAATGTAATGAGTAAACAAGATTCACTGCCTCTTAAAGCACTGGTCCTCTCAATATAAAATAGAATATTTGAAACCACACAAAGATTTACATCTTCATATTTATGCAAAATTAAAAACAGCTGAAATCTTAATTTGATTCGTTACTCTAATTTCTAATCCATTTGGAAATGATTTTATGTTCCAATTCTATAAGAGAGAGCGTTTGGACTCTATGTCCAATCGTTAGCGCCAGTAAGAAAACTAATTTAATTGTTTTAATGACAGTTAATTGCTTTAATGACAACAAGTCATTAGAACGTAACCCTTTTACAAAGTCAGGGACATAACTAGGGCCCCAAGTGCTGTCATATCACCACATAAAATTCCTCCGTAAATTACAAGGAATTGTCATCCAAGTATAATTATCGACAGAGTCTTGAAGGGCTAGATATTTGATTCTCTCAAAAATTCTGAGTATATACCCAACTGTAAGAAACTAAACAACAACCTAATCAGTGTGTTGCAAGTTACTTGAACATTTTTTAAGGATAACTATCACCGAATGGTAAAGTTATCTAAATAAACTATTGAGAGAAAAGCTTTGGCAGGGAGATAAGAAACCACTGATTTCATTAATTCTGTAAAGACCCACAGGGCAGTGCATAAACCAAAGGGTAACACGTTAAACTGATAACAGAGAGAATCAAAATAAAATCTTAGAAAATTCTTTTGATTTTCAATTATTGGGACTAGAAAGTAGGCTTCTTTCAAGTCCAGAGGGGCCATAAAGGACTTCTTTGTGAAGAGTATTTAAACTAACTTTCTGTCTTAAAGTTTAAAATGACAAGTATCAATAAAAGCATTCAGTTTGTTTAAATCTAAAACTAATCAAACCGAACCATCCCATTTTGAAACCAAAAAGATCTGTGAAATAAATTGATTCTTACAAGGTTCGCAAACTGCAATTGCACCTATCTCTACCAGGTGTTTGACCACATGCAAATTGAATCTTTTTCTTGTTGGAACCAAGCAGGATCTGTCGGAATGAAGTCCTGTATAACTGGCCTCGCAAATGGAATTTTATATCCATCTAACCAAGGCAGGATCTGTACATCTTGAGTTGTAGAGTTCCAAATGTCCCGGAACTCGTGTAATTTTTTCCTGGGGACACAACTCCTCCCCCTCTCCTCTTGAACCTTCCTGTGTTCCCTCTTTACAATGACTTTCACCCACCTCAGCCTTGGACTTTCCGGGAACGAAGTGGGCCGGTCGAGTTTAAATTCGTATGCTATAAAAGCCTTGTTCTGGATGCACCTGACTTTAACTTGGCCACTAATCTGCAACTAATCTTATCAGCCAAATCTTCTCCACATAAACAAGAGTCCAAAGAAGCATCAATGAGCACTTCCTTCATGCAAGGCTGCATTTTATTTGAGACCAGCGAACTTCTATATACTGAACCTGAATGGTGTGTTTTGCTTTAAAACACATATTGCATTACTCAACGTTTCGATGAAAAGTAAGGACTACTCATCCTTAACCTGTTTCAAAAGCAAGGTCGAGAATACTCCTTCTGTGTTGCAGTCAGTCTCTCATCCTTTTTCTTTCCACTTTTGTTGACGGCAGAATTTCATCTGCACATTCAATTTAGGAGGGTTATTGAGCAGGCAAATCTTCGGCACAGGCTATTAACGCAAAAGGTCACTGAGACAATCTTCGGACAACCCGGATTTCAAAAAGGTATTAATCTGCCTTGACAAAATGTCATGAACCGGTTGAGCGGTCAAATTTTGGGTTGGGACTATCAACCACATAGCTTAAAAGCCATTTTGCTCTAAATCCGTCTCGAGGAGCTGAACAATGACATCAGAATTAATTGAAGGCCTAAAAAATATACTTACGTTAGTGTAAGTGCATCCCAACAGCCACAAAAAAATTCTTCATTATGTCCCAGTATCCCAGGCACCTCACCCATAGCCGGACGAGCCAGACAACTCTATTTTTTCGATGTTGAAAAAATATAAAACCATATGTATGGCCGACCCCCTCACAAAAGGATTGCTTCCAATTATGAAACACTTACATACGACTGCTGTCCAGTCGAATAAGTGGGAAAGATGGGGGGGTCTTTCGAGTTCTGGTGATTCCGATCGGAACCCGGACGATGAAGAAATCGTCCCCCAATTGCGAGAAAATCTCGTTGATGGGAACCACGCCACTAGCGATTATGTAATCGCGGACGGAAAGATTTAATCTTTCGCCCTAGATAGGTTCTTTGTTCATCCGATAAGGAAGAATGTAAATCTCACTTGTACTTCTCCATTTAACTTCCTAAAACGCTGAAAAAAGCTGAAAACACCGACGCCGAATAAAAATGAACATGTGCCACCAGTGCACAAAAAGAGGTTAAGACCATAGATGGCGAATATACCGTGCATGGTAAGTTATTCCACAGTTTTTTGGCTCTGCTTTAAAGCTGTGGTACCACCTAGCGACTACAAGGGGGACTACGTATATTAATTTCATAGAAGAGGTGTAACATATAATTAAAAATTATTTAGTACAATGCACTTTCGTACCGTCTAGTGGCATAGATATGAACTTGAAAATTGTGTCCTCTTTTTTCTTTTGATCAGATTAGCTATAAAAAAATTTTCGTGCTCATGCAATTCGTGCTTTCGGAGATACATCCGCTTATTTGCTGACCCGAAATGAGAAAAAAGAATTGCAAATTTTATTTCATGTTGGAGATAATCCCTAGGTCAGTAGCCGTCAAGTAGCTAGGTTATGTGATACATCCCAATATACCGTGGATTGGACCAACACTTCTAGACCGCGATTTTGAACAAAGGGTAAACTTCTGCACCGTTATAATTGAATCAATAGAGGCCGATCCAAATTTTTTGTGAAAATAATGTTTCCCGTAGTAGATATTCCAGGCCAACGGGTTGATTTAAGTAACTTTACTTAATGTGTGGTATGGAAAGTTATTGAACCATAATTTTTAATGAGAACCACTTAACGGACCTAAATATTTAAACTTTTTGCATATTGATTTATTTCAACTTCTTCACATTAAAATAACACATAAAAATAACATCTAATAAATGTGGTTTCAGCAAGGTGGAGCTCCTCCGTAGTATAATTGAGAAGTTCGAGAATTTTTTAATAATCATTATCCACAGAAATGTAGGTAGAGGTGGATTCATTAGATGACCTTCTCGATCATGTGACTTAACAGCACTAGATTTCTTTTTGTGGGTATATGTTCGAAATTGTATTTATGTCATGTTCGGTTCGTGCAGTAGAATTACACCGTGTATACTAAGGAACATCCAAGAAAATTTATGAAAAAGACTAAACATGTGTAATCAATTAAACAGGGCATATTTTTCATTAATTACTAATGAAAATTTCAAGAACTGCAAAACGAATTCAAAATTAAATTTGAAGATTCGGTGTTCGGCGGCACCACTACCTATCTCAGGAACCAGAAGGGATTGAACAAAAAGCTAAATACAAAAGTTGCTGGGTTAATTCAGAATTTTCATTTCGCAGCACAGTGGATCGATACCACAGTAAAATTGGGACATTGGGCATTTTCTTAAAATGCAAATTTGTATTTTTCTGTAGCACATTTTTTTATAAATAAAATTGACGTTTTAGAAAAACACTAGAGCAAAACGTTCATAATACAGTCGGCTGAGGGAGATTTGATTATTTTGGCACAACTTTTGTATAGCAGAAATTAACGAAAAACGACTGGAATTTTAAAATCTAAACGAATTTTCATTTCAGCAATTTTCTAAGCAGAAATCATTATAGAACAAATTGACAATAACAGTAAATTGAAAGTATATACATACTATCTTAACTGCAGGGTAGTATACAAAATTCTGCCCTTAAAAATCCCGTAAACCATTTCTTGCTTTAAATAAACCCACTGGCTGTCAATATCTGCTATTTTAAAATTTATTCCGATTTTATCTCATCTCCAATAAATTGTCAGCAGTAAGTCAGTATATTATAAATCAAAAGTCACTTAAGCTCGTCCAGGATCGATTTTGTTAGACAGGACTATCGAGCATCTAACGATGGCAATTGTTTAAGTTTAAAAAACCGCGCGATTAACGCCAACATTCTCATTTGGCAACCTTGCTGCGCATCAACGTCGCACCCGCGCACCAGGCTCCCCAGTCGCCGTCTTGCTATTAAAACGTGCAGAAGCTATATCAAAAACCTCCCGAATTAAGACGCAAATTTGTTCGCGTTTGTACAAGTGTGCAAATAAAATCGTTCAAATAGAAAAGCAGTTCATTTTCATCGAAGGATTCTCCCAATCGCGTTCCCGCACGCACAGCAATATCTTAAGAAGTTTCTTTCGACAATTCGAGAAAACTACTTAAAAACCACGAATTGATCAGACAATGATAGAGAATATTTACTTCAAAATATCCAAAGTATTAGCAGCTGTAAAAGCTGTAAAGAAACGTCGGAAATAACTATGGGTGGATCTCCATTACCACCAGTCATCGCGAATATAGTTGAGAAGAAAGTCCTCGAGACTTTCAATCTAAAACCAAAATTATGGGAACACTACGTTGATGATACTTTTGTTATTTGCGCTCCGATACACTATCCTATACAGTATACTACACTAAAGAAACTAATAATAATCTCCCATTCTTAGATTTCCTTACCGACCTGTCATTGCTAGCCACATAGACCTATACTTTAGTGCATTATCGCTCGCGTACCGTAGAACCGTTAAACTATCTCTGATAGTTTCCACATTATAGATATTAATCGTTCCATAGCAGCATACATTTCACCACAACCTGCCAAAGCAATGAGTCCAAAAGCAACTCCATTTTTGCCATTGTATGTAAGGGGTTGTCCTTCCATCATCACATCACTGACCACATGTCAGAAGTTATTCAAAAATATAACTTCAAAACCAGATTTACCACAAAAATGTCTGAACATCTTCGATCCGTCAAACGCAAAAAGAACACCGTCACAAAGCCGGATATCAAATTTTGTTCGATAAAACTAAAATTCTTAAATGTAATCAATTCTTTTACCAACGAAAAATCCAAGAATCTATAGAAATTTATAAGCAACCAAGCGAGACTCAGGGGTTTGTCTCTCACCAATATGGGAATCAGTCGTCCGAGACAATATTGCCGCAGGAAGCTGAGCTCTGTTGGTTGCTAAATAAACCCGTGACTTAAAAAGTTTACCAAACTTGTTGCATATTAAATTTTATCTGCGACCGTTAGATCCGTGGGAAACGAAACTGACGTGTTAAAGTGACGCTTCCCGCACCCTAGATCGGTATATAATTAGGTATTTTACAAAAGGGAGTAAAAAATAGCATTACAGTAACCTGCCGAAATTTGTTTGGAAAATAAATTACTTTTTATTTTAAATGATCGCCCCTTAAGTTTCTATTTGTTTTCAAACGACCCATACGTTTTACATTCATAAATGCAGCCATTAACAACCACCAAAATTTTTTACAGGTTTATCAAACTCGTAAAATGTAATAATAACAACTTACTTTTATTCACACCATTTCAACGCGCCAAAAATGTTTTACTAATTGCATTTTTAGTTAAAGCTAATACTAATTTCTATTTACTACAAAGCAAGCTTCTATATCAAATTTTTTGTTCGCACTGGCCGGTTTTTTTTCTCTACCATTCCGGAAACAGTGAAACTATCAAACTAACCAAAACTAATGAAGTGATCCTTTTTCATAGGCCCCGATTTAAACAATCCAACATTATTCATTTCTAGGCTCTTACTCCTACGTAGACCCGCAGTATAAAATACGCAAAGTAGATTACGTGGCCGATAAAAACGGTTTCCACCCGGTCCTCAATGACGCGCCTGCGCCTTTGCCGAGCGATACGCCAGTGGTGGCGGCAGCCAAAACGAGACACCTGGTTCAATACAATCGGATAGCGAACGCCAACCGCGTGGCCCCCGACGTAAGAAGGACTGGTCACTTGACGGGTTTCCAAAGCCCTATTTCTTTAACTTTCTACAGGGTGTTATAGTTCCGATCGAATCCCAAGCTGTCCACAACGCCAAAGTGAGACACCTGACGCTCTTCCATAAAATTGCCGAAGAACACGCGCGGATTTCCGCGCAAAGGGAAGCTGAAAGATTGGCCCACGAAGCCGCCCATCCCAACTCGTTGGAACAAAATGTTTAACACTTAGGGGGCTGTTATACGACCGCCGTCCCTTTGCTGTTGTGTCTGTCGTTTAAGTACCGTTTACTATGCGATAGAGTTTATTTTCACTTTTGAATGTGCAAAATGTTAAAATAAGATCAGGTACATTTTTACATCGTCGAAGAAAGATAAAACATATATAAATACATACAAATATAAATATATAAAGTATAAAAAGATATATTACTCACATACAGGGTGTCAACCGACATGACTGTCATAGTTTGTGAATGTGTTGCCGGGGTGAACAGCATTCTAACTGAGCTACATGCATTTGCAATTTTAAAGACCATTTAAAAGAAACCCGTTTATTTTTTAGTTTATTACTTTTTATTTATTGATATTTTATTTAATTGAATTAATTGTTCACAATTTCCACCCAGTTGCTATATACATAGTCTAGCCTTTCTTTGGATTGTAATGGTAGCTTTGCTAGCAGTCTCAGGATCGGCACGAATAGTTTCTGCAGCATCCATAACTAAAGCTTTCAGGCTTCTCCATAAAAAGTTATCTAAGGGATTAAGATCAGGTGACATTGCCAGCCAAGAAACTGCTGAACCTCTTTCAATCCACCAGTTTGTATAATTTCTGTTACTTGTCGATCAAAGTGAGAAGATGCGCCATCGTGCTAAATCCACATTCGTTGTCTTATATTAAGAGGATCACCATCCAGGATATTGGAAGATCATTTTCAATGAAACGTAAATAACGAATGGCTGTGACACGTTCTCCAGTTTTAAACAGACCATCGATAATGTTACACAAAATATTCACCGAAAATCTATCTTGAAAATGGGATTACTCAGTTTGTCGTGGATTTTCATGTGTCCAACAATGTGAATTCCTGGTGTTATTGATACAGTCTCATCACTAAATAATATTATCCGACAAATTCTTTGATTTCTCAATATCCAGCGACTAAATTCGGTAAGATGCGTTACGGGTACAAACCGAAATCGTGTAAATTTCTCAATACTCTACTAGTAGACGGTTTAGCATCACTTGTATTAAGTATTGCAAGTTCCTGTTGACCGGCACGTTCAGAAGTAGCTGTAGGAAACTTCCCTGTTTCTCTCAAACATCGATGGAAATTGCTAAAGACAGTTCTAAAAAGCACTCTTTTTACTTTTTCTGTATAGACACTAGACCGGAACTCGGCTGCGCGGCTTCTTGTCCTTGAAAGCCACATTGTTTTTCTATCGTCTTCTTGCGGCCACTATGGAACTTTCGCAAAATTTTGTTATGCACGCACCCTATATAAAGTGTTTTTCACGTCTCGCCAAAATTCAAAAATGGCAAACTGTGGTAAATATAAAAATTTGTACAAGTATGATGGACTAAAACTGTAAATAGGAAATTGGAGCTCTCGACAGAGTTTACGATACTGTTTAAACCAAATCATCGAAAAATTCAATTTCAACGATTTTTCGAAAGAAACAAGCAAGTGTATATAGGCAATTAAGCAATCAACTTTTCGTTTATTGCGTTATTGTGTGAGATTGTTTGCCAGGGGGTTCTGAAAAACGTTGGAATAATTCAAGTTTTAAAAATAACAAGTTTCTTTCCGAAAATGCATAGATTTTAAGTTACATATATGTCGATTAATGCACAGCTTTATTACTTGTTACGTTTTTATTCGTAGCTTTCAGAAATGGTACCTATTACATGTCTAGTGCCATATCCGTGTGGTTTTATATTGTGCACCACCGAGGAGCGACAAGCTAGCGAAAACTAACTATAATTCATAATGCAAAACTCTTTAACAAAAGTGCGTTATGCTTTATGTAACACAGGGTGTCGAAAAAAATAATATCTTAGGGGAAGCCTAGGGACTATTTTCGGACCGGGGCCGGATGAAAAGGGCTGACTTATTGTTGAGACTCACTCAAAAGCACTCGTGATATTTTTGGCCTAGAACGTACTTAAAAATTCTACTGGTAATTTTGATGTAGTGCTAGTCGATGCAACAGGAATGGGTGATGGCGTAACATATGCTTTTGACTGAACAGAAGATGATGGTTAGGAGATGCATGAAGATTTTAATTACAGTTTTGAGCTGGAAGGTAATAAAATGCCAAATTTTTTGCTAGTTAATGAATATGTGATCAGTGAGCAGTAAAAGAGGGAAAAGACGAATTCGAAGAACCTGTATCTTTATCTGAGCTATAGGTCAGCGAGTCATTTTTATTTCTATCCACTAAAATCTCCTTAGGCGTATCGCGTATTTATGCGGTAGCTGGACCGTGGGCGTCGAAGAGTTCTAGAACGTTGAGGAATCATGCGTTTCTTGATCAGTATTACTCAGCAGACAATGTTATACAATACTATTCAATAATAAGGTTATCCTGACATTGAGATTGTTTTAAACAGATTCAATTACTCCGTATAATATGCATAAGGTATTTCTTCAATTCAATCTCTTGTGCACTAGGGAAAACTGTCATAACTCTACCCAATTTTCTTTTGCTAGATTTACTTTTCCAATGCCTATAGAACGTAAAGTATGAAAAATCATACTCTTCTGAAACTGTCATTTTTGTTATCGCAATCGCCAAAGTCTCTTCGTTCCAACTCGTATGGGTGGTTTTTCCAACATACTTGTAAACCAACTGAAATATTAAGAAAAAGCACTACACCAGGCCTTTTAAGGGCTTAAATTATAACTCTTATCAAAGCGGGCAAAGCGAATAGGTACCAGGCAAAACAAATAATCTATTCACTATGATAGGACCTGTATTGCAAATGGATTCCAGGGTTGTGATGCCGAATAACCATTATTACACAAATTTAACACATAAATAGCAGCACTAAAAAAGAATGAGGTCCGTCCAACACAAATATCAAGAAATGTAGTGAACTTACCTTGAAACAAATATTAAAACAGAGCAACGGAATTTTTAAAACTAGTAATAACGCCACCTGGCGTTCTATTTATCGCTTGGGCGGAACTGATTTTTAGTTCAGCACAACACTATCGTCGTCTTAAAGAAATTAGGATTATTCGCTTTGCCCGTGCTTCCCCTAAATATGCCGTGACCGACTTTATCGAAATTTGGTAGAACAAGCAAAATGTACGCTATTAAAATTTTTACCTATTTTTTTTTCAAATTAGGCAACTAAAAATGCGACTTTCGTGTCTCTGGAGTTTTTTTCGAATCTTGCTTTGTGTTTGAGGAAAAAAATGCAAACTAATTTCATGCAAGTCCGTGATTGACAAATCCTCATCGGTTTTTTTATTAATATTTGTAATAATCGTTATCCAGGTTTTCGTACGTCCGGATATTTTTCGGCAAATGTGTAAATTTGTTTGATAAAATTTGTTCCATTTTAAAACATTAAGGAATTGACAACACCAAAAGAAATAATTTACAATTATTTTCGAATATACAGGATGAAATATGTGGAAAAGTTTGATTTCGCACATATTTATTAATCACCCTGTATATTTGAAAATAATTTTAAATTACTTCGAGTCTCATCTATACATTTTGCATTTAAAATTTTTCTCTAAAACAAATAATAAACAAGATATATTACCTTGACCCGATATTTGGACACCCTCTATAGTAGATTCCATTTCTTTAGTACTCGATTTGTTGCTTTATATATCGAAATCTACAACTTCTTGAAATTCGCAACCTTATCCAAAGTCACCCTTTATAGAAATGTAAAACACGATAAAATTATAAAAACAGACTGTGTCCAATTGCAAAAAAAGACTTTTTGAAGATTTCATAATTAACACTTTTTCATTAAAGTTTTTCACCACCCTCTATTTGTTTATTTTTTTAAAATCAACACAGGCCGCCGAATGAGATCCCCTTCTACAAGAAAATCAACTCCAAATATACAAGGACATTCAATCAAAAAATTGGGCGGATATATTTACACTTGCATAAGTCACTTTTGACATTAAATTCAAAAAATGCCAGAAACGGTAAGATTCCAATACTATATACGAAAAATTTAGAATTTTCCAGGGAATTAAAAAATGAACTAATATACAGAGTGTTAAATTGAACATAAAGTGGTTACTGCTCCACAAAAATTCAAACCTCAAACAATATAATATTTTAAAGGTATCCGAAAATTGAAACAACTTTGTTTTTTTTTTAATATTTATTACAGGTTCTAAGATAACATAATAAATGGGTCGCCCTATACATAAACAAACTTGGATTGTCATATGGCAGGTAGTTAAATAACACAGCACAACTAACGATAACAAAGAACTGTTGCATTAATAAAAACAAGATTTAAAGATTTTAAAACTTTTGATTTACTCCCCTCTTCACTATTTGTGGATATCACTGATTTCTACATTCCTAACCAATTTGTCGGCTAATTCGCTTAAATCCAATCCTTCTACACTCACGTTCTCCGGCACTATTTTCGCTACTTTCCTATGTTCCCGAACAAACGTTTTCGGGCACTGCATTTCAGTCCAACTGACCGGCACCATAGGGTAGCCATGTTCGCTGTAAGCTATAACAACGCCCAATTCGTTTTCCGCAGTCGTCAGTTGGTAGGCGTGTGCTTCGGTTATGGGTAGCTAGAATAGATCATTTTAATTAAGAGGTCGTCAATAAAGAATTTACATACCACCCGGGCCAGAATAATATCCCCTGGCCGGAAACTTTTGTATATTTCAGTCTTGTCCTTTTCGGTGGCTCTAACGTACTCCCTTCTAATTATCGCCCGGTAAGGGTTTCTAAGTACTGTGTCTCCTACACATTTTATGTAACATTTTGCATATTGCTGGGTGATGAAGTCTACCTGAGCAGTGACGACGTCGCCCTGCCCTGGGATTACCGTCTGTTCGCCGGTCCTATGTACTTCGATAACTTTAATTCCATCTTTGTCAACTATGTCGACGGTACCCGCCAAGGTGGAATAGATATAACCTTGTCGCTCGTATGTACCCCTTCCTGCCGTGTACGTTTCATCGCATATCGACAGTCTTTGACCCGGCAGACAAATTAATGGCTCGTTTTTCATTATTTTGCAATTTGTTCAATCACCAACAAAATTTAACACATTGGAAATGAAAATAGAAACAACATTCCACTGTGTACGAAAATTGACCAAAAAAAGAGGAAGAAATGTTTTCTTCACCGTTGTATACTCTGAATAATCAGAACGAATTTACAAAAGTGTCCCTGATGACAGAATACTTTGAAATCACTTAATCACTGGTTATCGGTTCTTTTTTAAATTGTACTGTTTAGTAGTGAGTCCAATGCTTGTGTAATTGTATTCGTGTTGCTCGGTTCAAAGTTAGAACCAGAGTTTAGTTGTTTGTAAGGTGAAGTTCTCGTATATTATCGCTTGCAATAGGCAATTTGTTTAAAAAACTGTGGGTATTGTAAAATTTAACCAGAAAAATTAAAAAGTAGTATAAAACATGCTAATAAACAATTTGTTTTAAAAAATTGATTTTAATATTCGTCCAAAATGCGAGAAAATTGCACTGAAATTAATTATAAGAGAATACCTATTGTTTATTTAGTGTATATTGAATTTTATTCAGCACTGTAAACAAAATTCTTCTTTTCTTCTCATTCTGTTATTGGGATATAAACTTTAGCCAATAAATTAAAACGTCAGCCCAGAAAAAGCAATTGTTTATCTAAATTTAGAAACAACCTTAAAAAAAAACAGTTTGCAACGTGTCCATTGGGCTTAAGAGTTGTTCCATGGAGGTAAAGAAGAAGAAAATAAGCAAGAACCACTAAAGGATTGTTATATTCTGTGCCTCAAGTTCAAAGGAAATTAGGCTTATAAAAATGGCTTCCAGCAAAAAACATATTTACAAAACATAAGATGATGTAAAAATGTCCGTTTTCCTATTTTACGTTTTAGTTTTAAGTGTATTCCGTAATACGAAATGTGAGTTGCCGTTAGCCAAAGTTATCCAATCTTCGTATAGTCTCGAACGTTTGTTCTTTTAGGTGATGTAGCTTTACAAATTAACAAAAAAATCGAAGATGTGATATATCCTGTGAATTGTAAGGTCGAGGAGAAAGTGGGGACACCATTTTCTTTGGTGTGTGAGTTGGTGTCCACTGCAAACAAAACTAATGAATTTGACGACCAATTGACCTGGGTAAAAGTGGACAAAAACTCCCCAAATCAACTGAAGTAGGCATAAACTTCAATGATTATCCATCCACAGTAAGTTTGCAAAGTTTTAATTTCAGATTTACGAGCGACGCTTCAAACTGGAAAAATGATCTTATAAAGGAGATGAACAAGTCAGAAAAGAAGTTCAAACCCTTGCGGGTGGACGATCGCGGCAACTACTCTTGTTTTAGTTCTAAATTTAACATCCACAAGTCCGTGGAGATAATAGTGAGGGACGATTTGCGACGAAAAGAGCCCCGCCCGATGAGGGAAACAATTATTTGTAACAAGCACATGTTCCATTGCGTGCTAGACGGGGTTTGCATCTTCCAGCATTTCGTGTGCGACGGCAAGGCGGACTGCAAAGACGGCTCGGACGAGAGTGTTGACACTTGCAACGGGGATCCCTGCAAAGGTTAGGTTTTCCATTAAATTTTGAGATTTTGCGAATATACAGGGAGTATTGAAACAAACGCGGGAAACTTGAGGGGGTGATTCTTTGTTAAAAACAAAGGGTGTTTGTTTCATTTTTGGTTGAAAAGCCCGTTGTTGTTGCTTATCCCTGAATTTAAAAGGAAGTATGAACATTTTTCTGAGCTTTTGAAAGAACGAGCTTGCCCAAATATCTAGTTTTGCTTTACTTCAAAAAAGAGTTCATCCAGACATTGACATCGTAATTTTAAGAGCAGATAACGGAAATGCCAATGTCAAATTTTATTTCAAAATCAGAGAATCTATAGAGATCTATAAGCCACCAAACAATCTTAACGGTGACTCAGGTTTTTGCCTTTAACTGATATGGGAATCAGTTATCTGAGACAATGTTCATGTCTCTCCATTAGCTCTGCCCCACTCAAACAAAATGTAAGCAGTCAATTAGTCAACAGGATGATTGGCGAAAACAAACGAAGCAGGATGAATCCAGAAGATTTATAAATAATCTTCTCAACTTTTGTATTTACCATTGTTTTTTTCTGCCATCTTTGACTCACCCTGTGCAACAAAGTGGGCTTTATTTTAAATGAGTCATCGCCCCCTTTTGCATTAAAACAACTTGTATATCGGGCTTGCAGATAAAATCCCCTGCGAGGACGGCAGGTGCATCCCCACCGCTTGGTGTTGCGACCGTCACCACGACCCCAACTGCAATATCACCTTCAGGCACACCTGCTGCCAGTATCTGTCCGATTGTAAGTGTCTCCGCCCCCCTTTAATTGCCAAACCTTTTGAAGCACCACTTTCCCCCCTGCCGTTTGCAGCATATGAGGAAATGGAAGTGGGTTTCCCCGACGCCCCCCAAACCCAGCATACGGGCGCCAGATACCTCTTCATATCGGTCTGCATCATCAGCATATTATTCTCGGTGGTCCTCTTGCTGCTGATTGTGTCGAAAGTGGTGATTTTCGCGAAAAAAACCGCCTTGCACCGTCACAACATCTGCGAGAACATCACTCTGCGCAACCAGACCAACCTCAACATCATACCTTGCGATATCTACGCGTACCGTCACTCCAGGACCAGGCGACCTAACATAGTCCGCAACATAATTATCGATTCATCAGACGTCAACGACCCGCTCCTTTTTAATCCCGCGCGGTTCAATGTTATTAACGCTTCTACCCTGTTCGATCAACCACCATCCTACGTGGACGTGTTGAGGACCAACCGGTTGGTCAGCGAACCACCTCCCCCATACAGGAGCGTCGAAATGCTGGACGAAAGGGAAAACGCACCCGAGAGTGATTAGCGGTCGTGTAAGTTGGAGTAAAGTCGTCTAATGTTGAGTAATATTTTATTTTAATCAAAAATTGTCCGTTCACCATTATGGCAGGGGGGCTTGTGCATTTCTGACGATTTATATTCACTGTGAATTATGGAGGTGGTCTTTAATGTGAATTAATGTGAGGACATTTCTTGAATATTCATACGAAGAAAAGTTAGGATTAAAAGCAGATATTACCATTGAAAAAGCTGGTGTAAGTACCGGAAAAAGTGGCACACGGAAAAAAAAGGAATAGATTTGTGGATGTAACAAAAAAAAGCTCTATATTGTTTTTCCTACTTACTTTTTGGTGACGGAAATAGGGGTCAGCGATCTAGAGCATTTAAGTTTAAAAATTAAGAGACATGAAAATATCAAAAGCAATTTTCATAATTGTATGGAATATTATGTAAATGTGTCAAAGAATAAGATATATTTTATCATAAATTTATTAATTTCATTATATTTTGCATTGGCTCTCTGGGGAAACTTCCGAGAATCCATGGGGATTTCGTGGGTTTATTAATTTTTTGGTTGAATTAGATACAATTCTAAGTGAGCACTGAAAAGGGTACTTTCAGCATGATCTGTTACAGTGCATGCTTGAATAAATAATTGAGGAAATTAACACGTGCTTGAACACATAATTGAGGAAATTAACAATTCTCCGTTTTTGGCGATCATGGCGGACGAAACAACACGTTCTTGCAAAATGTCAAACTGTAATTATTTTTAGATATGAACGTTTTTGGAGCTACTTATCACACTTGGTAACTCAATTTTAACTGTTATAGATCCTTTAATTCTAAATTCACCTTATAAATTAATTGGGCAAAGTTATGATTGGGCAGTGGCCATGAACGGGCAACACGCAGCATTAATTAAAAAAAAGTACCCTTATACTTACATTGTACCGGGTAACCCACTTTTTGCGAATTAAAAGAATTGCAGAACACAATACATTTTTGCCCACGAGCCGCCACTGCATAGTATCGCTCACATCACTGATTTTCACGTGATCGCGTGGGATTTCTCATGATTACTGTAGATTTCGCTTGCAAGGGATTTCTAATGATTGAGCAAGATATCGCTTGATTGAGGTGGATTTATCATTATTGCGCGAGATTTTTCATGATTGTCCGAGATTTTACTTTATTGAGCGCGATTTCTAATGATTTCTCGAGATTTCTCGTGATTGCGCGGTATTTATCATGAGTCCACGGAATTTCTCCTGATTGCTCGAGATTTCGCTTGATTATGCCGGATTGTTCAAGATTGCTCGGGATTTCTTCTTTTTGTCATGTTTGAATTTCTCATGATTGCTCGAGATTTCACTTGATGCGCGGGATGTCTCATTTTTGCACGGAATTTTTTATGCTTCCTCGAGATTGCGGTTAATTTGGCGGTATTTATCATGATTGGCCGAGATTTCGCTTGACTGCGCGGGATTTCTCATGATTGTGCAAGATTTCAATTGATTGCACGGGTTTGATCACGATTTGATACGACATTAGACGTCTTTACTCTATCACTCCTTTGTTTGCTAATAGCAAAACAAATAGTTGTTAAACTTCCATTGGTTTGCAGATATTTTATTTTCAGTATTGTTTCTAGCAATTGCGTAGTTGATATTGAAACGGTCGAAAGTCTGATGAACTAAGTGCCTTCAAGGAACAAAGTAAACAGATCGTATCGTGCTCATCGCTGTTAAGAGGTTGCACGAATTTCACATATCTCGATGTCGAAATCGTCTGTTAAAAACTGTATATTTTTACTGATGTATATAATTATGTATAGACCGAGACAGGACAATAACGCGCCATGCGGATTTTTTTTCGTTTGGGTTTGATTCCCTAGGTTTATGCATCGGACTGCAATATTGTAGTTTATAACAATTAACTTACTGTTCAAGATTATATTTTAGTATAAATAAATTCTATTTTAGATTAGCCGCTTATTTTATTGCCCGTAAGGGGGTAGAGCTCGCCTTTTACTTATTGTCTTCTCTCCGCAGTCCAACCCTGTACTATATATTTTTACATTACTCACTAAAATTTACAATTGAAAGGGTCATATGTAAAGCTCAGTCAGAGCAATTCTGCAGTTACGTCATAGCATCTTGATTACGTCACTATAGTGACTGGAGTATTTTCGATGCACTTATCGAAGTAAAATATTTTGGACCATGCAACGTTACCACTAGAAACAATAACATATCGCAAAATCCGTATCTCGAATTTTCCGCTGTTTTCTTATTATTATTTTTGCTTGATACTTTTATTAATTATTTTTATTTATTTTTTCTCCAAAATAAAAATGATATCGATAGCAGCATGGTGGATGTACGGGCCGGTTCGTACATCTGAATTTAATAACAAAAAGTATTGTTAACTATCTCTGGGATGAGTTAAGCATTTTAGATATTTGCTTTTTAAGGGTGTTTAGTTTTTCGTTAATACTTTGATCAGTTAATAGAATATTGAACTTCGCTCCGAAAACACTTCGAACACTCGTTTTCGGAGCGCGAGCATTGAAGATGCCAAGTGAGATTTTGGCGAAACGTCTGCAGGATTCCAGTCGGAGTTCAACAAGCGAACGGATGATATCCCGGAATATAGTGTCATCTCATTTTTCCATCCGTGAATCAATACGTGAAAAAAAAAATATATATATATATATATATATATATATATATATATATATATATATATATATTATATTAGATAGCACTGTTAGTCGGATCGGAAAGTAAGTTTTTATGCGGTCCCCTTGTACGAGTAGCAAAACAATTTTATCCTTCATAATTTCTTTGCTGAAATGTGGTAATGTAGTTTTGGAACTTTAAAATGAAATATAATTATGAACCCGACAATCGTTTAATGAAGGCAATTAAACTGCCTCGTTAGTACCGATACATATGGCATACAATAATTTATGACCAAGGCACTAAATCTAGACTAGCGATAAATATGGTAACGTTGTAATGTTATGTTTTGTTCAATCCGATCCCCAAGTCAATATTCATATAAAGATTTTCCACTCTCGCATTTACAGGGTAGCCCACCACTGCTTATAGCTCCGTGAAATAAAAAAAGTTCAAAAATTATTTGTAGAAAAGTGCAGCATAAAATAATTACCGTTAGCTAGCAGTTCTCAATTTATCACTTAGAGATTTACTCGTATTTTGACACAGTTTGGTTTGATTTTATTTACAGATTACCCGGGGCTGTATAACAGCACTACTGCACAAACTAGGGAATAATTATCATATATTTTAGGCACAAAATAAAACACATCAGATATGTGGCCGAATACAAATATCAATTGGAAAGGTTTATTTTTGAAAAACTCCCAGTGCTTCAACAACAAAAACCCATAACGCAAAAAGCAAAGGGGAACAATTCGTGCATATCGATCGATAAAAACTGGGAGAATATTACATGCATCGATTAACTAATAATCTTTCAGAAGAATTATTATTATTTTACTTGAACAAGTGGTTCAGTCCATAAACGCAGTATAGTATCAGATGTTACAGGAATGATGGAACCTATTTTGGCACCATAGTACCGTTTACAATCTGACCAAACCATTTCCAAGCGGAAGCCGCAAAACGCGATACTTAGGAACTACCTATGCAGTTTTTCTGGTCAGTGTTTCTTCACTAACATCCATAGTTGGTCTTTCATTAAACTTGGTTGAACTGGAATATTTCTTTTTTGCAGTCATTCGACAAGAGACTGCTTGATCCACCTTTGATTAGGCAATGACAAAGTGAAGCTTAGTGACGTGAAGCTTTACTAAGATTTTCAAACAGCTGTTGACTGAACCACCTTTTAAAGTAAAATAAAATTATATAAATTACTTCTTTTCCCAAAACATATTACTATTGAGGAAATGAGAGGTTTCGTCGGTACAAAACTAAAACTTTTATCTCGGTTCATAAGTCGGAAAAACTACTTTTCCCATAAAATAGAAATATAAATCACCTTTCAAAGTTTTCAGTGTTCGCTGAATCATGGTAGTTCCCCGATTTAAATATGAGGCTGGCGTACACCACAAAGTAATTTTTAGGGACAGAATGTAAAATTACAAAGCAAGCAGTTTTTTCTAGATGCTCAATTAATGAACCATATGAAATATTACCATTAATTTCATGAAAATTAAGGGAGGAAAACTAATTATTAAAATGAATGAATTTTTTCGATCCAAAAACCACGAAAAAGTTATATAGGTCTTTGACTACACACAAGGAAGCAGTACCACAAATTATATTATTCATTTGGAAAATGGTAAATTTTCAAATGTTTTTCACACCTGTTGCGTACATAGCACAAATTTGTTTCCGGATGCTCGTGTACTTTATATAGGGTGTTTCGTACGCTGCGATATGACGGCTCCGAAGTTTAACTTGATGTTGATGATAAGACCGAACAATTGACGATACGCCCGTCACAGCAAAAAGTAAGAAGGCACAATCAAGAAAACATTTTGTTGCGGTAACAGTAACGAGAAGAAAACTTCAACAGCGGCGGGTTTCCATCTCCTTCGGGTCGTTCTCGGTAACTTTCACTGTCGAGCGGTTCATTGTCGTTCGAGTTCTTGACGCGACGATGACCGCGAAACGAAAACGCGAGGCTTGATCGCGTTTTCCGTAATATCGACTCCGAGAAAAGTCTTCGAAGACCTCACGATGAAGCAGTAAGTATTGAAAATTCTGAATTTAAAATTAAATTTAATAATCTCTTTATAATTTATACGATTCCTTTCCTTACGGTGTAGAATAAATTAAATCCCATTCGGGAGTTTATACGGATGCGGTCTCCCATTTTATAAAAAATATTTTTTTTTCTTAGCATTGAGCTTAAACAACACGCGTAAATTACAAACATATTAAGCCTATCTAATTTTAATAAACACTTTTAGGCGGGAAATGGTCTCAAATATTTAATTTACCCTTTAATTAGATAGTTTGCAAGTTTAATTAGCTAATATTCTATTCATTTTAATGTGCCACATATGGAAATTATTTTTACCAATTGCACAATAAAAATACTAATATTACCATAATCATAGTAGGCGCACTTAAAATATTTGCAAGTCAGACAGCATACAGGTTAGGGCGAAAAAAAAAATTGTACAAGAGTTAGATAAAAAGTTGTTTAAATTAAACATTATTTCTTAATATCAAAGCAGGGCCTACTAGAATAAAATATTAATAATTTCATTATTATTATGAAACCGTCGCAAATTATTCAATAGTAAATCAATTTAGCAAATTTTTGTTTCAATACCATCTTATTTCATAAAATTGACTGAGATTATATATATATATATATATATATATATATATATATATATATATATATATATATATATATATATATATATATATATATATATATATATATATATATATATATATATATATATATATATATATCGAAACACAAATTTTAATAATCAAAATTTTTTGTTTTTACATCATTATGTAAAATACCTAATTATACACCGATCTAGCGTGCGGACAACGTGGATCTGAGCCTCTTCCGACTTTCCCGGGATATTACCGCACGGCTTGAATTTTGACATTTGTGACGGTCATGTCACTCAACATATTCGTGTTGTTTTGCAAAAATACAATAACCAAAACTAACGGTCTTAGAAAAAGTATAATATGCAATGCGTTTGGTAAACTTGCAGCATAAAATAATTACCGTTAGCTAGCAGTTCTCAATTTATCACTTAGAGATTTATTCGTATTTTGACACAGTTTGGCATGTTTTTGATTTTATTTACAGATTACCCGGGGCTGTATAACAGCACTACTGCACAAACTAGGGAATAATTATCATATATTTTAGGCACAAAATAAAACGCATCAAATATGTGGCCGAATACAAATATCAATTGGAAAGGTTTATTTTTGAAAAACTCCCAGTGCTTCAACAACAAAAACCCATAACGCAAAAAGCAAAGGGGAACAATTCGTGCATATCGATCGATAAAAACTGGGAGAATATTACATGTACTAACCAAAACTAACGGTCTTAGAAAAAGTATAATATGCAATGCGTTTGGTAAACTTTTTAAGTCACTCGTTTATTAATCACTCGCTCCGCTCATGCCGAATAAACTCGTGGCTCAAATACCGTTTACCGCACTTGTTGGATAATATATTATTAAATAACTAAAGCATTGCTTATTATAATAGCCATATGAAAAAATCGTCATTTAAGTAGCAAGCAAAATTATTACAAAAACCTACTAATGAAGAGAAACGCGTAATCAAAGATAACCATAAAAGGCTTACTAAAATAAATAATATTATATAATAATCTGAACCAATTTATAAGTGTGCAATTTAACAAGATAGGAAAAATAACATCACGAATAACAACATATTTAGAAGGCAGAAGAAATAAAATGATTAAAAATAAATTATCAGGCTTTTCTGTATGTCCACCTTTTCGCTCGATGCATGTAATCATAAAATTATAAATTTTTTGTTCATATATTTACAAATAAAAAAATCAAATCTGCTGATATCTGGCGAAGAGGGCCCCGTAGATCGATATTTCGTCCTAACCATTTGTTTCCAAATTGTCTATTTAACCATTCGGTAACAGTTCTAGAATAATAGGCAGGCCATCAGTCTTATACAAACCATGGTTTGCGACGTTCTTCCAAACACAAATGTTATAAAAATTGAGTAGTGAATTGGTTTTTTCGGATGTCGTACATTGAAGATATCTGCCTCTTCACGCACTGGAGACGGCATTTGAAATAAAAGTTCTTAATAATCAAGTAATTATTATTTTACAATAACAATGAATGACATCAGATTGTCATAATGCTTACTTCAAAGGCATCAGATTATCATAATATAAGAATTATCGAACATGCACCATCTCCTTATATCATGGATATGTGTGATTATTTTAATAGCACTTTGTGTTTGTCAACTATTAATAGATTATAACTACAGCTCTCTATGAAAAAATTTGAAATAACAATGTTTACTATTTTAATGACAATTTTTTAATAGGCTTTTCAGCAATGCTTTGGCTACTAAGAATTTTCATAAAATTTGTTTCGCTGAAAAAAATAAAAATCTTAGTTAATTTTACAAGTAAGATGGGATTGGAACAAAAATTTGCTAAATTGATTTTATTTTGAAAGATTTGCGACAGTATTCAAAATTATTGAAAAAAGAAGAAAAATATTAATTTCTTTCGAACCAAAAAAACTTTTTCATATTAAGGCATAATTCTAAACAATTTGACAATTTGACTATGGAACATGCACCAACTTTTGAAAATATAAAATATTAGTATTTTGATTGTGCAGTTAGAAAAATCTCATATGTTGGATATTAAAATTTAGATAAAATTATTATTACCCAGTTGAGTCGAACGCAGGGGCGTAATCATATTTTTTTCTGTAATTCTCTGTATTTTATGTGGCAGTCGAAAATGGTGGACGCATTTCGTGTTTATGCACGAGATTTCAGGGGACGCTGAAATTTGACTTTTCGAAATTGGCGAATTTACCCAAACTACACGACTCGTCAACTCGAACGACTACGAAAGCGAAGATTTAAAACACTAAAAACTTTCTCCGATTGCGACGACTGAACACAAATTGTATGGAGCGTCTCTAACCACCGTGACGCAAGATTATTACGACGAGATCTCATGATACAGTGTGGCCCAAAAAAAACGACCCCCCCTCCCCCAGAGGGTATGTTCTGACCGGAGATCTATCAAACTCTATTCTATTCTATAACTATTCTACGTCTTAACTATATATATGTCCCATTTTAGAATTCTGCGCTAAATTTCACGTATAATTCAAGTAGCTTACCCTATATCCTAATATTATTTTCCTTACACACTTTTGATTTAAAATATCCCCAGAGGAAAAAATCCAGTGGAGTAGTATCTTAGGGTCATTCAGTTGATCTCACGCACTTGCCGAGCAAAATGGAGCGGAACACCATCCTGTTGAAACCAAATCTGTCTATATATTAGGATGATTTGGATTTGGAAAGGAAACTGCACAATAGGAATTACGTCATTTTGGTTAGTTTCACTGTTGATGGTACGTTTACGGCGAACGATAAATTGGATTGCTTTGAAAATTTGGTTAGTTCCACAAGCGGCGATGCTATTGCTATTGATTTTAAATGTTGCGACGTCAGCGCTTCATCGAAAAAGTAGCATCAAAATTGAAATTTTTAGTGGGACACCATGTATATTATTGCATTTTCCTATACGCTAATACTTTATGATTGCTTTTTAATTATAAGTTCTATCTATCTATATTTAGTGGTTTTCGAGAAATTAATTATTTTCTTTATCTTTAAGCTGTGATAAAGAAAATAATTAATTTCTCGAACTTACTAATTATTTTCTTTATCACAGCTTAAATGTGTGGTGTGTGTGGTGGAAATAAGCTTGAGGAGAATCTATATAACGTGCTTAAAACAATATGGAAGGAAGAAAAAATGCCCTTGAGATACAGGGAATCAATTATCTGCCCAATTCATAAAACAGGAGATAATACTGTATCCGATAATTACAGAGGCGTAGCACTAATAGATACTGTATACAAAATTATGGCGATCGTCAACAAGAATAAATTAAAGGAGGAAATAGGGTAGAATCAGTGTGGCTTCTGAGGTAAATAGGTCCGCAATGGGTTAGATTTACATATTAAAACAAAATTTATATAAATATATGCTGTTTATTGATTTTAAAAAAGCCTATGATACAGTCATAAGAAAACAATTCTGTGAATCGATGGTGGAATTGAAAATATCAAATAAAATTGTTAATTTAACAAAGATGACTTCAGAAACTATAAGGTAAAAACGTCAGAAAAATTCCGGGTAATGACTAGGCTAAGATATCTATTATCAATATCATTATTTAATATACTATTGGAATATTATTTTAGAAAAGTAGACAAAAATAATGATTTAGGGGTATCTATAACATCAGATTGTGAGGAAAAGTGTAAAATTCAAGAAAGGTTAGCAAAATGTATGAAATTAGAGGGAGGATGGCTAAATTACATCCTATTGCATTACATTACATATTAAGAGCAAGAAACAAACGTGTCAAGGAGTCTCAAAAAAAAGGCGTACGTACGTCTTGTATGGTTGTCAAGTATGGAAGCTCGACAAAAGGGAGGCGGAGCATTAGAAATATTTTAAAGGAAAGTATTGCGAAGAATTATTGTTGGAAGGAAAAGAGAGGACCACTGGCTAAGAAGGTCTAATATAGAGTTTAAAAGGTTCCATGGAGAACTGTTCATAAAAAACGTTGTCTTATGTCAAATAATTCATTTTTTAACGAATTTATTTATTTTTATAGCCAGAACATGCAGAACAAAAGAAAATTTGCTAACCATTTTGCGAAAAACATTTTAGAAACTATTTACACTAAGAAGATATTAGAAACTTAAAAAAAAAATTGCACACAGAAAAATGAGTTCAATCCATTCATCATTGCATTCTAATTCTTTATTTCCGAAGAATATATTTGTTCAAAGCATCTTACAATCCGACGACTAACTCTTGACGCGTGACTTTAACGCACTCCATAGTTAAAAAACTAATGGCATTAGATCGGGGGTTCTTTCTGGCCAATCCTGCACCCCTAAACGTCGAAAGCAATGGTCATTAAATAATTCGTATAATTCTTACTTTATTATTTTTTAACAAAACACATTCAAACTCATTTTCCTTTGAAATCCCATTTCTTATGTTGCATGAGGATTGTCGACAGACCAAAAGTGGTTCATTCCTTCGATTTCTTTTCTGAAAATTTTGTTTCGTCGGCCACCTAAAAGATTAATTATGCCACAGTAAATTCAGTTTTCAGAGAGAAGCTTGCTTGTTATTCAAAAGAGAATTTAATTTGCTCTTAGAATATGTAATAATATACATCGTGTTTAATTAAACAATAAAACATTTTTTACTATTTTTCTATCTGGTTAGCAAATCATTAGTATTGACCTACCCTGTATAATATAGAACTAATTTCGATATTAATAAATTCCATCAGTTTCGTAGTAATAAAAATGAAGAAAATAATTATGTTCTCAAAAACCGCTGAAAATAGATATCGCATCGCCGCTTATAAACGTTCGAGATACCATCAAACCGTATATGATTTTCTTTCATGCATTGGGCATTATTTTTTTAAAGAAATCTATAGTTTTGTTTATCTACCATTTAAACAAAACGAGGCTTCTTCATTAAACATTATCTCATTATGAAAAAATGGATTCAAGTTGCACATTTCAATCATAATTTCACGAAACTATAGGCCTAGGTCGGGGTCATCTTTTTTCAGTTCCTGTTCGTTGGCTGACATCACTATTTGGAGCTTCTTCAGTAGATGCTCAACCGGGATTAACCCCAACGTCTAATATAATGTTTAATCTTATGTTATCATTAGTTTTTGGATGATCTCCCAATTTCTGGGTCTTTCAGGATAATTTGTGTTAAACAAACTACACACTTCTTGAATGCTGGTTTTATCTCCATACGTATTAAAAATTAAAATTTCAATTCCCCGATTTTTATGTAAATGCGTCATATTCTCTGTCTTTACTGACAGAAATGTAAATGTAACAATTTAAGAACTTTACTGGTTCTAGCTACTTACCTATTCATTTCAAAATAAGATTTCTGTTTTTTATTCATTTGCTTATAAACGAGATGGTATGCTACATGAATTATTAATTAAATTTGACATGGTGGAAATTAAAAAAAGTATTAAAAAAAAAACTTGTATCGACATCTACATTTTGATATATCCTATAAAATTTCTGTTTACTTGAAAAAATGGGCAAGAAAAAATTATGATTTTTAATTAGTTTGTTCCATATTTTAGCCATTCACTATACATTAAAAAAAACTTCATATGTACGTATGTCTTAAGTTATAAAATACAGAGTGGAATATTTTAAAAAAAAAAAATTTTTTTTTAATATATGTAATGCCACTTTAGATATTTAAATGAAATTTGGCACACATGTACTACTACAAGAAGCATTATTTAATCTACTACAATTATTTTAAAATACACTGATTTCTCTTAAAAAGAAAATTATTCTTACTATCTCCTATCATTTCTAAAGAAATTTAATTTATTGTTTTTTTTTTCAATCCGATCTACGGTTTTCGCTTAAAAAATGAAAAACCTTTTCTCTGCATGGTTATAACGATATCATTATTATTTCTTACTTAACCAATTGTCTATCTGTTTTATTAGAATACATAGAAGAATCGTACGAATAAGAAGTACGTAATAATAATTATTAATTCTGTTGTTAAGGCAGTTGTTTGACAGTTGTTTGACATCAGTTTTTAAATTCAGTTCTTCGTGAGTTATTAATTTGGTGTTAGCATTGTTATTTTAAAAAGGAATGGTCGAGTTTACTAATGAGAAGTTGGCAGATATGTATTTTATGTATGGTTTGGCTGATGGCAGTGTGCCAGAACCTAGCGATTATATCAAATGCACTTTCATAAGAGAGTTATACCAGATAGGCGAATATTTTCAAATGTACATAGAAGGTTGACTGAAACATGCTTGAGAACAAATAACCATTTAAAATGGGCCCTTGGAACTGTAAGAGCTCAATAAACTGAAGAAACAGTTTTAAGAAATACTATTAACAGATAAAGCTAATTTTTCCAGAGATGCAATCAGAAATTTCCACAATAACCTTATTTGGATGGATGAAACCCCCATGCAGTTGTAGAATTTCAACACCAAGAACAGTTTTCGGTAAATGTTTGGACTGGAATTGTTGGAAATTACTTAATTGAACCCTTTTTCCTGTCAGAAAAGCTAAAGGGTAATAATTATCGCCGGTTTTTGAAAATGTTTTGGCAATATTGCTAGAAGAAGTTCCATATTTAGTTAGGAAAGAACGTGGTTCATGCACGACGGCGCGCCTACTCACTTTAGTGTTGCAATAGAAGAATATTTAAATCACACATTTAATAACCAATTAGTAGGTCACGGCGGACGTCAACCATGACCCCCTAGGTCCCCAGATTTAAAAAGTTTGAACTTTTTTCTTATGAGGCATCTTAAGAGTATGGTTTATCATACCCCAGGTAGCACTAGGGAAGAGCTGAAGGATCGTATAAGAGCTTGCTGCGATTTAATAAGAAACAATGGAGGTATACTTCAAAGAGTACTGGGCAATATGAGGAAAAGAACTGAACCGTGTATCCTTCAAGGGTGAAGGATACAACAACTTATCTAGTTTCTATGTTTTACTTTTTTTTTCAAAAAGGTTGTTATTAATTTATAAACAGACAATTTTCTTGAAAACTATGGATGTTATGTTATTTCATTAAAGCTGTAAAAGTGAAGGACACTAGTTGGTAACTAAAAACCAGATATTTTGTTTTTGACGGATATTTTACTTTTCACAAAAAAATAGTTCTCGATATCACCAGTGCACCTTATTTAGCAAAATATTCTTTGTTCTGCTAGATGTCCAGATTTGAATTGATTCAGAATAATATGAATTAAGTTTTGGTGCCGGTAACGGGCGACTCAAAAGAAAAACGTTTCGCTCTTTCAGCTCGTGGCTGGCGAAGCAAATCAGACTCTGGGTGGCCCAAGAAAGCAACGAGGACGATCCGAAAAATGCGATCTTGGCCCAAATACTGACGCCGTGTTTTAAACAGGTAAGACAATGCGGCGAACGCGTTAATATTCTGGTTTATTAAAATTTAAAAAGTGCGCTGCAGAAAACCGTGGAAAATATTTTTAGATTTCCAAAAAGGTCGTCAACTTAAAAAGAATTTTTCACCGAATTATGGTTTTATAAAGCTAAGCTTTATTCGAGTAATTTTTGTTTAATACTTTTTGAAGTATCTATCAAAATAAAGTGGTGGGGGTAATTCAATGTTTTTTTTTTAAATAAACAGCTGTAACTCCTGTGCGACTGAACGGATTATAACAAACTTGGTCTGGTTAAAAAAATGTTTCTCTATAAGTCTTTCATGTAATATATCCAGTTCTTAGTGAATCGGCTAGAGCGCGTTCTTTAATATAATAACAGAAGATTGCAAAATTCTTTGAAAATTCAAATGCAATAATATAACTTTTCTTCAATAAAAATCTAGTAAAATGATGACCCAATAGGCTAGTAAAAACCGTATCTTGATATATAAAAAGTAGAAATCGGTTGAAATTGGTGTGGTTTGATTTAAAATATTGTTTTGTATATTTTTTACCCAAACGGCGTAGTGCCTATAAATTTGGGAAATAGAGTTCGTCTTAAGCAGATGTATATGGATTTGTGATAAGTTATTCCCTTATGTTAATACGGTTTTCGGATATCTTATATCCACGCTGGTAACCAGGCCAGATGGGATTGGATATCCCGTATAAGAAAATTACAGGATTCATTTTATGACTATTTAATTAGATGTTGTTCCACTGTATGAATATGTTAACAAACTTGGAGGATGATGGAATAGTCCAGACCCTTTCTTTAGGAAGGCATCCTTTAGGAATTTTGTATAATATGTACTAATGTTTGTAATCTGGCCAAATTGGCCAGTTTCGGGGCCAAATAAACCAGTAAAATAAAAAAAAAACTAAAATATAATGGTAAAAAAAATTATGTATCATAAAAATTTATAAAGTCGTGATTACACAAGTAATTATTCTTGTGTATTTGTCTTTTTCCAGAGTTCAAAGATAAAAGTTCATAATTTTATGATTTTTAAATAATAAAAGTACTCTTAATTCAAAAAATTTAAAAAAATGTGTAGAAGCATAAGAAGGAAAAATGCCCGATTTTGAAATAAAACTAATGCCTTCTTAACTGTAGTAACTGTTTTCCTAACAGGCTACGAGTTATCTCTTGTATTCATATTTTCATAGCGTCTTCCGTTGTTGATAGAATTTGGTAAACAATATCTTTTAACCGACCCGACAGATACAAATCCAAACATACAAGATCTGGGGAACGGGTTGGCCAAAGAAATAGAGTTTCTCGTTCGATCTGCCTCTGATATGTTTGATCTATATATTCTTGAAAATGTACGGCGCAACCATCTAGTTGCAAAAACATATTTTGCCGTAACTATAGCTGCTCATCTTATAGCAAAATAGGCAATTGGTTTACCAGAAAGTCATAAAACATTTTGGTGGTTGATCAACAAGATAGAAGTGTTGCACCTCGCGCAACCAGTTTACTCTATAGTTCTCTATTTTCTCATAAACGAATACAGCTTTCTTATTTAACATGACAATCATAGTTGGCTATGGTCTTAAAAAATGCCCGTATCGAGCTCTTTTCAGCCATATATATTTGTCGGTACCTGTGACGAAAAATGGCGGAAATATAAGTTAAGGACATAACTTTTATTCTTTGTCACACATAATTTTAATGGTCAAACTTAAGTTATTAGCAAATAAAAAATGTATGAATCGACAAGCGAATTGCAAAATCCAAGCATATCCTCAATGGAACTAGCTGACGTCACAAATGGAAAAACTAAGGTTTTGATTACTTAAAAACATAAATTTAATCCATATCGTACCAGAAAAGTCGAAAAATTGATTTTGATTGAATTGAATTTATTTGATTTATTTTATATTTTTTTATATGACATCTGTTAGAATATATTAAGCACGACCTACTAATACATAAACAAAAAATGCCCTATATTTCCGCCTTTTTTCATGACATATACCAAAAAATCTATATGACTGAAAGGGCTCCACACGAACATTTTTTTAAGACTGTAGCCAACTAAGATTGCCAATATAAAACAAGAAAGTTATTTATTTATCAGAAAACGCAGAACTGTGGAAAAAATCTGAGTACGCCACTCCATAAATAAAAAAGTTAGAGGCAATTTTCAAAAGGGGTGAACAATATCTCGGCTGGTAGTGAATACATCGCCATGCGGTTTTAACCAATAAATGATTCTCAAAACTCGAGTCTTTGACATGTAAGTCGATTTTGCTCTATCTAGTTCACAAACAGGTAATTCCTGTTCAATTACGACCACCCTGTACATTTAATGCTTCTATTTAAACCTCTATGGTTAACGGTTCCAGTCACACAAGGGTGTCATTTTGAAGTCCCGTATATTATTATTTGACAAAAAGTTTTTTTAATATAATAATATAATATATAATATAAAATTAAATTACTTTGACATAACTGTAAATGTAAGGTAGCTATAAAATATCATGATACATGTATTCATGGAAAATTGAGTTATTGTCATTCATAAATGTTTTGTTGGCAAAATTTAAAAAGTAAAGTAAAAGAACTGTAGGGGTGAATATGTTCAAATATGAGACACTGGTGCTTTAAATTGTGTAGTTATTACTGATTGCTCGGTCGGTTGAAATCAATCGATTTAGATATAATTCTACGCGGTCCAAACATTTCGCATCGGTTTCGAAGTATTTAGTAAACTAGTTGGTTACGTCTTTATCAATGTTGCAAAAGTTGTCATGACATAATCGACTAATTTTTAGCCAACTTTTACTGTCCTCGATCACAAAATACACATTTCGTCCGACCAAACGATGCAGATCGTCCGAAAAGTACGTATTATATATATTTTTATGCCCTTTATACCAGGGTCGTCCGTAAGAGATATAAAAAAATTAAAGGTTTCACGATTGTAATTAAACTGGAAGAATTTTTGGTTTGACGTTTAAAAAAATAGAAAATAGAAGCTAGAAATATTTTCCCATATTTCGTTTTGGGTATTTTGAATATTTATTTTTGACTCGCATTATTTATCGATCTAACCTAAACAGTTATAATTCTGTCATTCGTAATATTGTGGATCCATGGGAACCACCCACTTTGGTATTTTTCCGAAGTGAACGGAACGCGAACCGGAGAAGATAGTCTGGCTTTATAAAAGCACTGGTTTAGTCGGATTTTAAGTAGCTCCCATAGTTTTGTTTTTCATAGCGTCGCTTTGCTACGTCAGTTTCGTTTCCCATGAATCCGAGCCACTTCGGACATTTTTGGAATTTTACCGCACGGGTTTGGGGGCAATCGGATGTTTTCGGAGATATTTCCCACGTGGGGGAGAAACGTATCCTTGCTTCACCACCATCTAACGGGTTGATTTGTTGGGGGTGTGGACTGTATTCTTGCGGGGCTGGTTTATTTTAAATGATAGCCGTTTAACACAACACAAACTATATTCTGTCACAACGCGACGACGGTACAAGATAAGGCATTTAACAATCGGTTTATTTGAGTTAATCACAAACACAATTTGCGTTAAAATAGGGATTAAACTTTCTCGAAAGAAACCGTTTGAGGGGCTAGTCCAAAGAGGACACCGACTTATAAGGGAATATTAAGAGTGAAAGGGGGGTTTAGCGATAGGGCGATTTTCACTTTTCTATCGTCAAGGGCGGTCGCGGTCGACTGACTAACTGCGCGCAACGCATGTCTGGAAAACAGGCGTCGTCGGGGCGGTCAGTCACGTCTATGCAGCGTGATCAAGGGAGGCGATAGACGTTGTCACGTCTAACGCAATATCCGCGTTTCAGGGTTCGCGAGGGCATTGGGTTGTTTTATCAACACCCACGCTTTGAATTTTGACGTTTGTCAATTCTGACAGTCATGTCAGTAAATGTATTCGTGTTTTACGAAAATGTACCCAAAAACTAACGGTCGTAGAAAAAGTTTGGCAAACTTTTTAACTCACGCAATGCCGTTTACCGCACTTGTTGCATAATATACTATTACATTCATTATTTAAGAATCTTGTAAATAAGGTCCTTAAATGGAAAAAGACTTTTAAAAAATATTCATATTTTTGTTGAAAGACACAGACGGCTCATGCTCTCAGACAATATGGAGCCAAATTTCCCCAAAGGAGATTTGGAGAGTTTTGGATGAAAATATGCAGCTAGATATTCTTCTGACTTTTGAAAATACTCCAGAGACCTCCACCTGCCTTGCCGCTTCAGATGTAGACGTAAGACAAGCTACGCTTCAAACATGTTTAAAAATAGCCATTATTGAAGTTCAGAAAATAAAAAATGTGTTTTTGAGGTAAACAAGCAGCATTGAAGTTGTGCTTAAAATTTGATCTGTCATATTAAATTTTGTTCCACAACAAGAAGTCGAGTGGAGAGATATCTGAACTATTCGTTGGTCATGTTTCATGTTTTCCTATCGGAGACAGATTACGGAAGTAAAAAAGAAATTGTTATCTGAATATTTAAAATCAGCAAAAAAAACTCCCACGTCTTCTACTGAAAAATTCTTCCAGAATCTAGCGGCCTCCGGGCCTCTACTCCTCACCGTTGGCACCGGCGTCACGGTGGGCTACTCGGCCGTTCTGCTGCCGCAGCTTCAAACTAAAAATGGCGGCATCCCCATTGACAAAGATCAAGAATCTTGGGTAGGTAAGGTCGTCTCAAAACCTAGCCGTCACAACTCCACCCATTCGATCGACTTTTAGCGGCGATGGCCGCCCTGCCGATGGCTTTGGGCACTCTCCTCGGCGGTCTGCTCACCGAAAAATACGGCCGAAGATTCACCCACGTCTCGACTTGTCTTCCGACTTTCGCTGGCTGGATAATCATCTACTGCGCGCGCAACGTGGACATGCTGCTGGTCGGTAGGTTCCTTACGGGTTTGAACGCCGGCATCTTGGCACCCGCCACCGGGGTTTATATCGGCGAAACGTCGGAACCCAGATACAGGGGATTCTTGCTCGGTGAGTTCGCGTCAAACCCAATTTTTTTTAAACTGGTCACCCTGTATATATTGTGATAAAACGATCTACTTTGTCGTCAAGAGCATCTCAAAAATATATAAAACTACAGTTGTTTTTAATATTAACATTCGCCGAAAATATACAGGGTGGGTCAAAAAAGTTAGGTCGATACCAATTTTTTTTTTATAATGAAACACCGTTTTTGCGAATTCTGTATCAAATTTCACGTACCATGTATTCATGTAAAAAGAACAAAAAAGAAATTTAATTTTGAAATTTGAAATTTAATTTGAATAGAAGTATCTAAATGCATCTAAGCATCTAAATGAAACCCATACAATTGAAATTTTAATTTTTATTAGATATCGAGATTAAACGAGAACTCAAGAGTTTGCACTATTAAAAACTCTAACGTTGCCACGTTTGGAATTATGTGGGGCGTATTTATTGGCTAAGTTAGCAAGACATGTTCTACAATCTTTAAAATTCGAAAATCTTACCTGCGTCTACTGGACAGACTCAACAATCGTGATAGGTTGGTCAAAAACACCACCTAATCAATTGAAAACATTTGTTAGCAATAGGGTTGCTGAGATTCAGGACATAACGAGTCGTTTTCCTTGGAAATATGTTGCTAGCAACGATAATCCTGCAGATCATCTAACATGTGGACGGTTGCCTTATCAAATGGATCCAATCCAGGAGTACAGTTTCGAGAACTTACGTGACCCACGTAACGATATCAACACACTCATCCAACAAAATACTTATCCAAGTTAATTTCCTTTTGAACTGTGGCTTGGATTTTCAGATTCATAATTAATTGTTCAAATAAGACTTTAATCTCAGGTCCTTTAATAGTGCAGGAAATAAATCATGTTTTACTAAAACTTATCCAAGAATCTCAAATGGAATCATTTTATTTTGAGTATCGTAATTTGTCACAAGGTAAACCTATTTTATCAAATAGTCAATTATTAAGCCTTTCACCATTTTGGGATGGTCAAGTCATTGGTGTAGGCGGCCGTTTAATAAATATTTGTATTTGTGCCATGCGGGTCCTCAAACTATCCTTGCTTCCGTTCGTTCGACCACAGCGGGCAGAAATTTAGCAAAAAAGATAGTAAGAGAGTGTATACATTGTTATAGGTACCAGGCAGTTATTCAAAATCCCATAATGGGGAAATTGCCTTCATCGCATATCAATCAAGGCTATCCATTTGAGGCCACAGGAGTCGATTATGAGGGACCTTATTTTATTAAGAATCATAAAGGTCTCGATGCTAATCGATCAAAATGCTAGATATGCTTATTCGTTTGCCTTAAAATTCGAGTTGCGCATTTAGAATTGGTTACAGACCTTACTTCACAAGCATTTATCGCATTATTTAGAAGGTTTACATCTCGAAGGGGTAAGCCAACTCACGAGTATTCTGACAATGTCAATAATTTTGTGGGCGCCGACGCGGAATTAAACCAAACTTTAAAGGATAGTAATTTTCAAAGTGACTTGAAAAATTCGTTAAGTTCTGGTAGCATAGCATGCCGCCTTGTGCACCGCATATGGGTAGCATGTGGGAAAATGGCGTCAAAAGTTGCAAGCATCATCTAAAAATGATAATGGAAGTTGTAGTTTCCACCTTTGAGGAAATGTATACGTTGTTGGTTCAGATCGAATCAATATTGAATTCTCGTCCAATTTTCCCTATGTCCACCGATCCAAATGGCCTAAGTCCTCTTACACTAGCTCACTTTTTGTTGGGAAGATCACCGAGATCCAGACGTTTCAAACAAATTCATGAACCGCTTGTCCAGATTTGAGCCCCTTCAAAGAATTCAACAGCACTTCTGGAAAAGGTGGCGGAAAGAATATGTCAATGAGTTGCAGTATAGGCACAAGTGGAAGAAATCAGGAGCAGAAATACAACTTCACGCAATGGCGTTTAGGTCGGGTATGCAAGTTGTTTTCGGGAAATGATGGTGTATGACGAGTCGCAGACGTAAAGACTTCAAGTGGCGTGCGTGACTACGGCGTGCATTCACAAAATTGTGCGTGCTCCTAATGCAGCAATATGATGAAGCTGATGTTTGGAAGAGATGAGAGAACGAGAGAACATACGATCATTCAATTTGATTTGCCAGAATGTTTTATTTCATTCGTCAACACTTCCATAATCTATTTTGTTTACTTACAATCGTGTGAAGTGACGAAACCCTTTAATTAAAGTTGTTTAAATACAATGATATTTTAAACTTTAGGGACCTAACCTCCATCAGCAGCTTTTGAACACAATCCTGAAACCGGGCAGCAAATCTTATTTGTTATATCTTAAAAATCCATAGAAATCTATAAACAACCCAAAAATCTAAACCGCGACTCAGGTTTTTACCAATATGGGAATCAAATTTATCCGAGGCAATCTACACGCCCGTCCTTTATCTCTGCCCCCCTTAAACATTATATAAGCAGGTATAGAGTAGAATACACGCCAAAATTAAGTCAGTCTGCCCACAGGCTAGACGATGAAAAAAGTTTTTAAGTTAACGCAATTGCGGGTATTGTAATTACCGGACTCAAGCCTCGTATCTCAGAACATATAAATTGTTTTGCTTTGTTGTTAATATTTCTTCTTAAATTTCGTAAAACAAAACCCAACGAGTTGATTTTTGCAGACAAAATTAAATGATTTTTCCAATTTAAATGTTGGTCGGCTGTAATTCCGAGGAACTTTGTAAAGCAACTTTTATGTTAAGACAAAATCCGTCCCTTTGTTGGAATTATGGCACCGAATCTATTTTTACGTCCGGTTGTTTATCATCTCTTTTACGGCCACACAATCAAGGCTCAAGACTTTGGAAAATACTGTTTACGCAGATAATAAAGAAGAACCGTCAATGGATGGAACCCTCAGGCACTCCTATCCTAACATTAAGTTTCTTCGACGACATATTCTCTATTATTGAGATAAGAAGTTTCGCCAATTATGTGCTCTATACCTTAGTACGGAATAGAACTTGAAATTCCTTATCAGTTTGGTGGAACTTATCAGTCGTTAATACAATAAATATGCATTAAAAAGATAAACTTTGTTGCAGGCGGAATATCCTTAGCGATATCCGTAGGTCTCCTACTAGTTCACGTGCTGGGGACGTTCCTCCATTGGAAAACTGCTGCTTCCGTATGCAGCACGATCCCGATCCTCGGCTGGCTGCTGATGCTACCCACTCCAGAGTCGCCGCCGTGGCTAGCGAAGAAGGGTTGCTCCGCCGGAGCCGAAACATCGTTCCGTTGGCTCCGGGGCGGCTCGGAAGAGTCCCAACGCGAGCTCGACATCATGCTGACAAATCAGAAAAACCACGTCGAGCGAAACCTCACGCCCAAGAGCTTCTTGGTGCCGGAGTTCCTCAAACCTCTTGGAATACTAACCATGTTGTTGGTCGTGAGTCAGTGGTCGGGCATCAACGCCGTGAACTTCTATTCGGTGTCGCTGATGAAGACTGCCGCGGGGCCCGGGATCGACGAATACCTAGCCACCGTCTTCATAGACGTGGTGAGAGTGGCAGCTTCCGTGGTGGCCTGTCTGCTGATAAGAAAATTCGACAGACGACGGCTGGCGGTTTTCGGAAGCTTAGGCACCAGCATCGCGTTGTTCATGCTGACCGCTCACATCTACCTCGCGAGGTTCCTCCGGCAGTCTTCTTCAACGCTCTTCTTCGTGCCCGTGGTGGCGTTGGCGTTGTATATATCGTTCGTAGCGGTCGCCTATGTGGCCCTACCTTGGACCCTCCTGGGGGAGCTATTGCCCTTAACCAACAGAAGCGTCGGCAGTGCTGTAGCTTCGTGTGCTGCTTTCTTAGCGATGTTCAGTGTGGTGAAAACGATGCCCGGGATGTTCGACCTCCTCGGTGCGGACGGTACGTTCTTGGTGTACGGAGTGATCGCGTTTTTGGGTGTGGGTTTCGTTTACTTGGTCCTGCCAGAAACCAGAGGTCGTACTTTGAGCGAAATCGAAGTTTATTTTAAGGGCGGCGCGACAGAATACGCCGAATCGGCAGCTTGACGCGTGGGGTTTCGCGAAATAAAAGACTTTAGTAGGTTTTTGTTTTTTTATTACCACCTCAAAGCCCCCGCCTCCGATTATGTATTGGATAGTCGGATAAAGAATAAATGACATGACGAAAGCCGCGTCTCCTTAGCTTGATCCCCACCTGAAATAAAAGGAGTTGAATTTTGAGAGACGTTTCCACTTTGTGGGTTTTATTGTCAACTTCTAATTGTCTTCTTGTAATAGAAATATTTGTCAAATTTCAAAGACTAATTGGTTTATTAACTACAAGGTCATGGATAGATAGATTCTGTATTTGACTGTGTTAACATTCAACGTATATTCACAGCACAAGTACATAAAAATGTATAAGGTTAGATGAAATCTACAATAGATATAAAAATGTAATATACAACATACAACAAACACGCATAAAAATAGAAGATATCTATCAGAATCAATACGAGCCACTATCGCAATGTATACAGAATAGAAACCATATTCCACAAATAATTATAAACCGCTTAGTCCGAAGTAAATTTGAGGAGGAAGTGGTAACAAAATTTTAGATTTTAACCCCAAGTTTCTGAAAAACAGGTTGACAATTGTCTATTCTTTCAATACGAAAAATTTTTATGGAATCTGTTTCCACACAGTATATGCTAAAATCTTTTCTAATTAATTTTTTAAAGTGGACACTTGAGAGGCGCCTTACTAAATAAGCAATATGGCCCTTCCAAGAGAGCGTATCATCTAGGATTGCACCTAATAACTTCACAGATTTCAGTTCTAAAAACTTATATTGGCCGTAAACCACTGTTTGACATTTTCTTCTGTCGACTGCGTTTCCGCTCTGAGAGTTACTACATTCGGGTTTGATGTTTTAAATATAGAGTCGTCTACATAACTGCAGCCACAAGGTCCATATCCATCCATACCATCAAGAGATTAATAATATCAACTAAAAACAAAAATTGAGCCACAATGGAGTAGGATTTCGTAAAAATTATAGGAGTAGTCACAGAGCGTTAAGCTCCCCTTCCTCAAAGCTCTACTACTATACACTATACGCATCTGTACGCAGCTATAAGCAAAATGTTTGATAAACATATTGCAACAATATTGAATCCTACCGAAACTTAGGATTGATCGGTAAATCACGCGTGAAATCTTGTGAACCAACATAGCGAAATCCATAAAATCTGTGAAATCTTTATGAAATCATAACATATTTCTAAAATTTTGAATTTTTCGCAATCACTCAAACCCGAAAGAACTACAATCACTACTTTAGTCTGATAGACATTGATGTTATTTCATGATTCCGTATTGATTTGACATGATAGTTTTGATTTAGTGTTCTTCTTTTCTCATTTGGTTAATTCATTTATCAAATTTTCATGTAAACCTTGTTCTAATTATTTATCTAGTAATAGTATTTTGAGTACCAATATAAAGAAATGAACAATTAAACCATTAATGTATGTATCCAATAAAATGTGGAAAACCATCCAAAAAAAGGATAAAACATCTCTGTTGACGGAAATAATTCATTTCAATCTTCAAATCTTGTTTTTATCTCTGTTACAGTTTTAAACATCTATCAAATTTGTTAAATGTTTATTGCATTAAAAACGGCTTATTTAAACTGGACGAGTTCATCTAACGTCTAGAGGTAATTGCCAGGTTAGGAACAAAGAAAAATACTGATTAGTTAATTTTACCATTAAATTAATTCATTGATTAATAAAATTATTCAGTGCTCAAGAGTCGATTAGTTTTGGTTAGTCAGCTAAAGCTAATGTTTAATGGAAAAATAAGCGAAAATACAACATACAACTTTTTTTAGCTCTTTTATTCATATTTTAGGTGAGGACAAAGATATTGAGATAAGTTTTCAGTGGGCTGTTGGGTCCTTACTTGACCATCTAATGAGGTAAAAAAAAAGTTGTATTGTTGCTTCACTCCTTTTTTCATAAAATTACTTTTCTTACGATTATCTCAGAAAACGCCACCTGGTGGCATAATAAGCATAGCAAAATTGGTAGATCAAAAGGAGTACTTATTAATGCGTCAATGCGTTCCAATTCTTTCCACCATTATTCTTTCAGCGATGGAGCGAAGAGCATTAAACAAAAAATTGATTGGAATTTGTCTCAGTCTTCAAACAGTTCCACTCGCTTTCACTATGGTTAATATTAAAAAAATTTGTAGAAACCTCCAAGTTTATTACAAACTTAACATCATTTTAACTATCCCCCTTTATGACATCATTGTCCTAAAACGGCTTTTCACTTTCAAGTTTTTTTTTCACCAAAACCAAAGCACACGTGAACGTAAATATGAAGATTAAACAATGACCCGAGCGTTAGTTGCGAGGTTGTCACATGTTAAAAGTTGGTTTCTACTAACTATATTAATTGTACTTGTAATTTTATGCATTGTGCTTAATGAAATAGTCGCATATCATTTTTTCAAATAAAATTTATAATTTATCTCTACTTTTTTTTGCCTGACAATGTTATAGTGTCCATTGAAAACTGTGGCGTTTTTCAGCACGTGCAACAATGCCATCCACCTTATCTACTCGTATGTATCTATGGCAAAGTCGTTCTAGTTCGTTAAGAAAATATAAAAAAAACTTGCCAACGTCAAAATCGCGATATACCGATGTTAAAGTCGACGCAGGGGGCCCCGAAACTTTTGACCCACTCCGAAATAAGTAAACGCATTACCTCCAAATCGCGACAACAACAACCGTTTTCCGAACTCGCAGACGAGGAGGGTCGTTACAGAAACGTCGCCTCTTACGATTCCAGAAAAAAACAATTTCTCGCCGCTGCGAAGCGATACAACAGAATGAATTGGGAAATACTCGCGGCTTGTCGGCCGAGACTTGATGACGATTACGAAAGTCTTTTAGGGTTGAATTTCCTCGACAGATCGCGAGAGGACGCGAACGGACAGGTAGCGCGATTGCTTCTTTTTTTAAAACTTTAATGGTTCAATTAAACGGTATTGACGGCAAGGGGCTACCGAAATGTTCGAAAAATCGCGTTGTTTTGTTTGTTGTTGTTTGTTATTTGTTTGGTTAATGACGGTTAGTTTTGGTTAATTTTGGTTTCAATGCTCCTGCTAACAATTTCACTTCGTCTGCTAATTTCCCGGAATGGCTAAAACGACTAAGTGTTAAGCAGTTAAAATAGGTATGTACTTTTCAGTTGTGTGAATCTTCTTCCCCTTGCCCAGAAAGCGAACCAAACTTGACGGGTCAGCGTTTGAGAAGGAGAGTGCGTAGAGAATTGCAGCAGGTGGGAACTATATTTCACCGTTTCTAAGATATTTATCATTTTATATCTAAAATAATATTTGCAAACCGAATAATATCGACCGATTATGCACTATAAAATGAAATTTCAAACACTGACCTAAATAATTTTTTTCAAAAGAAAAAAAAAAGGATTACTCTGTATTCGGTTTTACAACATATAGTATATATAGTGATACATATTATAATAATATATATAATAAAATAAGGAACTTCTTCATCTTGAAAATATTTATTTTACCCCCATCAACATTAGTTTAATTCCAAATTTTTACTGCTTCTAATTTTCCCATAACATATTGACGAAGTTCCTGGTGTATAATATTGAAGTTGCAATGATTTTTTGCAGGAAGAAACGAGCATTTACACTGCATGTTTAACGGAACCCTGGTTCAGAAGGCAATTAATTTTAAATAAATTTATACAGGCCGGTCGCATGGTAATACTCAAAAATCGATTAATCAAAAACCTGGAGATATTAAAGAAGTTGAATAGAGACAAATGGGACATGGAACTGGTCGCTAAATAAATATTGGTACGCCATTTTTTTAAACTTTAATTATAAATAATATACAACATTCTCTGCAAAAATATAACATAAACAGATTCAAACTTTCGTTAAATATCTAAATCGTCATCCGGGTCTTCTTCGTCCCAGTCATCCATGGCGTCCAGTTCGTAGTAGATTTTTCCTTCGTTTTTAGATTCCCCTTCATCCCCCGACCTGCCGAGAGTAATCGACATAAAAAAAATGAAAATTGAATTTGAAAAAAAAAACATACTTTGGCAAATAAGGCAGCACTACTTTATCCCGCAAAACCTTTTCCTCGTCCGTCAAACCTATCCTAAAGGTAGACAGAGTTTCCGGATTTACATCCTTTGAAATGTTTTGAGTGATGGCAGCTGGATCGGGTTTAGTGACTTTTTGAGTAACTAGACATTCTCCTTCGAATCTATACTTTTCTATCTGAAAAATCAGATAAATTTATGTTTTTTAAGTTATAGTTTAGGGTTACCGCTTGAATTGTTCGCCCACCACTCTTTTTATAAGTATAACTTAGTGTTTTTTCTTGATTAAAAAATTTGGGCACTGTGCTGATACTTAAAGTACTCAAGTGCTCAAAAAATTGAAACACTTGATTGTGATCCTCTTCGAGCAAATCTTTATGCAGCACGGTAATAATCTGCTGCACTTCTAAAATGTGTAGTTGTTTTAAACAAATATTTAACAATTTCAAGACTCACCTTTGTTTCTTAATGTATTAAAATATTTATATGATTGAGAAAGACCATATTGGAAAATTACATTGGCTAGAGAATCGACTATAATTACGTCGCGGGCGCCTAATTGCGTTATAATGCTCTCGAAACTCGCCTCAGGCTTCCGAACTTCAATCCACTTTAATGGGTTTGACACAAAATCATACAAAACAGTATTTGGTTTGTTTAGATACTGATTTCGAATTCGCTGAAATCGGCCTTCGAATACGAAATAATGGACTTTGCTGTCGTCTGCGTTTATGTGCTGTCTTATTATATATTCGTAAAGATCAGTACTCCTTCTCTTAAGGGTATCTGAAAATAAAGCAAAAGGGAGACTGTAAATTATTATTTATCCAACGCTTCAAGTTCATTTACCATCTATTAAAACAAATTTCGTAAACGGTACTGTCGTCAAGTAGGACTTCAGCATTATTTAATGAAAAATCACAAATTAATGGTAAACAAACACGCTGACCATTGAGGTTATGTTATTGCCGCGGCTAAGATAAATATCTTATTTGAAAAGCTGTTAGGTCACTCGCCCCAATATCCACACTCGTGTTATTTACACTTTGTTAACGAATGATCGCCTAAATATGGTCCCGAGATCTACAGAACGCAGTGTATAAATTTCAAACCACATGGAAAAATATTTGGAAGAGACGATGCTTGAAAATTTGTGAAACCAAAGATTTCGGAGTTCGATGTCGATTTGTATGACTCGTGGACGGCGACTTTGTTATAGACTTCGATGTCAGCAAAGAACCGCTTCACTCAAAGTGACATACTTGGAAACATACAAAAGCCATCACGAGGCCTCTAAACTGGGAGAAATATTGCCGTGCTTTCCTTCGGCTAAACGTCGAATGAGCAATATTTGCTTTAATTTTATTTTTATGAAATACAGGTAACAAAACTAGATATAGCACTTTTCCTTAAAAACTTAAAAACGACGGTACCAAAATACGGCAAACATTTTTAACGCATTTCATTTATTACGCGTTACTTTAAGCGAAATCTCGACTTTTTACTTTTTACAGAACTTAAGCAGAAAACTTTACTTCGAATGGGAAATACCAAACGCTTCGGTCATTCACCATCTATTAAAATAAGTTTTGTAAAAGATATTGTTGTCATATACGACTTGTGTTAATTAGAAAATCTAAAATCAATATAAAAAAATACGCTGACAATTGAGGTTGGATCGAGGGCGCAGATCATTTTAAGTTGGTTGGCCACTCGCCGAAACAGAACAAACTCGTGCCAGTCAATCATCGTGTACTTTGACCCACAGAACTAAAGAAGATCGCAGGTTTGACGGCGTGAACGCATTTCAAAATGGAACCAAATTCAAACCGCATCGAAAAATATCTGGAAGAGACGATGCTGGAATATTTGAGAAGCCAAATCGAGATTCCAGAATTCGATGTCGATTCACGCGACTCGATAGACGACGGCGACTTCGTAATCGAGTTCGAAGTCAATCGAGTTTTAGATAAACTCGTCGAGAACGTGCAGCGAACGGCGTCGCTCAAAGTAAAATACGAGGAAACTGGCAAAACGCACCATCAGGCCGTTCTATTTAAATTGCCGGGTTTTCCTTTGGGTAAACGTCAAATAAGTACCGCTCGTTTTGTTGTTCTTTTTATTAAATACAGGTAACAAAACAAAATTACACGATGTATCATTTTCCCTTAAAAACTATGCTTTGCACAAGTTAAAATGAAATTATGGTACCAAAATACGGCGAACATTTTTAAGGCATTTTATTTATTACGCGTTACTTGGTTTGAGCGAAATCTTTACGTTTTAGATGTGAACTTAATGAGAAAACTCTGCTTCAGAGAATGTCTGATAGTGAGTAATGTAGATGAAGCTCTGGGGTCTAAAGAATGTACCCCAGATCCGGCTGGAGCCTTGTGCCTGCACATCCAACTGGCACGCGATTCGATCCCGCCAAATATTCCTCCTCAAAACGAAGATGTTGAGTATAATATTGCTCCTTCCATTAAAAATGGTTAAATACTAAATACTGTAAACAAACTCGTGATAATGAACATTCGCTTTAGAGGTAAATCCGCAGCGGGAGGCGGACGACCATGCGAGTTACAAGTTAGTAGTCCATTTGTCCTCAGAATTCGAAATCGAGGGCAAAAACGCAGGCTCCCGGATAGTGTCCTGGGTGGACCGCAATCTTCACACCCTTGAAGAAAGAAGAACCGAGTAAATTTCGCGCATATAAAGTAAAATTAAAAGTAAAATTGTTCTTAAAGGTACATCCGAGAATCGCCAAATGTTATCAACAAGCAAACTTTATATGTTGCTCTTCAACGTAACAAGTACTACCTCAGGCACCAAAGCACATTGGAAAACGTGATGACCAAGAAAAAATATTATCCCCTCGGTAAAACGAAGGATTTTGTGGGGGAGGGCGCCAATTTCATCCTTATGCGTTACTTAGCCATAACCAAGTTTGAAGGAATGTTCGAGCTGTCCACCATGTACATTAATGGTGACATGTGTCGCAACATTTATGTAAGCATTCAAAAAGGACCGGTTACAACTACTACTATTGCTAATTGAATGATTATCATCTTCGTTATTGTGCTAATTGTTGAGTTCTGTGGACGAGATATACAGGGTGTTATGGAATTCACACATTATCATTTAACAAGTGAGTTCGGACTCTGCTCTAGTGCTGAATAGATATTTTGTTTAATGAAATTCCAATTTAAAAAAAATGGTTTTCTTTGGATGACCACCAACTTCACTCTGTCAAATCGATAACTGTGATACCATATACTTTAGTATTATTATTGTTGTGTCTTTATTATCAAAAAATTAGGAAAATCAATTTGAACGTTTTGTACATAGGATTGAGGTTTTTGTATGTTTTATGTTGATTTGGATCCTACCTATAGTAAGCATCATTAGGTTAATTTCTGAGCCGGTATATACAGGGTGTTATGGAATTCACACTATATAACTTGGCAAGTGAATCTGAACTCCACCCTAGTACTGAATCAATATTTTGTTCAAAAAAAAGGCATTTCTTTAGAAAACTATGAACGTTCTATCAGATTGACAACCGTGGTACAACTTGCTTTATTATTTTAGTCGTTTTAGGAGCTTTATATGGAAAATTATTTTGAAATAATTCAATGTTACGTTGAGGTAAAAGTAGCGACTGTTTTTTAACTTCCTAAAAGATATATTGGGTTAAGTTTTATAGTCCGGATATACAGGGTGTTATGGAACTCACACCTTATAATTTACCAAGTTAATCCAAAGACCGCCCTGGTGTTGAATAGATATTTTGTTTAATCAAACGCTGGTTTCAAGATTATTACTAATATTGTTACGTCTTTATTATCCAAAAAGTAAGAAAATCAATTTTAACGTTGTGAAGGCAAGATTGACTTTTTACATATTACATAACTAGCGATACAAACGAACTACCGCTAAAGAGGCGGAAGATTTTTTTAGGAATGCGAGGGCGCCAAAATGAGTTCAATCAACGGCAATCCGGTAGAAGTGACCAAAATCTACAGGGTTGTCATTGAAGAATGCGGCATACACCACATCAGCGCCACAGTACTCACAGTATACGGTAAAAAAAATTTTTTCTCAACAAAACACGAAAACGGAGTTTGCGGTCGGAAGGTTTAATCGTGAGCCACGAATGGGACGGCAGCCCTTATATACTGCACATTAATCCGCTTTCGACGACCTCTGGGAAGCCTACCAAGCACGACTGCCTGTCATTGAAGAAAACCTGGGAAACCGACTTTGAACTTATGTCTAAATATTTAGATTGCAAAGTAAACGCGAAAAAAAAACTCGGCCCTTTAGGTTTTAGACGTGTGGGTTTTAGACTGAGGCCGAACTGAAAATGAACACTTACTTGAAAGACCACCCCGAGGTGCGTACCATGATGGAGGACTACACCCAGAATGTTTTGTTACTAAAGCCTTCTAATGTTCTGTCGTTTACCTATGATTATTTCACCAATTTGGGTCTATACCGTCTTCCCAATCTCCCATATTTTGAAGATGATTATGATGAAGATGATGAAATGAAGTTTTTTTGGTAACTTACTAGGTAAGTAAGCGCGAGTTTTTATCGGCTGGGTAACAAACGACGCAGACTGTTGTGTTGTCGGGCACGCAGATGGTGTGAAAGCAGTGCCGGCAATTGAATAACACGAGGCTGCCCGTCCTGGAAGAACCTGCGGGGAAATTTTCCTTAAAAACTAAATTATACTCCACAAAATACACAATTTCGAACCTTTCTCCAATATTTTCCTGTGACATGAACCGCAAACCGCTTCGTCCGACACGCCCACGCCTTTGGAATGGAGGCGAACCAACTTCTTCTGTAAATTGAAGTAATCGGACACCAGGATCTTCTTGCAGCCCTCCTGGACGGATACCTATAATCGGGACGAACCTAACGTACATTTGGGATTAGAATAATCGATTCTTCACCTGCAAACTGTACTGATTCAACATCTTTACGAGTGAATTTTTCAATCCGGGGATCTTCATGTCGCCTCTCATCTTTGAAATCAACGAGGTGGGATCGACGTAGGTGCCTATGCTTTGCAGAAGAAACGTGATAAACTCTAAAAACAAAGTTAAACGTTAAATTTTGCACGATTCAACCAATCCCGGAGAAAAATTTCGATAATAGCGACCTGGTACATGTACCTGGTACCTACGATCTTCCACCGATAGTGGCGCTACTTCCACATAACTTCTTATTTGTTAGTAGATTTATATAATAATAATGCAATACATAATACCTATAATTTACATGAAGTAAGCTTAAATGGAAAGTAAAACTGACTTGAGCTAATCCTTGTAAAAAATTTCGATAATAGCGACGTAGTAATTTGCACTACCTACGGTTCTGGGATCACCTTCCATCGAAAGTGACGCTATTTCCACCTAACTTCTTATTTGCTGGTAGGTAACAATAATTTCGATATGGTATACTGACTACGGTTTTCGGACCATCTTCCATCGAAAGTGACGCTGTTTTGCACCTAACTTCCTATTTTCTAGTAGATTTATAATATGTAATAATAATTATATAATATATGGTACCTATAATTTATATAAAGTCCAATTGAACTAATCCTTGCAAAAAGTTTCGATAATAAAGACGTGGTACATTTGAACTGCCAATAGCTGCGGGCACACTTTGTACCTGAGACCGCCTCCTAACGAAAAAGGCGTTAATTTCACCTGACAAGAAACCCGTTTAAACAATTCAATCTTCATCCTAATCACAATTGTAATAAAAAGGCTTAAAATAATTAAAAAAAAAAAACACTCCAAATATCACAACTTAGAATGTGTGCATGCATGGTGCATCATTTAATGTATCATGATGTCACAATGAGTGAACTTGGAGTTCCTAATCATTTTTTTCTGAGAAACTATATCAACAGGATTTGTGATGTTTTGCCTCAAATGTAAAATTGATGCGAGGGCTTTGAGGATATCCTACCTGGTTTGTCCAGACAATGGTCTATCAGATCATTCCAAAGGTCGACGTCCTCGTGTTCTTGACAGAACGATATCGCTTGTTGCATATCTTTCAATTTGTTTATGATCAAATCCAGCGCTTCCTTGGTATCCCCTATCCGACCCAGTAGATAGACCATTTCGGGATAATACTTCTCCTTCTGGCAAATGTCCAGGGCCTGTTGTATGGGATAATGATCGGACTTTTTTAGGAATGGCAGCAATTTATCCCTAGCGAATATGGCATACAACTCGACCAAATCCTTGTGATAATTGCCCTTCGGGTTCTTCTTGTCGTATTCGTCCAAATACTAAAAATAAACTTGAAACTCAGAAAGTTTGAATCGAAAATACACCGTACCCTGTACAGGTGCAGCTTATTCCCCTTCAATTTTTCCACAATCTTGTCGGAGGAAATGGTATTCTTCTCCAGCAACAGAGACACAGTTTTTTTGTAATCCAAATCCATCAGGTCGGCCAACATGTCTTGTATGACACTGTACAAATTGTGGGACTGGATCAAGGTGAATACGTCTTTATGTTTTAACCTAAAGAAAATGAAATTTCGGAAGTATAGTGTAATTGCTAACAGTTATCTGACCAAAGATATTAGTCCCATCAGATGTTCCGCAAGGTTCACATTTAGGACCATCTAACTAACCAAAACTATTTTGCTCTTATATCAGCTCACTTTTGGAATATGCTTGGCAGGTTAGGTTTCCTTACTATGGTCAGCATGGTGAATAGATCGAGAGAAAAAAAAAGAGGAGAAAATTGATATAAAAACACAATATAGATTAATGGATTCTGCTGCTGTCTTTGACAATCCACAGAATAAATTATGTTTCAGTTTCATCTCTGACGATTATCCAATCATCCTGTTGGCTTCTTTAGAGCTTAACTTAAGGGGCATTAGAGTCGTCTCGGATGACTGATTCCCATGTAAAGATCAGAGTCGCGGTTAAAACTGTTGGGTTGCGTATAAATTTCTATAGATTCTCGCAAGAATTTCATCGAGTAAGATCTGATATCCGGTATCATGATTGTTTTTGGCAACTGCTGAGAGTTTATTTGTTGCAGCCTTAAAGCTTTTCATGTTCTTCAAGCCTAGTTGATATTTACCGGCTGGTCCCTCCAATGTATTCTTTGCCAGAAAGCACGGAATGCTGTAAACTCCTGATATCTGAAATGGAATTTTGTCTTTGACGGATTGATGATGTTGAGAGATTTTGGACAAGTGATAAATCGGCTTTTGACTTTATATTTTTATAGAACTTTTAATATGTGGTCAGTGATGTGAATTTAAGGCAGGACACCAGTGGTAAATGTGGGGTTGCTTTCAGACGCATTGTCTTTGGAAGGTTTTGGAGAAGTATATTTTGTGATGGAAGCTATTAGAGAGAAGGTAATTTTGGGTTGAGATAGTTTTACAACTCTATAAACAGAGAGTTCATAACTGATGATTTTTGTGCCAGATGTTGATGTGACAATGCATTGAGATGTTTAAGGTATTTGCGAGTAGGTTTTCTGTAAACAGAATAATTCAATGTTAGGTCTGATTTTCTATTGCTAAGTATATCTGAGAATGGGAGATTATTATTAGTTTCTAATTGAATAGTAAAACTATAAGCCATCAAAGAATCTTAACCGCGACTCAGGTCTTTCACCAATATGGGAATCAGACATCCGAGATCATGTTCATTCCTTTGATCCCGCCACCCTCAAACAATATAAAAGCACATATAGGGTAGAATGCGAGCCAGTTAAGCTCTGAAGAGGCGAACAGGATGATTGGCTTGTGGAAGTTTCTTTGAAACATTAATGTGTTTACCAATAATGATGTCGACATCTTCAATGATGCCTTACAAAAATGTCCTGTGATATATACTAACTTTATTCAAATTTTGCAACTGTGCCAGCGGGATGTTGCGGATTGGAACCATTTTTTATTTTATTGATATAATGTAAGTAATTAACAAATAGGAAACTACAGTAGTAACCATATCGACTTACTTGAGATATAGGGACAAGCTCTTGTCATATTTTTTCTCGTAACTATACAACTTGGCCAAAGCTTCCAGATAAATGTTTTTGTCGTTTTCGCAGTTCAACAGGTGCTCCAGCACTGCGTTGATCACAGCGTAGACGTTGTACAGACCAGGGTTCCACTCCTTGACCAGCTGCAAAAATCCCTAAAACCGAGAGTCATTTGAACTAGTGATATTTTTTTTTTTCGTTTCGCCTCTAATCGTACGAAACGAACGGGCAATTTTTTCGACGACTCCGAGTAAAAAAAAAAGATGTCGCTAAAGATCGGCACGTAATACCTGAGCGTCCAGTTTTAGATATTCGTACAAAATCATCTCGTAAATATGCGGATTGAGTTTGGATTCCAGAGTTTTGGGTATGTAGGGGCTAACGGACCTACAAATAAAAAAAAGAAAAAAATTCCAATGGTCACTAATGACACAATGTTTTCAGATATTACCGATCTTAACTATGATAAAAAAACTGTTTTTGACCAACCGATTGCCCTTGACTACCACTACCATCCTCTTTTGCCACAGTGTGCACGGACCGCCAAATTTGTTGGGGTTTATTTGGATGCAAGTTAACCTGGGAGAATCCCAAAACAACCCCACGACTATTTCTATCTAGAGTCTCTCACAAGTGACATTCAAGGAAGGTATAACTCATTTGGGCAGCAAACAGAGAGTTACAGAGACGACATACGACAAAAGTGGCTAAGAGAATATGGTGGAAATTATTTCGCAGCCAAGGGGAGTTTTTTGAAAAATCATCTCATATTTAGTAGGTTTCTTCTACCTCTAAGGAAAAGTGGTGGGGAGGAGGGTACGGGTGAGAATAAATTCAGAATGGCTGAACGCAATTTGTCAAGCTTTTTAGGGCATGTATCATTATCATTTACTATTTGTTTATTATATATTGAGGAATAATAATTGCTATTTTTGCTTGTTGCCAGTTAATATTGGTTTATTATTTGATATTATATATCACTGAAAAATGATAATTTTTCTTCTCATCAACCAATTAATCTGAAAGAACTCCTACCAGGAGTATATAATTTTACTCAATAATAGTTTTTAAATTTGCTAATAGGTCTAATAGAGTCTGGCTAGTAATTATACATTTTAATAGCTGCATACATAACTGCTTTTCATGGTACCCATGATGTGGAAGATGCAAGTAGTTCTGTAAATTTTTTTCTTACGTAAAGGAAAACATAACCTCTCTGTTTGCAGAGTGGGCTTATCTATTTGGAAATCAGACTTTCCCTAAATAAGCTTTTTCATAAATTTTTGAAAAAACTGAGAGCAAAGTTCACCACCCTATAACTGTCTATCCCTTCTTTATCGTTCTTGTTGCTTTCGAAATATCGATGAAAATTCTTTTTGTCTATCTGTTCTCTATTCTTGTCTTTTGGTTTTAGATTGAGATTTACTTCCTATTTCCTTGCGGGGTCGGGAAGTATTTTTTAAAAATTAAAAATCATGTTTGCATTATTATTTATTATTCTATATAATTTTGAAAAACATAGAGAGTGTGCCCGACATTCAAAAAAAATTGACCATAAATAGAAGGCTGCAGACACTCAACTGTAGACACTGGGAGTAATCAAATCCCACCAAGTATTTTTTTAGGTTATTTTGGCTTCTAGAAAAAAATATATCTCGAAACCTACTAACCCCATCCCAAAAGTTCTTTAACCAAGAGACATGGAAGATCCAATACTATAACTTTAATTTGCAGCCTATTTTGACTTTAAAAATTGTTCTTTTCCAGAGTAAATTATTAGCCGTAAATGAAAATTTGTAAAAAAAATGGCTAATTAGTGTAGATAGTATTGTAGGCCACATCAAGAGCTACAATTTCTGTATTTATGGTGTTCATCTATCACCTACACTGTTCGAGATATTTGAAAAAATGTCGTCATTTACTAGTACGATGTACTGCATGGTTTCAGAAAACATGTATTTTCTAGAAACCTATTTATTCTATTGGAAAAATTGATATATCAGGAAAAGTGGGAGGTCCAGGACTATAACCTCTACTTCCTTTTTTTTTTTTTCGGTCAACCAGGTGAAGTGGTGTGCACAATTTTACCTCGGTCCGAGAAAATTTTCATTTTTTTGACGTAATTCTAGTCTTCAACTGAATTTTTCGGTCTGGGTGAGTTTTATATTTAGTCAGCCGTTAATATTTGCTTTGGTTTGGTGTCGCAGTTCGCAATAATTTAGCGCTTTTCATATCATGGCATGTGCTTCGGGGGGTAAAGACCCCCCTGATAGAAACGATCGTATCGTAGTTAATAATCCGATAGTGTTTGCAAATGATTTTGATTCCTTTCAAGCTCAACTAAACTTGTCCCAAGCTTCTACCTCCTCTAGCAGTGGTTATTCATCAGCCTTGACGCTTTCGCCTTTAGCTAAGAAAACAGCACATGCTATCGCTCAGCATCAATACTTCTTAGTACCCACTAAGGAGGAAATAGATTTATTGGAGACAGAGTTACAAAAGCTTAAATCTGTCTTCGTGGAAGATCAGGATGCCCTAAACGAAATTGCAAGAATTTCAGTCAACATAAGGAGAACACTTAACCGAAAGTATAAGTATGAACTTACAGACCAGGGACCATTTCTTATCATAATGGAGGGAATAACTTCTCAAGTTGGAAACATTCACCCGATGAATATTGGAAAAATTTTGCACAGAGCTGGAGTACAAGGTATAACAAAAATCAATAGAAAAGGGGCTAATAAAATTGGAATTGAATTCAGAACATCAGAGTATGCTAATCAGTTTTTGTCAAATGAAAGTTTCAGTTCTGCTAGAGGCTATAATAGGTACATTCCACAACGTCTTGTCACTTGTAGAGGACTAATCAAGGATGTAGGGGACCAAATTACGGAAGAGGATTTTTACTCAGAAGCGGTAGCTTATACAGGAGAAGGATCCCGGGCCAGGTTGATTAAGATATTAAATGTAAAAAGAGTCTTAAGAAGGAAGAAAATACTTGCTATTTCTGGTGAAACAGTAATGAAAACCATCCCCACAAACGATTATATTGTAACATTTGAAGGCAAATCATTACCCCAAACTGTAAATATTTTTAATAATGAAAGAGAAGTGGAAAAATATGTTAACCCGGTTATAATGTGCGTCAATTGTTGCAGATTTGGACATGTCAAAAATAATTGTAGAGGCAAGCCTCGTTGCGGTTTTTGTACAGAAGATCATCTTATGTTTGTTTGTCAAAAAAGAGAGCAAGCAATGAAAAAAATGAAATGCCCTGCAGATCATCTTAACAATCTGACTAAAACGTGTAAAATTCCAAATTGTGAAGTAAATCCAAAACCAAGCTGCGTAAATTGCAAGGGACACCACACTGCTACTGACTGGGGATGTCCCGAATACAAACGGCAAAAACAAATTAACGAAACCATGAGCTTCTACAACCTTTCTTTTTATGAAGCAGCTAAACTGCATCCACGGCTAATTAATGCAAACCAAGGCTTTACCCGAAAACCAGAAGATTTTCCTAGTTTAAATAAAAAAACTCAGAATAAACCTCCTCATCCAACAAGTCCTCAGGGCTGTTCCTCATATACATCAGTACTTAAAAGAAAACGGCCTGACACCCAATTTACCAAAGGGTATGATAAAGTAGCCCATGAACTAACTTTGTTACCCTCAAGTGCAAGAAGAAAAGTCTCATCTATACAAGTAGTTGAAAACTCGACATCAGAGTCGGAAATGGAAGTAACTCCTGTAGGAAATGGCTGGGAAGAAGTATGCAACAAGTTTGAAGCTTTCAAAAAAGACGTTATGTCAATAAAGGGTATGGATGAAAATTGTGTCAACAATATCAAACAATATTTTGGTTCATTTGACCTACGGAGGGGGGGCGGCTGCGATGGCAGCGGTTGACCTACAGGGGTTAGAAAAAGCAAAGGTAATCTTATCACTAGTTTTAATCTAACAGTAGTTTTTACGTAACAAAACTAAGTTTAAGTTTTAGTCACAAGCGTTTTATAGTTGAGCTATAATGAATATCGTTCACTGGAACATTTGCGGGGCTGAAAAAAATAAAGATGCTATCATTAGAGTTATAAGGGATTTTAAGCTACAGATCTTATTGCTCAATGAAACCTTGCTCAAACCCAACACTAACTTTAAAATATCAGGGTTCTCTTCTGTAAGAGCAGATAAACCTAATGGTGCAGATGGTATAGCAATTTTCTTGAAAAACAAAATAAAATATAATATCATCGACTTAAGCAGAATTAATATACCAGAGAGGTGTCAGGTTATTCTTGTAGAGCTTGTCGATTTTTTTATTTGTTGTGTTTACAACCCTCCAGATATTTGTTTGGTCAGGGCAAGCCTCGATTCAATTTTCGATCTAACCCGTAATAAACCCGTCCTCGTTATGGGAGACTTTAATGCCCATAATCCAATATGGGGTTCCCAGGTCAGTTACTCACGGGGAATTAGAAGTGGGAACATTCTTTATGATTTCATTAAGGATCACGATTTGTGGGTACTAAACGATGGATCAGCTACTCGGCTCACACGCCCAGGCGTACACAGCGCTCCAGATGTAGCTTTTTGCTCCCAGAGACTGTCTGGACTTACTGACTGCAGGGTTCTCCAGGATAGAGTGAATAGCGATCATTTTCCTATTTTGTGTATCATCGGAAATAACCGTTGCAACTCAGGTTCGACAAGAAACTACACTAGCAAATATAATTTCAACAAGGCAGACTGGGAGAAATTTTCTGATTTAATCTCCACGAAATTTAGAACTTCACCTCCTATAAATTATGAGGATTTTATGAATATAATTTTCCTATCTATTGCAGAATCTGTTCCAATGCATAAACACTCATTAAACTACGGGTTACCTTGGTGGGATAATGAGTGCACCAACGCTATTAAAAGGAAAAGACAAGCATTCAGAGACTATAAAAACAACCCCTCTGAGACCAACTTCCTGGAATCATTAAGAACCCGGGCACAAACAAGACAGCTGCTACGTAAGAAGAAAAAGGAAGGCTTTGTCAACTTTTGTGAGAATCTATCTCCAAATACTAGTGCAAAAGAAGTTTGGAGCAGTATTAGAAGGTTTGCTAAAGGTATCAGGTACCAAAATTATCATTTTCCCTTGAATTTCTCAATCCCACAAGATATGTTTGATCTTTTGACGCAACCTCCCTCTAGGTTGCCTAATATCCCCGAATGTCGCTTCTCATCAGAATATACAGAAGACTTCCATATCTCAGAATTTGTCGCGGCCGTTAAAGGTCGGAAGAGCAAGAGTCCCGGTGTGGATAAAGTACCTTTCAGTGTGCTCAGCCATCTCCCTGTTGAAGGAGCAGTCTTTCTTATCAAATTTTTCAACAAAATACTTCGGAGGGAAACCACCATTCCAGAGACGTGGAAAACCCAAATGGTGATCGCAATTCCTAAACCGGGGAGAGACCCCTCAGCGTTATCGTCCTACAGGCCCATCAACCTAGCTTCTTGCATAAGCAAAACTTTTGAAATTATGATCAAAAACCGACTGGAATGGTTCGTAGAGAACCAAGGTTTAATAGACGTTCGCCAAACCGGTTTCAGAAAGGGTAAGGGAACTTTCGACAATCTTGCAGTTATCTCCTCAGAGGTCCTCTGCCGTTTGGCTCGCAATCAACTAGCAGCAATGGTGACTTTGGACATATCCAATGCCTACGATAATATAAATGTTGACTTATTGACCTCGGTGTTGGCCAAAATTGGAATCGCCAGAGATTTGACTTTGCTCATTAAAGATTTTCTCACGAACAGGAAGATACAAGTTAAAGATCCATCTACTAATACATTCGTGTCAGGCAGAACCACTAGCAAGGGAGTTCCCCAAGGTTCCCCTCTTTCTCCATTACTATTTAATATTTACATCAATTCAATCAATGAAACAATTCCTGAGAACATAAGACTTTTACAGTTTGCGGACGATACCGCCTTGCTGAGTACTGGGACTGATGCCGAAACAATAGTGAACAATTTGAATAGAACTTTGCAAAATATACATATTTGGTCTTTGAATGTAGGACTTGAGATTAACCCCAATAAATCTGCAGCTATATTTTTTTCCAGGAAGAATTACAAGGTTAATTATCTCCCCAGACTTCACCTCAACACTCGAACCATTGCATGGACAAATTCCATCACATATCTAGGAGTGATTTTTGATCCAAAACTGTCATGGGAGCCACAAATTAGAAATATGATACAGAAAGCTTCAGGTGGGTTGAATATGATGCGATTTATAAGTAGAATCTGGTGGGGGGCACATCCCTCTACCCTTCTAACTTTTTACAAAGCTTATGTTAGACCCCATTTGGATTATGGAGCCTCTTTTTTGGGTGGTAGCTCAAGAAAGTCTATTGCTCAACTTAACAAAATTCAATTTGAGGCACTGAGAATAGCTCTGGGATATATGAAGTCCACACCTACTAACATACTTCTAGGGGAAGCAAGTGAAATGGATTTAGAACACAGAAGATACATGCTAGCGACTAAATCATTATTGAAAGCTGCCAGTTTAGTGGACAGTGAAACCTTAGCTGCGGTTAGATGGTTATATATCACCTATAATGAAAACTATTACTTTTTTCGGAAAAAGAGTATTCCTGCACTTGTGGATGCTTTTGAAAGAGTTGATTCACTGTTAGATACACTTTACAGGAGCCCAGTTTATCCCTGTTTTTCTTGCCCACTGCCGAACCTTTTAAGCTCTGTTCAAATCCAAGACTTAAAACTAAAGAAAGATAATAATAACTCCAAATTATTTGAAATTAAGAAGAGCGAGACTTGGACCCCAGATTTTCATTTAATTTTTACAGACGCCTCAAAAGATAAAGAAGGCCGAGTAGGTTTTGGCGTTTACAACTACAATACGAACCTTAAAATGGGACAAGGCCTACCAAGTGAACTATCCATTTGCTCTGCCGAGATTTATGCTATTGGTCAAGCTCTTGATTGGATTGAATTCAAGGACATCAACAAAGCAGTCATCCTTTCAGACTCCAAAAGTGCCCTCGAAGATATCAATAAAACTGGGATGGATGCAAAGTCTAACTACCTAACCTTGCAGGTTAAGAATAAACTATTTACCTTAATAAAAACGCAAAATAAGGACATCCAATTATGCTGGATACCAAGCCATACCAGTATAAAAGAAAACGATATTGCGGATCAGATCGCCAATGCTGCACGCCTCGAACCACAGGAAAATATAAAATTGAGCTTTAGGGAATTCTTCCCTAAATTAAAGCATAACATCTGGAATGCTTGGAGCGACAGATGGAAACATATAGGATTAGGGAAAGGAGTTAATTTCACCTCACATTATTCTACTCCGCCAACTAAACCCTGGTTTCATAAGCTCGACCTGAATAGAAGAGAAATTACAACTATGTGTAGACTGAGAAGCAACCATTGCTGTTCTCCGGCTCACCTAAATAGAATCAAAGTCAAACTCTCCGGAGACTGTGAATGTGGAGAACTGGGCGATTTAAGTCATGTGCTGTTTGATTGTGCTCTTCATTGGGAAAAATCACAACAGTTGTATGAGTCACTCATTAGTGCTAATTTTCCTTCGCCTCTGCATATTAATTCCATTTTATTTCACCGCACTCAGTTGGATTTTGCTGCTAGAATTGTTTGCCGATTTTTAGATGCATGTGGATTAAAACTTTGAATATTGTTTTCACATATTCTAATTCTTTCGTCCATTTTTTTTCCCTGTATAGCCGTCCAGTAGGATGATGGTATCACCCAGACCCTCTTTACGGAGGCATCCTTCATGGAAATAGTTTATTGCACACCACTACCGTGAAGCTGGCCGAATTGCCTTAGCAGCAGTGGCTAAATAAAGCGTAAATAAAAAAAAAAAAAAACCTCTACTTCAAACAATCTTTGAATTATATGCAAGGTGTATCGTTTATGGGCAAAAAATCAAAAGATCTTGAAAATTTCCATTTTTTTGGATAATTTATTTGCCGTAAATAAAAAACTGTTAAAGATAGGATTTAGTTTAAACAGTATCATAACTGTGTCGAGAACTATAATTTTTGTATTTACGGTTTTCTGCCATCATACATTGCGCGCGAGATCGTTGAAAGAATATCATTGGATATCGCCATTACTGGTACGAATTTTAATAAAAATAAAATAAAGTTAAATCGATTTTGTGAAAGTTCCATAGCTACCAACACAGAACATGGTACCCGATTACAAATTATTGCAGAATGATAATAGGTATTTCTAGTTGATCATTCATTATTTGATAGTACATTTTATTGAAAAATGATAATTATTATTTTTGGTTTGTTTTTATTTACTATTTATTTATTTATTATTATGTATTATTGAAGAATGATGTTTGTGAGTTTTGGTTTATTATCATTTATTTATTTATCATGTAAATCATTGTATACTATTACTGAAATATTTAAAAGTACTAGATATTATTTTTTACTAATAAACTATAAATCTATCTATCTTTTACCTGAGCTTTTGAACGCTGGCGAATTTGTATATCTGGTCTTCCCACAGCGAAGGGTTTCGGCCGAAAATTTTCAGTCCCAGCCTGCCCGCCATGTCGTAACTGCCGTTCCGCAACAGATGGTCCAGATAATCAACGCCCACCGATTGGATGGTGTGCCTGTGCACGTTCCGGCCGTCGTTCCTAATCAAAATGTCGAGGGCTTCTTCGAATTTGGTGTGTTGTATGAACCACTGGATCCGATCGTCTAAATCGTAAGGACTAGCAATAACTACATCTTTCGGCGCCACTATAAAGAAACGATTCTCTTCGACCAACACGTCCAGATGATAGTCGTTGACGCCGTATTCCTCGTAGCCGCGTAACGAAAGGCTGTCCGTGCATATATCTATATAATCGTTGTCTTTATACTCTACTATATACAATTGGGGGCGTAAACTCTTTTGGTTTTCATCCAGTTCTTTGGGGTAGCCCAGAAGTACAAGCTGATGGTCAAGCGGAGCGATGCCGCTAATATAGAACTCTGTTTGGAATGTGGAAACTGAAAACAATTTACCAAAAATTCTTTCTATCTCGATTTCGGTTTAAATTTACTTGGATCTACTAAATATTCAGGCAGAGACCTATTTGCCAACTCCATATTGCTGCGCTTCCTTATGGCGCACACCCTAACCGTATCGACCCATCCTATTAAGAGTGTTTTACCGTCGGCCCACCTCAAATTGCAGCGGAATTTCTCTATTGATAGTCTGCAAAATTTACATTCACACTTAATCAACCGTGCTCGCGAAATTTTACCCTGGATGCTCCTCCCATTTGATCAGTCCTAAAGAACACCTTGCATTGATATCAAACACCCTCACCCCTATACTGCTCGACCATGCGAGAAAATTATCGCCCCAGCATAAACTTCTCACCAGTCCTTCGCTCTCACAAAGCACAGTCGGCTTTAGACCCCCCAGAAAAGTCCTCTCATAAAGTGTAAGCTTATCATCGCCTTAAAACCAACCTTCTCAAACCAAATTCAATCAGACAGTGTCAAAATTACCAGTGATGAACCTTTTGTTGGTGGGGTATCTACAATAATTAGGATCCAAAGCCACAGTCTTTACAAGTCGGTCGACGTTTAAACTGCAGTTGTTTTCTTTGGAAAAAAGTCCGTGGATAAAGATTTTACCATCGTCTGAGCAAGTGGCTATGTATTCGCCGGTATTATCAACCGAAATTTGATTTACACTGACAATATGAGCTTTCAGTTCTTTGCCCTCAATGCTGTTGCCCTGATGGTCCAGGATGTGAATTACGCCGCTGTGGGAGCCGAGGCAAATAAACTGGAATGAAGCGTTGGATATTTTTCACAGAAACGCCAAATACAATTACCTTGGTATGCACGGCAATGCATGTAGCGGAGGACTTTAAAAGTATACTTTGGAGGTCGTTGGATAGGCGGACGTACTTTAATTTGGGCTCAATTTCGTCATCGGAGTTATCCGAGTCGCTCGTGTAATCCTGAAATGAGTTACAGAGATGAGACGTCTGTTAATTCTGGCGGAAGGAAATCTTACGTTTGCTTCCGACATATTTCTTAAGCGGAAAACATACAGTAATTTACATGTTTGTCAAACAAGACGAATCATCTTCCAAATTTGTAAATAAAGGAAAAAAAAAAAACATGTTATTGTTTTAAACGGGAATATTTTATGCGTCAAAATAGTAAACTCTTGGTTAGAAACATGGAACAAAAGATGGTTGGTTGTGGTCTCCAGAGATGCAAAGATTACAATTGGTAAAGTTCCATTTTTATCAATGACCATATTAGTGTCCATCAGCTGTCGAAATGTGCAAGCCTAACCAATTTTTCTTTTTTTTTTTTCGGTCAACCAGGTGAAGTGGTGTGCACAATTTTACCTCGGTCCGAGAAAATTTTCATTTTTTTGACGTAATTCTAGTCTTCAACTGAATTTTTCGGTCTGGGTGAGTTTTATATTTAGTCAGCCGTAAATATTTGCTTTGGTTTGGTGTCAGTTCGCAATAATTTAACGCTTTTCATATCATGGCATGTGCTTCGCGGGGTAAAGACCCCCCTGATAGAAACGATCGTATCGTAGTTAATAATCCGATAGTGTTCGCAAATGATTTTGATTCCTTTCAAGCTCAACTAAACTTGTCCCAAGCTTCTACCTCCTCTAGCAGTGGTTATTCATCAGCCTTGACGCTTTCGCCTTTAGCTAAGAAAACAGCACATGCTATAATAGGTACATTCCACAACGTCTTGTCACTTGTAGAGGACTAATCAAGGATGTAGGGAACCAAATTACGATATTAAGATATTAAATATAAAAAGAGTCTTAAGAAGGAAGAAAATACTTGCTATTTCTGGCGAAACAGTAATGAAAACCATCCCCACAAATGATTATATTGTAACATTTGAAGGCAAATCATTACCCCAAACTGTAAATATTTTTAATAATGAAAGAGAAGTGGAAAAATACGTTAACCCGGTTATAATGTGCATCAATTGTTGCAGATTTGGACATGTCAAAAATAATTGTAGAGGCAAGCCTCGGTGCGGTTTTTGTACAGAAGATCATCTTATGTTTGTTTGTGAAAAAAGAGAACAAGCAATGAAAAAAATGAAATGCCCTGCAGATCATCTTAACAATCTGACTAAAACGTGTAAAATTCCAAATTGTGAAGTAAATCCAAAACCAAGCTGCGTAAATTGCAAGGGACACCACACTGCTACTGACTGGGGATGTCCCGAATACAAAAGGCAAAAACAAATTAACGAAACCATGAGCTTCTACAACCTTTCTTTTTATGAAGCAGCTAAACTGCATCCACGGCTAACTAATGCAAACCAAGGCTTTACCCGAAAACCAGAAGATTTTCCTAGTTTAAATAAAAAAACTCAGAATAAAACTCCTCATCCAACAAGTTCTCAGGGCTGTTCCTCATATACATCAGTACTTAAAAGAAAACGGCCTGACACCCAATTTATCAAAGGGTATGATAAAGTAGCCCATGAACTAACTTTGTTACCCTCAAGTGCAAGAAGAAAAGTCTCATCTATACAAGTAGGTGAAAACTTGACATCAGAGTCGGAAATGGAAGTAACTCCTGTAGGAAATGGCTGGGAAGAAGTATGCAACTAGTTTGAAGCTTTCAAAAAAGACGTTATGTCAATAAAGGGTATGGATGAAAATTGTGTCAACAATATCAAACAATATTTTGGTTCATTTGACCTACGGTGGGGGGGCGGCTGCGATGGCAGCGGTTGACCTACAGGGGTTAGAAAAAGAAAAGGTAATCTTATCACTAGTTTTAATCTAACAGTAGTTTTTACGTAACAAAACTAAGTTTAAGTTTTAGTCACAAGCGTTTTATAGTTGAGCTATAATGAATATCGTTCATTGGAACATTTGCGGGGCTGAAAAAAATAAAGATGCTATCATTAGAGTTATAAGGGATTTTAAGCTACAGATATTATTGCTCAATGAAACCTTGCTCAAACCCAACACTAACTTTAAAATATCAGGGTTCTCTTCTGTAAGAGCTGATAAACCTAATGGTGCAGATGGTATAGCAATTTTCTTGAAAAACAAAATAAAATATAATATCATCGACTTAAGCAGAATTAATATACCAGAGAGGTGTCAGGTTATTCTTGCAGAGCTTGTCGATTTTTTTATTTGTTGTGTTTACAACCCTCCAGATATTTGTTTGGTCAGGGCACGCCTCGATTCAATTTTCGATCTAACCCGTAATAAACCAGTCCTCTTTATGGGAGACTTTAATGCCCATAATCCAATATGGGGTTCCCAGGTCAGTTACTCACGGGGAATTAAAAGTGGGAACATTTTTTATGATTTCATTAAGGATCAAGATTTGTGGGTACTAAATGATGGATCAGCTACTCGGCTCACACGCCCAGGCGTACACAGCGCTCCAGATGTAGCTTTTTGCTCCCAGAGACAGTCTGGAGTTGCTGACTGCAGGGTTCTCCAGGATAGAGTGAATAGCGATCATTTTCCTATTTTGTGTATCGGAAATAAACGTTGCAACTCAGGTTCGACAAGAAACTACACTAGTAAATATAATTTCAACAAGGCAGACTGGGAGAAATTTTCCGATTTAATCTCCACGAAATTTAGAACTTCACCTCCTATAAATTATGAGGATTTTATGAATATAATTTTCCTATCTATTGCAGAATCTGTTCCAATGCATAAACACTCATTAAACTACGGGTTACCTTGGTGGGATAATGAGTGCGCCAACGCTATTAAAAGGAAAAGACAAGCATTCAGAGATTATAAAAACAACCCCTCTGAGACCAACTTTCTGGAATCATTAAGGACCCGGGCACAAACAATACAGCTGCTACGTAAGAAGAAAAAGGAAGGCTTTGTCAACTTTTGTGAGAATCTATCTCCAAATACTAGTGCAAAAGAAGTTTGGAGCAGTATTAGAAGGTTTGCTAAAGGTATCAGGTACCAAAATTATCATTTTCTCTTGAATTTCTCAATCCCACAAGATATGTTTGATCTTTTGACGCAATCTCCCTCTATGTTGCGTAACATCCCCGAATGTCGCTTCTCATCAGAATATACAGAAGACTTCCATATCTCAGAATTTGTCGCGGCTGTTAAAGGTCGGAAGAGCAAGAGTCCCGGTGTGGATAAAGTACCTTTCAGTGTGCTCAGCCATCTCCCTGTTGAAGGAGCAGTTTTTCTTATCAAATTTTTCAACAAAATACTTCGGAGGGAAACCACCATTCCAGAGACGTGGAAAACCCAAATGGTGATCGCAATTCCTAAACCGAGGAGAGACCCCTCAGCGTTATCGTCCTACAGGCCCATCAACCTAGCTTCTTGCATAAGCAAAACTTTTGAAATTATGATCAAAAACCGACTGGAATGGTTCGTAGAGAACCAAGGTTTAATAGACGTTCGCCAAACTGGTTTCAGAAAGGGTAAGGGAACTTTCGACAATCTTGTAGTTATCTCCTCAGAGGTCCTCTGCCGTTTGGCTCGCAATCAACTAGCAGCAATGGTGACTTTGGACATATCCAATGCCTACGATAATATAAATGTTGACTTATTGACCTCGGTGTTGGCCAAAATTGGAATGGCCAGAGATTTGACTTTGCTCATTAAAGATTTTCTCACGAACAGGAAGATACAAGTTAAAGATCCATCTACTAATACATTCGTGTCAGGCAGAACCACCAGCAAGGGAGTTCCCCAAGGTTCCCCTCTTTCTCCATTATTGTTTAATATTTACATCAATTCAATTAAAGAAACAATTCCTGAGAACATAAGTCTTTTATAGTTTGCGGACGATACCGCCTTGCTGAGTACTGGGACTGATGCCCAAACAATAGTGAACAATTTGAATAGAACTTTGCAAAATATACATATTTGGTCTTTGAATGTAGGACTTGAGATTAACCCCAATAAATCTGCAGCTATATTTTTTTCCAGGAAGAATTACAAGGTTAATTATTTTCCCAGACTTCACCTCAACACTCGAACCATAGCATGGAGAAATTCCATCACATATCTAGGAGTGATTTTTGATCCAAAACTGTCATGGGAGCCACAAATTAGAAATATGATACTGAAAGCTTCAGGTGGGTTGAATATGATGCGATTTATAAGTAGAATCTGGTGGGGGGCACATCCCTCTACCCTTCTAACTTTTTACAAAGCTTATGTTAGACCCCATTTGGATTATGGAGCCTCTTTTTTGGGTGGTAGCTCAAGAAAGTCTATTGCTCAACTTAACAAAATTCAATTTGAGGCACTGAGAATAGCTCTGGGATATATGAAGTCCACACCTACTAACATACTTCTAGGGGAAGCAAGTGAAATGGATTTAGAACACAGAAGATACATGCTAGCGACTAAATCATTATTGAAAGCTGCCAGTTTAGTGGACAGTGAAACCTTAGCTGCGGTTAGATGGTTATATATCACCTATAATGAAAACTATTACTTTTTTCGGAAAAAGAGTATTCCTGCACTTGTGGATGCTTTTGAAAGAGTTTATTCACTGTTAGATACACTTTACAGGAGCCCAGTTTATCCCTGTTTCTCTTGTCCACTGCTGAACCTTTTAAGTTCTGTTCAAATCCAAGACTTAAAACTAAAGAAAGATAATAATAACTCCAAATTATTTGAAATTAAGAAGAGCGAGACTTGGACCCCAGATTTTCATTTAATTTTTACAGGCGCCTCAAAAGATAAAGAAGGCCGAGTAGGTTTTGGCGTTTACAACTACAATACGAACCTTAAAATGGGACAAGGCCTACCAAGTGAACTATCCATTTGCTCTGCCGAGATTTATGCTATTGGTCAAGCTCTTGATTGGATTGAATTCAAGGACATCAACAAAGCAGTCATCCTTTCAGACTCCAATAGTGCCCTCGAAGATATCAATAAAACTGGGATGGATGCAAAGTCTAACTACCTAACCTTGCAGGTTAAGAATAAACTATTTACCTTAATAAAAACGCAAAATAAGGACATCCAATTATGCTGGATACCAGTATAAAAGAAAACGATATTGCGGACCAGATCGCCAATGCTGCACGCCTCGAACCACAGGAAAATATAAAATTGAGCTTTAGGGAATTCTTCCCTAAATTAAAGCATAACATCTAGAATGCTTGGAGCGACAGATGGAAACATATAGGATTAGGGAAAGGAGTTAATTTCACCTCACATTATTCTACTCCGCCAACTAAACCCTGGTTTCATAAGCTCGACCTGAATAGAAGAGAAATCACAACTATGTGTAGACTGAGAAGCAACCATTGCTGTTCTCCGGCTCACCTAAATAGAATCAAAGTCAAACTCTCCGGAGACTGTGAATGTGGAGAACTGGGCGATTTAAGTCATGTGCTGTTTGGTTGTGCTCTTCATTGGGAAAAATCACAACATTTGTATGAGTCACTCATTAGTGCTAATTTTCCTTCGCCTCTGCATATTAATTCCATTTTATTTCACCGCACTCAGTTGGATTTTGCTGCTAGAATTGTTTGCTGCTTTTTAGATGCATGTGGATTAAAACTTTGAATATTGTTTTCACATATTCTAATTCTTTCGTCCATTTTTTTTTCCTGTATAGCCGTCCAGTAGGATGATGGTATCACCCAGACCCTCTTTACGGAGGCATCCTTCATGGAAATAGTTTATTGCACACCACTACCGAGAAGCTGGCCGAATTGCCTTAGCAGCAGTGGCCAAATAACACGTAATTAAAAAAAAAAAACAATTTTTCAAACAGTTTAGGTTATTTTCGTTAGTTACTTGAAATCAATAACAAAGCTAGTGATCATTTATCGATAAGTGGTATCAAAAACAGTGCTATTCAATATCTGAAATGACTAATTAAGAATATTTTAATGAAATTGAAAGCATTCCTCACAAATATTAATAACAATTCAAAAACGAAATACATATAGCTATAAATTGTATAGTGTCAATACTACCATAAAATTTAATGCACTTGGTTATAATATTTTAGTACAGTTGGGAATAATCTTTCGTGTATGCGTTGTCCCCAACTGAATCGATTGCGAAATAGTAATTTTTGTGGAAAATTGCCGCAATATGTCTTCGAAATGCGGACATTGCTGGTATCGCCGAGTCAAGTTATTACCATTGTCGCAGTATATCAAAGGTCTGTGACATCGTTGTTTTCATTTTTGGTGTGTTTACTCACTGGAAAATATTTGTTATAAAAATTGAACAAGAGTGTGCCTATATACTAGTAAGTGTTATCTCACGCACAAGTGAATTTAATGGTTGTAAAGGACTCTCAAAATTGTATAATTTCTGCTTACAATACTTTGCTATTTGACGAAATATGATCTTAGAGAAACCCAAGTGATATATATTTATTTTTTTAGTTAGTAGGTCATTTACAATAGTCCAAAAAGGAAAAGTATTCTAGGGTAAGATCCTTACATAAATGGGTAATAATTCGAGACCATTAAAATATTATAATAAGTTTACACTTCTTTTACGCCGAATAGCTTTTATTGTTATTATTATTTAAGATTTGTAACTTTCTTGCTGATTCATAGTTATGGTAAAATATTTTTGCATATATTTAATTTTAATTAGATATTTAAATAAAAAGTACAACAAAAAACAAGTATTATGTTAAAAGCATATACGAGTGTTAAGAAGAGATATAAAGAGCAATTTATTTTATAAATCAATTTAATTTTAATTAGTCTCCAATAGGTGAATATCACCACAAATAAATTATATAAAAAGCAAAATATATCATGTGTTAAGTTTTCCCCATTTTACATAGGAATATCACGACATCGTTTTTCAAATATATTATAAACAAAAACTAATTCGTTGTAAATGAGAATAACAATTTTTTTACTTAAAGCTCCATCGCTAATTAACTTCCAGTGTCACTTTCTGAATCCAGTGAAATTTTGGGCTCTATTTCATACCACTTTGAAATAATTTTATTGATATGTTCCACATAGTTTTTCCTATCCTCGGGTATAACTTGTATTAGCTAAAACATTTTCATCACTATGACCGTCTCTTCCGATATGTCTACCATAATACTGTTTGAATTCACACTGATAGGGAGGGATACGACGTACTTCGTGGGCATTACCTCTGCTGATTTCATCTATCACATATTTCTTTTCTTTGCGATTTCTTTCTACTTTACCTAATAATTCTAGTTTTGCTAGTTGGCATTCAATTTTGTTTTAAACTAACCAGTCGCTCATCTCTTTTTTAGAAAAACTTGTACAGGGATCCTTTTCTGATAGAGTGCTGTGATATGAAGCATTATCTATAATTATAACTGACTGCTCTTCTAAGTTGGAAAGTAACTTTTCTTTTGACGATCTAATGAATATCGGCATGGTAATCTGCAGATTTTGGTACATGGACCCGCTGCCCCTTAAATTTCGAGTAGTTTTCTTACTCGTTTTATTGAATTGGAATCCTGCCAAGATTTGTTTGCATTCCCTTTAGAAAATGTCCACGTTTTGTTCATGAAAATGGCCTGACAAGAGGAAGTGTTGATATAATCGTAATTTCTTAAAGTTCGAAGAAAAAAAAAACATGGGTTTGCGCCACAAGATATCTTCGGTATACAACTTTTTTGAATTTAAAACCTATCGTGAATAATAATACTCTCTGAAAAAAACTTTTGCTGATAAAAGCAAGTTCTTGTCCTTTAAGACTTCTATTTAAAGTTTAATTAATTACATCAGTTAAATCAGTCGTGTTGGTCTTTTTCGGGATCTCTTCTTTCCTGGTGACTTTGATTTGATTTTAAACGCTTTTTTATTCTTATCACAGTGGATACGTTTATATTTAGTGATATCCACATTTTCATTACTTATACAAATATCTTGGATAGTGGTAAGTGGTAATAATGGTCGTGCATTATCCTTTTCTTGTTGAAAATAATTTAGCAAAGATACCACTATACCCTGCGATTGAGAGTTAGGAGTTTTAGCTTTCATAGCAAAAACTTGTTTAACTTAAAATTAAAATTAACGGTCAGTTTACAAAGCAGGCTTTTACACGCACACATTTTTAGGCTGATTTAAATGGTAAATATTGAAACCTTAATTCACATTTGTACTGTGGCAATCCTGCTATAAATCTCAAAATACTAAAGATCAAAAAAATATCACAGAAAGATAAGTATGGTGGACTTATTTTGATATATTTTAATATATTTTTGGGATCTTAAACTTTTTTGAGGATTTACAGAAGAAATATGCTTAAAATGTGTTTAAATATTTGAGAAAAAGAACATCGTTGAGCGTATTGACTTGATACATGCCTACCTTAATTATTATGCTGACAAAGAATTTTTGTTTTGAAAAGAATAGGTTTTAATGATAAATACAAAATAATATACTGACGAAATTGTCTCTTTTCGTGATTTACAATGTAAAGTTTGTATCTCATATAATGGTTTTTAATTGTTCAATTAAGTGAAGTAATCTTCTTGGACTGCCACATGTTCATTAGACAATCTTCAAATTGTTGCTTTTATTCTGAATACCATTTTTGTTGATTAGCAAATCGTTTTTATTAAAGACAGCGATTTAAACTTCTAATTTTGATTCCTAAAAGCCCTTTCAATTGCTGAAATTTCTACCCTGCTAACAGAAAAATCTATTTTGGTATTTGAATTAATTCGGAATATCTTTGTCCTACATACAACTCAATAATAAGGCAAACACTAAATAACTTATAATATCCATAATGGTGACTAGTGGAACTCCATTAATTGAATAGTCCAGACTATGGATGTACACCATCTACTAATTGTACTTTCATCTGATATCTATCTAAAAAACATTTCATATGGCAAAGAAATCACTATTTTTAAGTTCTTTTATTATACCAATATCGAGATTTTCTTGAAATAATTTGTTTAAGTAATGACTCTCTATCTCAAAATGACTAACACACACCTGTTACAATTGTTTGATCATGCGGTCTGGATTGCCCAGTGGAATATGGCGACAGTTAATTGTGACGTACCTAACAGGGGGGGGGAGGCTGGGAAAAACACTAAATGTCTTTTAAAAAAAAATAAATTTTATTGACAAATTTAATTTCCGCGCTACGCGACCCTAATAGGAATTCACATTTCTAATCACAACGCAAGCAAATATTTACAAATCCTTACAAACAAACTTAGCCTCATAAATAATAAATCACAATAAATAAAAAAAATCACGCCGCTTACGTCCGCGCCCCTTTCTTTCTCCCTCACACGCACCGATGAGTCAATAAATATATATTACATATCACAAGCGTCGTTTGTATTCGGTACCGAGCGCGTGACGTCACCGACGGTACCTTTTATGCCACACAATGAAGTCATCATTCGCGGCGTCCCGCCGTCTACAAACGAGGTACTTTCACTTTCGACAGCCGGTACTGCCTTAAGTCTTCATCTTGGGGGAGGACAGTCGACTCTCTCACGGGCGTGCCGTCGGGGAAAACCTTTACCAGCATCGGCCCCGTTAAAAGAACGGCGGCTTCTTCTGCGCCGACCACTTTCTCCGTCGTTACGGCGATGGGTCTGAAGTCGTTTTGGAACCTCGTGAATACCGACTGTTCCTCATTATTTTTCTCGCTGCCTGGTTCCGTTTTCGGGACGATGAAGTCCTTTGGGGGCGGTACTACATAGACGTTGTCGAATTTCACGGAGGCGGCGCTCTCGGACCCGAAGTCGTCGTAATCGCCGCCGAAGAGCTGATCTTCGTACGAGTTCGGTTTGGCGGTGGTCGACGACGACGACGACGCTGGTCTGGGGGTGGTCTTCATGAGGGGGTGGCCTTCCATTAACGCTTCCCAAACTGAAAAGGAGAAGAAGAAAAGTTGAAAAATATACAGTACATTTATTTTTAAACCAAGAGGAAAACTTTTGGGAGCAAGAGACAGAATCAGTTGTACTTTGATAGGCGAATATTTAAATAGGTGAATCGGCATGAAAAAATTATGATAATTTGTTATATAAACTATTGTACGAAAACTCTATCAGTGCAATAAAAATTAAAACAATACCAAAAAAAATCGTAAAATTAAAATATAAATCATACCGTATAAAATATAAATTTCCAAGAGTAAACATACAAGTAAACCAAATTTAGTTTGTATTACTCTAACTCTGATGATGAAGATGTTTACCTTTATCACAGAGTCAAAACTGGAAATGCTACTACTTCGCCTAAATTAATAGCAAGTGGTAGTATACTCTTTTATTATATTTTCTGTAGGTGTTATAGATCTGATCCAATTTTCTTTGATAAATGTCTGGAGAACTGCCTTCCAAACGGATACGACCGATATGCCATCGTGCCTTGCCTCACTTACAATATTTTTATTAAAAAATATTTTGCACTGAGCCTACACCCATTCTATGTTTTGTTTGCAATTTTTGACAATTTTTAATAACTCACATTTGAGATTATTTTCTGCGCAGTAAGTGGATTAATTCGCGTACTGCGCAGCCAATTGAAATTTTCTTCTTTTTTTGCCGATCCATTTGGTACACTTTTGTTGAGATTGATGAAGACTCATAAATTGTATTTGTGAACGTTCGTTTACCATCTGTATGTTTTAGACACTGCGCTATTAAAGTGTTGCTGTTAGTTTTGTTCTTTTTTTGCACCAGGTAAAATAGTGAGGAACCTTCTCCCTTGGTTTTATGACCGACTAGGCCATAGCAAATCGTACCGACTATATTGACAAATCCTCTACAGCATTCTTCTCTTTACGTGCTTATATATTATTTGACGGGAATGGAGCTAAAAGAGAGACATTAACTTTTTCTAAGATTACTGATTCCCATATTGGTGGCCTGAGTCGCTATTAAAATATCTGTTCATAAATTTGACAGTTACAAGAAAAATATGAGATTGTTGGTAATTCCAGATTCTCAGATCTTAACAAATCTGAAATAACATTTTGAGTTTCAGAAATAGGGACTTTAGTAAAGAGGGACTCGTACGTCTAAACTAACCAGAATATCGTTTGGATCTAATGTAATGGTTTCTAATTGTTCAACAAAACTATCAGTTTTCCCTGTAAAGGGTTTTAATATACAGGTACATATTTTGCTAGAGAATATATTGGAAAACCAATGGTACTAGCAATAGGTCGAAGAGGTAATCCTGGTTCCTGAATCTTAGGAAGTTCATGGAATCTTGAGGTGCGACAGATTTTTTTCGCTTATTCTATTACCAGGTTTAAGATTGCATAGATGACGTAGGATCTTGTTTAAGTTGAAGTTGAATATTATCTTTAGTAGTTTTGGTTTTTGTAAAGGATTTTTGCGTTTTCAAACTGAATACTATGACTTTAGTACCTTAGTATATAAGACGCTCCTGAGTAGAATGCAAACTAGTTTCAGTTAAGCTCTGAAGTGATGATGATGATGAACGTTTTTATTATTATCAAAAGCATTGCGCATTAAATTTTCAGTGAAAACTCTAGACAGTTTTATGCGAGAATAATTATAACAAAAAATAAAAAACATTCACAAAGGTAGACGCGTTTGGAACACGCGGCCAATGGACAAACGAATAAAGAGCACAGATGATAATTAAAAAACTGATGTTGCGCTTGGAACGGACTTTTTGCAATTCCAAACCGCTTATCTCCAATTTAGTTTGATTTCAACAGTTTTATTGGTTTTAGAAATGTGCGCGCGGATGTTCCAAAACAGAAAAAAAATTGGTAAGCACTTTTTTACTTACACTTATAAAAACTAACAAACACATCCAAATCACTTCGATTTGCTAGCAAAACTGGAACATTTATTATTTTGGAATGAAACGATATGCCGCTGACTGATTCGAGAAAACGAGGGTCCCCATGAGTGTATGCTCTTTCCTTCTTCAATTGCAATTACACATCGTTACCTAACCAACAAAATATTCGTTGTTCTCAAAGGCATCTATTTATTTGTTCCCTTTTCGTATTCGCATTGTTCTATGAGTCGTTATAGGTCGTGTAGGTGCGTCACTAAAATTTATGCCGGCCGTTTTCTATGTAAGTAGGACCCGAGGCACTTCCAAGGTCGGAATTATAATGACGAAAAAAGGAAGGTGGGTGCGCGCGACTATTTTACCCGTATTCGGACGATTTAGGAAACAGGCGGTGGTACCCTATCGTAATCCAACAATTACTTGTTTACGAACATGGCGTTGCCGTTAATTACTTACTTATATTGTTGGCGCCCCTCTGGTAGGGGTCCATCGCATCGAGCCTCTCCTCCGGCATGTTTTTCAGTGTGCCGAGGCCGTATTTCAGCAACCTCCTGCCGCATTCTGGCACGTTTGAACCTTCGCAGTGGTTTTCCACTTGGTGCGCGAACAACGAATAGATGTACGACGTCTGCAACGGAAATTTACGCGATCAGACCACGCACAGTACGGTCATATCCGTTTAACAAACCAAACATTTCGCAAAAATATTTCATTACATATGACATCTGTTCGAAATGGCCAAACCACAAATCACAATTGGTGCGCCATGAAAACGGTGTAAGCATGGTATTAGTGTTCCGTGATTCTTCGTTTATCGCGAAAGTTCGTTGATCGAAATGATTAACCCAAATGCGAGAGAAAGTGAAAGCACTTTTCATTCGAAAAAAGTAAACGACCCCCCACTCGATTTATACAAAATTATAGAATTATGGACCATAATGGACCATAAAGATGTTTTTATCGGGTTTTAATGCGCTTACTTGCATTCTCCAGGCACCCGTTTTTAATTCGCTGCGACGTTTGTTTTTTCAACGACCGCAAACGGCGATAAATATTCATTGTCACATTCAAATTAATACCGGTAAGAAATCGTACGCGCGTATTTGTATAAATAATTTCAATAATAAATAGTTTGAGCTGCAAATTATTGATTTAATTGCGGCGTTGCGTAATGAGAGTTATTGTTTTTTTTCTTTTAAACTATGCCGTTTTACGTAACGGGCGTCGTGAAAAAAATTGACCAAGAGACAGTGGAAGAACAAATTATAAATAAGCAAAATTAGACAATTACTTCGGGACAGTACATACCGGCTCGATGCCGATGACATTTGATTTGCCGGGTAATTAGCTTTAACGAACGCGCAAAAAGTATATCGAAGTGGGTGCGGCCGTGTAATAACAATTTAAAGTTTTTAATTTGCTTAAATTATTGTTCGTGGCAACCTGTTGTATAACGCTTTTGCATATCATTAAACGACTACATTATTAGTCGAGAAAGTGCGATATCTAACGTTTAACAGTAGCGTTTACGGTTAAAGGGACTGGGCAAATTACAACGTAGGCCAATGTCAACGGACCAAAGAAACACGCCAAAAAAACGACGTTTTAATGACGACTATTGTTTTTCTTCCGCGTTGTGAATTAGACGGTTTGTCGAATTTTGATCGGTACTCACCTTCTCCTGTTTACTCAAAAACTCCCACATGGGTATCGCGGACCCTCTCAGTCCACCAAACATTGCACAGAAACACAAAACACCGGCAAGACCGACCATGCTTGCGATAATGCTGCAATTTGTCGTAAATAAACGCTGCTGACGACTGATACTCTCGTCGAGTAGGCTATGTGGACAGTGTGACGTATACGCACAAAGAACGATTCGCTTCTGTTCCGCTCGTGGCCCGAGCCGGTAGTTTTATAGAAGATGGCGATAACGTCATACCGGATCCGATCGATCGGTATCTACGAGGCACGATGGTTAAATTTGTATAAAACAAGCAGGTTTTCATCGTCATCCATTTTAATTTTGCTAATATTAACCGTCAGAGAGGTAGCGGAAGATCTGAACATTGCTTATGGATCCGTCCAAGATATTTTTGGTTAATGATTTGGATTTCCGTCGTGTAGCAGTAAAATTGGCGTCAAAAGACCTCAATTTTATGCAAAAAAGAGACCATGTTGACGTCGCTTTGTTTGCAAGTCTAAATCTAACTCCATATTCATTAAGAGGATCATTACTGAAGACGAGACGTGGGTTTATGAGCACGACACGCAATCCAGACATCGATCAAGTGAATGGCATTCACCAAATGAGTCGAGACCCAAAACACAGTAAAAAAAAAGCAATGCTCACGGTTTTCATTGATTAAACTTGAAATATTTCAATAAAATTTGGCACACATTATTATGTACCATTATTTAGTATACTACATTTTTTTTAAAATACAGCAGTGGTGGGCGTACGAAATTTCACCTGTCTATTTTGACAGACATTGATGGTATGCCACTGATTTCTCTTAAAATAAAAAATATTCTTACAATCCGCAATCATTTTTCTCCCAAAAAAAAAAATTCTGCATGGTCATAACAATATTGTTAATATGACAGCATGCAGAGATTTATTATCAGTATCATTATATCTTATTATTTCTATCTATTTTATTAAAATATTTTAAAAAATAGAAGTACGAAGTACGTAAACCCCGAGGTGTATTTTTTAAATATTTATATTTATCTCTTAAGAATTATTAATTCTGTAGTCAAGGCGGTTGTTTGATGCTTGTTTGACATCAGTTTTTAAATTCAGTTCTTCGCGTTGAGCATTGTTATTTTAAAATGAATGGTCGAGTTTACTTATGATGAGTTGGCAGATATGCATTTTATCTATGATTTGTCTGATGGCAGTGCGCCGGAAGCTAGCCGATGAAATGAAACATGTACTTTGAATCATTTATAAGGGTCCCAGAAATTGAAGATGCAGTTTTAAATTACATTGGTGAAAATCCTGAACTTAGTACTAAAAAAATGGAAATAATCTGAATATTTGGCACGTCTTGATTTGGAAAATTTTGCACGATTTTCTATTGGAGCTCTATTATATTCAACGAGTCCAAGTATTACGTCTCAAAGATTTTATCTTGCGTGTTAATTTTTGTCAATTGTTTTTGGACAAAATTGCGCATTATCCCTTGTTTGACCAAGAAATACTATTTACAGCTAAAGTTAACTTATCCAGACATGCAATTAGCAATTTCCATAATAACCATATTTTTTCTAGCTAGAAAGACTAAATGGACATAATTATTGCCGGTTCTTAGAAAAGGATCCGGCAATATGAGGAAAACGGCTGAAGTCTGTATCCTTCAAGGTGGAAGACACTTTCAACAATTTACCTAGTTTCTATGTTCTATTGTTGTTCAAACAGGTTGTTAATAATTTATTAATAGACAAAAATTATTAAAAGTAGGTAGTGTTTTTTTTTTAAATAAGAATCGTTTTTTATTTATCTTGTTGTTAGAATGTTATGTTATTTCATTAAAACTGTAACAGTAAAAAGAACAGTCTTCGAATATTTTTTTTCTGAGAAACAATAGTTGGTAACTAAAAACTAGATAATTTGTTTTAGATCGATATTTCAATTTCCACAAAAAAAAGTTCTCTATTTAACCAGTACAGTGGCGAACTAGTTAACCAAAATATTATTCGTTTATTGTCAGTGGCACGCCACTGATTTCCTTAAAAAAATAATGACATTTCCATTCATTTATGAGCAGATTTAATCTTTTAATTTTTGTTAGTCCGTCGCACGGTTTTCACTTAAAAATAAAAACTATTTTTTTTCTGCATTGTTATTACCATGCAGAGAAGAGGTTTCTATTTTTTTAAAGCGAAAACCGTACATTATTAAAAAAGAATATAAATTTCTTTAGACGTGATTGGAGATTGTAAGAATAATTTTTATTTTAAGAGAAATCAGTAGCGTACCATCAATGCCTGCCAAAATAGGCAGATGAAATTACGTACGCCTACCACTGATGTATTTAAAAAAAAATTTAGTACACTTAATAATGCCTTTTGATACATAGTACATGTGTACCAAATATCATTAAAATATCTAAAGTGGTTATTACCGATATTAAAAAAATATGTTTTATTTTTGAAAACTTTACCACCCTGTATCTCAGAAGTTAAGACATTTAGGGCATTAATTTAGATAAAAATTAAGAGGCGTGTTGAGTCCTAATTTAATTTTGTTTTAATTAAAATATTCAAATTTAAATATTAATTTCTCAAATTCATTATGCATTCGCTATATTTTTGAATGTATTATCTAATTGCTGATATAAATGTTATTCTACTCTACTCTCTTTGACATTGTCACCTACCTGGAAGATTATTTCAAACTGGACGGCCGCGTGTACGTCAGTTTACGTAACGGTCCTCGTAGAACTAGCCGCATTCCGGGCGATCCAATTTGCATCATCGACGCGCGTCGAAGGCAGAGTCGTCGCGCCCGCCTTATGGTAATCGGCCTGTTTACGTGTTTCGATTCTTGACAAAATATAAATCAAAACGGCAACGTCAGGACGCGGCTTCCTACGATAAACATGCAAAAAACACCGCGCGTCGATGTACGAAACGGCATTCCTCCGGGTTATTAATGTGTTTGTTTATGACGTGGGTCGTTGTTGTTGTTTTGTTTTTGGTCGGGTGGTCGTTTGATAACATGGGGCGTTAAATACCATAAAATCTCTTCTTTACGTTTTACGTAACATTGGGCACGTCTGCTAGAATCACTCGCTCATTGCCGACTAACTTTTCGTCGCTGAGAGAGGGTCAATTGTCCAGCAAAGTTGATAATCGTCGACTTCTTCATTTATGCAGTGCAGGTGACCCCAACGGTTCTTAATCTACGCACGGAGTGATTTATTTTCACGATGGATAAGTATGGAGTCGTGACTTTGTCGGGAGTTGTTTATGGAAGCTGCTGTAGAGTTTGCACTTGCACTTGCACTTGCTCCCTTACATGCACCTTATTGTCACAAAATCACTTCGGAATTGACAATTCCCCCTTAATAACTTCTTATAAGGCATAATTCTGCCAATGCCGACGGTCGAAATCCATCACGGACGCCGCTGGCGATTCGGTTGGGGAAATAAATCGTAGTAATTTTTTATATCAACGCCTTCTTAAAGATCCCGTCGAATAATACACGGCTTATTAACTTTCCCAAGCAAGTTCACGGTCTCCCAACTCGATTTCACTTCTCGTAAAATAACAAGAGTCGCCGGCGAAAAAAATCAATGTCCTGCGCGATTTCTAACCGGAAGCACGGCCGAAAAAAATCGAGAAAACTGTACGGCTATTATATTCTCGAAATTAATTACTTGTTTGCTCGCTCGAGAAAGAAATCATGATTTCGTGATGGTAAAGGTCTGGAACATTCCATCATCTTTCAGGCGCTATTTTTTTTTACGACGTAATTTATGACAACGTTATTACAGAACAAACACTGCTTAGTAGATCACTGACTCTGACCACGAGTTTCTGATAATTAACAATAACGATTAATATTATAAGTTAATAAGTCTATGAACCGGTGTGAAGTTAGCCGCTAAAAGTTGGCAGTTAAAATTACGGAAAGAGCCGAACAACCAGTGGCGGCGGAGATTTCTAAACCAGCTTAGGAAGCAACTCATTTAAATTAAATAGATCTCTCGTTTTCGTTTCCAAAGAAAATTTTCGGTTGCAGCCTCGTACAGGGGTTGCTATAGAGTGAAACTAAAAAGTTTTAAATATATATTTTTTCTAATTTAATCGAAATTTGCAATTTCATTACTGAGATGAAAATATGTCCACAAAGGTTAGCGTTCGTTTCCAGTAAAAATATTCTCTTGCATTCCCGTGCGGGAGTTGCTATAGGGTATTACATTTTTCTTTCTACTTTAATCGAAGTTTACACGATTCCGTTTCTTAATGAAAATATGTCCCCAAAGGTTAGCTTTCGTTTTTCAGTAAAAATATTCTCTTGCACTCCCGTGAAATAAAAAGTTTTAAATATTTTTTTTCTACTTTAATCAAAATTTCTTGATGAAAATGTGCCCACAGAGGTTGGCTTTCGATTTCAGTAAAAATATTCTCTTGCACTCCCGCGCGGGAGTTTCTAAAAAAGTATTAAATTTTTTTTTCTACTTTAATCGAAGTTTACACGCTTCCGTTTCTTAATGAAGATGTGTCCCCAAAGGTTAGCTTTCGTTTCCAGTAAAAATATTCTCTTGCACTCACGTGAAACAAAAAAGTATTAAATATTTTTTTCCTACTTTACTCAAAATTTAAACACTTTCAATTCTTGATGAAAATGTACCCACAAAAGGCTGGCTCTCTAGCTCTATAGCAACTCCCGTACGGGAGTGCAAGAGAATATTTTTTGACTGGAAACGAGACCCAGCCTTTGTGAGTACATTTTCATCAAGAATAAAAAGTGTGTACATTTTGAGTAAAGTAGAAAAAAAATATTTAATACTTTTTTGTTTCACCCTATAGCAACTCCGGTAGGTGAGTGTACAAGAATATTTGTACTGGAAACGAAAGCTATCCTTTGTGGACATATTTCCATCTCAGTAATGGAATTTCGATTAAATTAGAAAAAATATATATTTAAAACATTGTAGTTTCACCCTATAGCAATCCCTGTACAAAGCTGCAACCGAACATTTTCTTTGGAAACGAAAGCGAGGAATCTATTTAATTTAAATCATTTGCTTCCTAAACTGGTTTAAAAATCTCCGCCGCCACTGGTTAAATTACTTAAAATTATTCACATAATATATCAGTACCACTATCGCTATTATCGCCTGTTCTAATTATTATTTGTTCTATATTAACTGCAATATGGATATACGATTGTTCTGCTTTTTCTATATGTTTAACAGAATTTGACAAACTTTGTGGAGGGATGTTAAAACTTCTGTTTCTATTAGTTTGAGGACATTGGAGCTAACACGGGGAAAAATATTGTTACGACGAATGGCAGATTTCAGTTGGTGCCAAACATGGGATTAAATATACAGTGGTAAGGTGGAAGCATTAAAACTGTATGCCCTAGATTTTTTGCATAATTACCACAGAGGTATTCCTTTTGTAGGTTCAAGCTTTATAGAACCTCAATTAATTGCTTTTTGATATAATCTTCGTGAAAATAAATGTCGTTATTATACATACATACATACGTACATTTTTGATTGTTGCTTTGGTGTCACATGAGGAAGGGGTTTTAGTCAACTGTCTACTGTGATAGTTTGCATTGTCCATTACAATGACGCTATTAGGAGGAATGTTTGGAACTAGTTTGTTTTTAAACTTTCAAATAAATCAGCGGTGGTGTCTTCATCGTAATCCAGAGAAAAATCTTTCATATTTTTCGCAGACAGAGAAAGTCCATTTCGAATCCAACCATCTTTAGAGCCAGCATGCAAAATAGTTATTCTATTACCTCTTTTTGATGGCACGTTTGTTTCACACTTATCAGTTGAGTCAACCCAACCTTTTTCCGAGGTATCATAAATAATTGGCCTTTGTTCATCGTTTTCAAGCCTCCTAATTACGATATCTAATGTAGACACGCTTTGTTCCTCGTATAACTGGTAAGTCTTACGCCGTATTATATCTTTATCACTTTCATCTACATTCGAGAAAATGTCAGCATCGCTTCTTTTTTTCCTCGCTGAAATGGGATTATTCACAATTTTCCACAGTTGATGTTGGAATTTTCGCCAATGTTTCTTCTAAAGATGCTTGCTAGCTGGCACCACGTTCAATGAGAGTCAAATAATCATTGTTTATAACTTCCTTAGTCTCAATAGAATAGTGTTTTCTACATTTGGGCAGGAGCATCTCCTGAGATACACTAGAGTCGCACATATTTTGCATAATTCGCACACGATTCAACACACGCTGTATTACACACGAAATAAGAATGATTACTAATAAACTTAAACTAAATAGTATACTAACCTAAAGAATATTAAACACAGGTAGGTATAAAACACTATTACGGACCACAATTTTACCTGAATTTAAATTCCGAAACTTTGGGTAATAATCTTGTGGCAATGTATGTTAATGATCACCCTTGGATAATCCCATTCACTTTCTTATATCTATGAATAGACCATACCTGATTAGAAAATAAAACTTACGCTTGGCATTTTTGTTCTTTGCTCTGCCCCAGCTGCAAGATTTTACCATTCTGCCAGACACCCAGTTCTTCATGAGATCACCTGCCCACAATCCCACAATCGGATTTTGCTGATTTGGCGATTTCTATTGCAGTGATTTAAAATAATAAGTGCGACATTGTTGGGTATACTTAAAATAAGAGTTAAAAATTCTTTAAGTTCGACGTTGTTACTTTAATTGAACTTATAGAAACTAAACCCTGTTTGTGGGACAAAACAGTTAAAGATAAGGTAGTAGCACTCCTCGTAGATTTAGTTATAGGCGAAATTCGTTTTTTTTTTCACATTCATATATTTCTAATCTTTGTGCATCCTTTTTCGTACTAAATTATGTACAATTATGCAAGCTTTAACGATGTCTATAGCTACAGTCTTTTTGATACGTTTCACGCCTGATGAAAAATTCTCCACTACATAAAATGCCAAAAGCCCATTCGACGAATCTTCTTCCACGCGTCTATAGGTAATTAATTTTTTTGTCTGTTAAATTATGTGCATGCATGCATAAGGCCGCATTCCTAAAATTCAAAAAAGTTTTCAATTGTAGTTTCTTTGACATTGGTCTTCGGTTGAGATTTGTGGGCTGCTATGTTTTTGTCAGTGCTTCTGTACAATGTTGAAGACTGGACACTAAATAACTTGGAAACATTTGAGATGTGGATATACCGCAGAATTCTTAAGATACCGTGGACAACCAGAACGAGAATCGATGTTCTCAGGGGTATTAACAAAGATCGCGAACTCTTTAACGTGGTAAAAAAAAGCAAGACTGCATACCTAGGTCACATAATGCGCAATCATAAATATCAATTTCAGCAATTGATTATTGATGGCAAGATCGAAGGTAGAAGAGGACTAAGACGAGAGAAAATGTCATGGCTGAGGAACGCGAGGCAGTGGACTGCCATACGTGACATTCAGATATTAATCCACACCGCCAGAGATAGACAATCTATGGCAAATGTGATGTCAAACATCTATCAATAGATAAGCACAGAAAGAAGAAAAAAGAGATAAGGCCGCATTACAAGATCCGATAGTCCTCCTCCGCAACAAGCACAAATGGAAATTTTTCAGGTCTAGTCGAATTTAAGGGACGGGATGGTGGACCCTAGAAAATCCACTAGACGAGGATAAAGCATTTTTTATTTCCATTACGATAATCTCCTACATCGGCATACGTAAATTTATAATCCGCACCTGCCATTGCCATTAGAACAATAGAAAAACATCCTTTTGCTACTCCCGTCTGCAAAATACCTACAACTAGGATGAAGCATTTTTTATTTCCATTACTCTCTTCTAGTCGTACTTATCTTCAATAATACCTTATTTTATTTTTATATGTATTACAATTTATCTATTTTACTATTATGCCTACTTCTTTACTGTGCGTTCAAGATAAAGATGTCTATCGTAAGGACTTTGGAAATTGGAGATACGAAAATTAAATTAGAAAAAATTTTCATTACTTTCGAAAAATGAGTCACTTTCCCGTTGCCTCTTTTTGAACTCTACATGATAGCGAAATCATCATCAATCGTAAAAAGGGTTTTTATTAAATTTTCAATGTTTTGGTGTAGTAGGCG